AGTGCTCGTGCCAATGATGGGGATGCATTAGAATGAGCTGCAAGGGGAGGGCACGAGGGCGTGGTCCGGTTGTTATTGGAAAATGGTGCTCGTGCCAACGATGGGGATGCATTAGAATGGGCCGCAAGGGAAGGGCACGAGGGCGTCGTCCGGCTGCTGCTGTTGGGGGGAGGTGCCAGTCTCGAAGAGCAAGATAATAATAAAAGGTCATCGGATGCTATCCGGAATGGGTATGATGGTCTGGTCCTGCTGTCATCGGGGAATGGTGCTAATATCGAGAGTCGGGATTTACATGACAAGTTGAGGCTGGAAACCATTGTTCAATGGAGACATTGGGGTGTTTTCCAACTATTATTCCAGTCCCTAACAGAGGATAATATCGCGATACTACTCAAGGCAGTTAAAACCATGCCGAGGGTTACTCTCTTGAGATTTACCCGAAGATATGGGAAGCGCCTATTATTAGCAGCATGCGAGTACAAGAACCCTTCCGTCGTCCTGCTATTGCTCGAGAATGGCGTTAAGATCGAGTCAAAGGGCGGTCGCGGCAGGTCGCTGTCATGGGTGGCCGCTCAGTATAAAAACGAGTATATAGCCCAAGCACTAATCGAGAAAAGAGCTAGAACTAGGGAAAATAGCAGGGGTAGTAAGCCGCCAGTCGGAGTAGCCGGATCGGAGGAAAACCTTGATATTGCTCTGATTATGTTGGAGGGTGCCGTCAGGGTCGGGAATGAGGTTGTTGTCCACCAGGTACTTGAAGGCCTCGCCGCGGATATGGACCAAACAATGTTTGAATATATTGTGGGCTCTAGAAGTGTTACCAACGCTAGGGCGTTCTTAAAGGCCGTGGAGGGCGGGCCTAACGCCCTCCTTAAGGTGCTCCTCAGGGAGAAGTTCGGTACAAAGCTACTACAAGCAGCAGCTCGTCATGGGCATGAAGCCATAGTCCAGTTACTACTTGAGAAGGGAGCTAGCTTTGATCTGGAGGCCGATGGAGATTACAACAATAAATCACCACTCTGGGCCGCTGTTCATAACGGACATGAACCCGTGGTTCTGATGTTACTTAATCATCTCGACTCAAGGAGGTGTGACGAGGCACTGCTATTGGTCAGTGTTTAACAATGGACATGATACTTTAATTCATACTGACAAGTCACAGGCACAGGCAGACGGCTGCGGTAAAACTCGGGCTGAATCTCAATCATGCCCCCCTCAGCTCTTAGAGCACGCCGTTAAGTACGGACACCCAAATGTGGTCCGACTACTGCTCGGGAAAGTCGACAGTAAGATCCTGGAGTGGAGTCGTACAGCCTTATTGCCCATAGCCGCGAAATACGGAAGTGTAGGTGTAGCCGAAATCTTAATCGAGAACCAGGCCGATATTGAATCGGGAGCTGGCGATAGTGAATCACCACTTCTGGAGGCTGCTCAAAATGGGTATGTGGAGCTAGTCCGACTTCTGCTTGAGAAGGGGGCCAACATTGAGTCAACATCCAAAAAATCTGGTGGATCGCCACTTTGGGCGGCAGTAAGGAATGGATACAGATTGACAGCTCAATTATTGTTAGAGAAGGGAGCCAATATTCAATTCAGGAATGAGGTTGGCTACTCATTGCTCTGGGCAGCGAAGCAGAGCAAGAATCGGGCTCTAGTCTGGCTGTTGCTTGAGAAGGGTATGGATTCGACCGACCCGGGTGATGACGGTGATGAGGATAGTGAATATTAATACGTCTCAGACCTTGAATGCTATTAATTTAAGTACCCGGAGCTTAAATACAATAGTGTATATAATACCCTCACGCGGGAAGCTTATTGATACCGAAAATGACGCTTCAACCACTCAACTGGCTTAAATATCCGCTGCCGCAACATCCGGCTACATTAAAACAAGATGGATATATGTATACAGAGATACAAATATAGCTTACTACCCAATTTCAGCCTATTTCATTTATATACCTTTCAGGTCTGGGTACGAGACATTTTATACACATACAATAGCCAATTTGTTTTCGATTTAGACATAGAATATTCTTAATTAAAAAATTAAACCTGCGAGGTATTGGTACTATAGTTGGGCTAAACTAGCACCAAGTTATCTCATTTGTATATGTTGAATCTGAAAGCTTCAACTCATTATTTAGAAACGCTTATAGCTATTTCGGAAAGTCCCATGTTATTCCCAACTTTCTTAGTTAATAGCTTAGGGAATCTAAGACCTAACTTTGCGAATTTTAAAAATACCCCCAGATTGTTGTCTCGATAGTACGAGCATTTTACGCATTCTCCCAAGGTCACCAGAGTTTTTAGTTTTTTTTTAAAAAAAAAGGCGACCTAGGTTTGAAGGCTCGACGTCATCCGTCTTCAAATTTAAAGACGATCTAGCTACCCTCTTGACACGCGCACAACCCCTAGATTTCCCCTACATATTGCCTATGTTGGACCCGAGATAATACTAGCGGGACTTCTATAGCTGCACATGTGTTACGACTTATTATTAGAGTTTAGCAAGTCCTCCGAACTGTTTTAAAGGCAATTTTGCGAAATATTTTATTATACTTAATGCCCCATAATTATATAAGCGCTCAATTATATGTAAGCTGGCTTACGGTTGCAGCGCTAGCACGCGATCGAGTTTACACAACAGTCGCTTATAGTTCTTTGCCTGTTTCCTGATAATTTTCAAGCTCATTCCTAAGTTAACAGATAATTTTTAGTACAGATGTAGTTAGCATAATGCGTCTTAGGGTCTTTAACCGTTTGTAAGTCGATAATCAACCAGGATATAAATCAAGATACAATTGATTTTGGAGGTTGTCGTTAAAGTAGTTGTTACTTTAAGTAGGTAGAGACCTAGGGGTATAGGGCCCAATTTCCCGTTCGAGGTGTATACGAAGTATATTCTAACATACTATTTTAGATATCACAGACTATGAGGCATAATCTTTATCTCCCAACTTCAGTCCTATCAGCCGATAACCTTCCAAACACGGGACCAATAGTTCGAATAGGCCACCCCCATTCCCTATCATCATATGTTCCATAGAACCCCACAATAGCCCATCCATCCGGCGCCGTTACTGTAAGACTAGGTTTCATATCAACTCCGTCTATACTAATCTTCCGTTCTTTCCCTTTCGATGTTCGAATTTTGACATCCCTGATCTCCCGATCTTTAAGCTTGTCACAAAATTCAATTTGATAACCCACGATGTACTCATCGATATCGAATGGGATTTCTCGTTTGACAAATAGGTGCTGTTGATTAGTTTTGACGCGATTGTCGAAGTGGAGGGGTGTTTGGTTAGACCAAAGAAATTCATAGGCGTCGAAAAAGGTGGTTGGGGGGGTGTAGGCATAGAGGGTTAGGGCGGTCATGCTGCTGATTGGGAAACGGTTATTTGGTAGGTGGGAGAGGTCGTTGAAGTGTTTTTGTAAGTAAGTGTATTGGACTTTAGGACTGCATTGGCCGACGACGTATAGGATAGGGAAGGAGTCGAACACGGGGGGTGGGGATCTATGAATATTGTTTGGATTAATTTAGTGTTCATGTTTTTCAGGTATATGAAGTTAGGTCTTCGGTGCAATTGCCATAATCAAGGGAATACTAACTCCTTTTCAGGCTTGACATCTGGTGTTTTCTTCTTTTCTGGCAGCGGGGTAGTCTTGTTCGGACTACCTCCCTGAATTTCATCCTTCCTTGCCTTCTCCTCACTATCATACTTCTTCAACCAGTTCACCACATCCTCTCTTTTCGCCTCGACAATGGATTGATAACACTTCACCTTCTCCTCCAAAACTCTTTCCCTAACTTCCTCTCTCGCTCCAAACAATAGGAAACACTTTTCTATAAACCCTTTCACTTCATCTGCCCCCAAACCATCAAGAGACCCAACCAGCCTGGCCAAATGTCCTACTCCCTTTTCATACTCCTCAACAGTTTGATCCCTTTGTTGAACACTAAAGTAATCTTTCAAAATATCTATCTCCCATTTCGCTCCTAATGCTTCCTTTTTAACAAGGTCTTGAAACGATTCCCAGCTTTGAGTTTGGATTAAAGACGCGCTGTCGGTGACCCACCAGGTGTAAAGATCGCTTGTGGAGGGCGTTTGAAGGATTGCATCACCCGTGATTTCAACTTTGAGAGAGTCTGAGATATACTCCGGGTGTTGCTTAAAGGCGTAATTGCACCGACGGACCCAGTTTATGAAGATGGGGATTGTGAGAGGGCCGGCGAAGTCGGGGACTTTCGGTCGATTTGCCATATGGGGGTGTTTTTTTTCCTCCTTCATAAATGGCGGGGACTCTTCGATTGGTCTGTGGGACATGCTAGTGATATAGCTCGATGCGAAGTCGAATGGAAGAATAGAATGTGGAGAAGTATACGATTGAAAAATTAAATATGCTGCAAATTCCGGGTTTATGTAGGTTTAAGAGTGCACGTATGCGGAGTAGAACCACGAAGAGCACATGATGCAGAAGAGGGGTAACAGTAAACTACATTCACGGCCAATAGACTGTTGACTGTTGAGTATTATGTACATGCACTATTCGGCAAGTTCCTGCAGTCTCAACACTCAACGGCAGGCTGAGACCTCAAGTTCCTGAAATTGCGTTGTTACTGACAAAATGCAACAAATGCTCGTTTCAAATATAATATGATCGATTCTAATTCAGTCTCGTAACCAAACTGTACTGTAAAAGCGAAGTTCCCAATCAAGTCATTGTTCTTTGAAGAAATGATATCACTAGCATAATTGTGGAGAGTGACTTTATGGAATGGCTAATGCAGTCGAAATGCATTGCTATCGTCCCTTCAGATAGATATATATACCAGTTCGTATAACGTTTATAGCATATGCATACCCACTAGCATTGTAACTCTGGAATTCTACTCGCATGCATAAGGCCCGGACTATAAAACCGAAGATGTGGAATTTGAATTCGTAAATTTAGGGAAACCTTTTGATTAAGAATATTGTGGTAATTGTAGTATCTACCTAGTTAGCCATAAGATGAAGGCAATAGCCCTCACCCATAGCCCACGTGGTAGATATCGTCGATCGCCCTGCGATGCTTTGCTAAATTAAGAACTAGGATACGCTAGTTTTCGAACAAAATGACCGTTCTATAGCTTCTTAGCCCATTTATACAAGTTTCTATTTTAGCTTGTGGATGCTAAGATCGGACTTGATTAAGGACTATCTTTTGATATCGCCAAATTTAAACATTAGAACTAACCAACCATCATCATAAACCACAATGGGGTACCAATATATTCATATGATCGATCTAACGATATTACGTTCTAGAAATATAGCGCTCTCCTGATTCCTAGGTTTAGGGCTCATGCTGCGTAATAGGCAAATATAATATAGCTACCGCGCTTTTACAATACGCCTGCTTGATAAAGAACGTATATATTTCTACCTATATGGTCATATACACAAACGTCGCAGCCAAGTATCACCAATACACCCTCGGTCATTTTTTCTTTCATCTCCACCTCCCCGCCATCATCTTACCAGCTACCTAAGTATCCTCACAAAACTCTCCCAATCGTCAACATCATCATTACCTTAAACCGGAATACCTAATCCATCAGGATCCATCGGGTTTTCATTATCTATATACTATCCAAAATGCCACTTTTTTCTCTCCCCCTCGAGCTTAAGCTCCATATTCTCGGCGACATCAACTCCGAGATCGACCTTCAATCCCTCATAAACAGCTGTCCTGAATTTCGTGATATTAAAGACACCAAATACTGGCCTGATGTCGAAAAAAAGGTCATCGAGAACGAAACTCGTGAGAACACAACCGCCGAGTTAGTAACACTCTCGAAGCTATTAGAGGTCAAGAAAATCGCAGGGGTACGTAGTTCCCAGCTCTTCATTAATCTACATTGCCATGGGTAAGAATCTTATTTATTTATTATGTACTATAGTACACCGGCTTCGCAAATATCCCAGAAATCGACGAAAAAACTCTAAAATCCGACCTCAAAAACATCGACCTAAAGGTCCTCTGCGACCTCCGCCTCACAATCCGCTGGTGCACTAAGAAATTCTACAAAGCCTACATGAAAGCAACAGCCCCAGATAGCCCCCCTCTAACCTTCCCACCTCCACTTACCACCATCAAAGAACTAGACGATGCAGTCTGCTACCTCTGGTTGATCCTGGAAGCGAACAGTGATCCAAAGAGCACATATCCCTGCATGTTGAGAGCCCCAATTCTCGATTGGCAAGTCTATAGAGCTGCACAGGAGCTTTATGACGGTGCTGTTACGCATAGGTTTGGATATATGCATCTAGTTATTGATGATAAGTTGGTGAAGTTGGGAAAGGCTTGTAAGAAAGAGTTGTTGAAGAAGTTCGGAAACATATTGGATTTTGCAACGGAGAAAGATAAGAGATCCTTTTTCTACTGGCTTGACACTTGTAAGTTCTAATTCCATCCCATCTATTCATTTTTTATTTTCTTTTGATTCAATTGATACCTAATCCGGAGAATAGTCACGAAATGGGGTTTCCCAAAAACCATCCTCTTGGGTGCAAAAATCGAGCGTCTCAAAACTCTCTTGTCAGTTCCCATGAGAGAGCGTATCAAGTTAGTAGAGGATATCTATCGCTTTGCTGTTATTCTCGATGACCGTCATGGTCTTCTTTCTCGCAGCACCCGACAGAGGAGGCAAGAATGGTTGATCAGTTGGTTCGCTGACCAGACAAAGGATTGCGATATACGCTGTTACGCGAGGAGCATGGCCGGATAGTACTGGGCCTTACCTTAAGTATATACCTTAGTAACTAGTGGAGATAAGTCTATAAGATATATATGACACACACGCGAAGGAATGTCTTCGCTAGATCATTCGTGGGTATAGAAGGTTGTTGTACTTTAATAAATTAAAAGTTTTATATGATGCGGTAGCTTAGTTAACTTGCACGGTAGTAGTGGTGGAGGCGGAACCCAGTAGTTGTGCTGTGGGGTTCGGAATTCGGGTGGCTGCTGGGGCATTGTCGGTTAATCCCGTTGGTTACCAAGATTGGACGAGATTCGGTGGGTTCCTGACTAGGAAAGTCCTCGCTTCTTTGTCCTGGTTACCAGGGTTTTCTTGGCCCGATTCCGATCGATTCATTAATATTTTCAGCCTCACTTTAAATTTCGCCATGGCATGGCAATGCAGGTGCTCTACACGACCTTTTTACTTGTATTTGCCGGCCTAAGCTAGTCCGTACTGGAACACTATGCTTACTCTCTACTAAGCAACTGCCTGCTCTCCGTGTCTCTCAAAAAACCCTCAGTCTCCATCCCATTCATCTTCGAATTCCATGCCTTCTCTTGATCTTAACACATAGCTCCCTTAATGCAATGCAATGGCCCCAAACACCCTCCAACTAGCGTGTGCGACCACACCACTTATCACAATCACAATCCTCTCCCTCCCCACAACCTCCCTAATCCGCCAAATTCTATACCCACTCCCAGCACTCCTATTCCTCCAAACGCTTATCTCACCTCCAAAATTCCCATCATCAGATATCGAAGCTATCCAAGAGGCATTCAAACTCGGTACCTTATACGCCAGCTTCGGATTCGCGTTTTGTCACTATTTGTACGCTTATGGGTATAACACTCCCAAGTACTTTTACAAACTCAAACGAATCAACAAAAGCAATAATGATGAAAATGGTGACGTTAGCGACACGAAAGAAAAAGTGGAAGAATTCGAAAGAGAGGCGTATCCAGAAAATAGCTCGTGGGGAAGGGTTAAATGGTCTTTATCGTTAATAACGGCATTACGCGGTATCGGATGGAATTTTCAAATCTCCAGTCTTCCGGCAACAAAATATCCTTCCTCGAAGGGAGCTTGTATACGACAAACTGCGGTTACTATCATTCTAGCTCACATATCATGGCTCGCGGCCGGTGCCATCTGTGGGTTTATAGCACGAATACTCCGAGATCCGGAGTTCGCTGGAAGATACTCGTTGTTACACAGTTTATTTGGGAATGTGTTGGTTCAGATGGCGGTTGTTAGTGGTGCTTGGGGGATAAGGAATATCGCGTTTACGGTGCTGCTGTCTTCTTATTTGAAAATTATATTTGTGGGGTTGGAGGTCGGAGGTGGGTGGGGGGATATTAAGCAGTGGCCGAGGATGTTTGGATATTTTGAGGATTGTTGGAGTGTAAAGTCGGTTTGGGGGAAGGTGTGGCATCAGTCTATTCGGAAGGTTGGTATTCTTTATCATATGCTTTCTTGTTTCAGGGCTATTGCTAATTATGAGGGGTGATATAGTGTATACAAGTACCTGGGGATAAAATAGCAGATATGGTATTCGGTACCGAGCCGAAGTCATTGCCGTATCCTATACAACTACTCCGTCGGGTTTTCCTTTTATTCTCCGCATTTTCAATATCCGGTTTCATCCACGCATCGGGTTCATACTTCATCGTTGTCGGTACGGATTACACCCAACCACCTGGTAAAAATCCACCATGGTATTATACCTTTCTTTTCTTCATATCCCAGGCTTTCTTTATTATAGTTGAAGAAGTTGTCTTTTGGACCCTTGGGGTGTCTAATACTGGGGCAGAGGTTAAAAAGAGTAAAACCAGGTGGCTCTTCGGGATCGGGTATACTACTTTGTGGTTTATTTGGTGTACGCCGGTGTTATGGGCTGATCCGGAGAGTAGAGTCGTGGGGTTTATGCCGCTGGGGGTGGAAGGGGAAGGGTATGCGCATGTTTTTGATAGGATTGATAGGTTCTGATATACTCATGATGAGTCGGTGATATTAAAAATAATCTAAAGAGTAGGATTTAATGGTAGGGATATCGATGGCTGTTAATGTGTATTTCTAGATAGTTTAGTAATTTCTAGAGTAGAATTATATCCGGTTATGGTTCTTTCGCTGGCTACGATAAAAGTTCTTCCATCGGGGAGGGTCACATGACCATTTTGACTGCTCAAATGTATTATGTGATGCGACTATACTACTGGATAGTCGATCTGCTCATATACCTACATACAACAAGCTGACGCTTCCATAACCAAAAATTTTCTTATCAAAAGCGAAGACTGGCCGAACTCGCCCCGTTATGTCTCTAGACCAAGACTGGCTATAACTTGATGCCTTACAACGAATTTAGTCTTGTCCGTCTGCACTAGGCTAGTCTATAGATCAGACCAATACTCGTTTAAATTTATTTGAGCAGAAACGGACAGATAAACTAGGTCAATAGGGGACCTATGTACTGCAATGCGACTAACTATCAATTTCACTATGAGAAAAAGTCTTTCTCTCCCTGTTAGTACTTCCATGTCTCTCCCACCCGTCTGTATGTGAAAACCTCATATTGCATTTTTGCAGATACGAAATGATTTCTATCAGTAAAGACGCTGAGCTAACTCTTCATTGCATTAGTTAAGCTCGAGGCATGCGCATATGCAAAGACAGAACTATGATCATGTCAAAAAAATAAATACATATTATTAAGTGGATTAAATTCGTGTAAACAGCCCTCCTGGTCGTACATGTACTATAAGATATCGATGGGGCTTTATATAGCATATCCCCGGTATAGTAATCTATAGCCTTGCGCGCTGTGATCCGTTGAAAATGGCGAGGGCATCGATCACTAGCCTTCGAGGTACTTTCGAATCAAACAAAAAAAAAGATTCCAAGTCAGTTATGACAATGAAAATTGTCACATGACTGGAGAAATATGATTTATATTTGAGTGACCGGGGGGTACGGGGTATGAGGGTGGTCGCAGTGTTACTTCAAGGGGCATTATGATTTAGACCCCCCGGTGAAGGTAGATAGATAGAAGTACTTGCAGGTCTGCACTATAGAAAATGTTATATAGGAATAACGACTAAAAGTCTAGCTACTAGGTAGTAGTCAAAAGATGTCTCAGGATCTCATGCAAAGAGGTCTCAAAAGGTTTCTGGGTCGCCGAATAGCATAACTCCCGCCTTTCTCCTTTTTTCATCCCATTTCTCCTTTTTTTCTAGAAGTTCTCTTCCCGAAGCTCCTTCTCTTCTTGTTTTTTAAGCTTGACAGCTGCCTCTATAACAACTCTTTCCCTTTCAGAGTCATACTCCGAACCTTCCTCGTATTCTGTAGATATAAATTCATCCCCGCCTGCCCCAAAATCTTCACTAGCCATCGTATTCTTCTTCAGCTCTTCTAAATCTTCGGGGTCCCACCAAGCAGTTCCATGACCATTCAGATAGGAAAATTCTTTTGGATGATTGTCCAGATTCCTTTCTTTATCGTTCACCCATTCATACTCCCCATTCCACGCCTGTCCACCAGAGCCTTCACCGATCCTGGTAATTATAAACCCCCGCACAAATTTGAAGCCAAAAGCTGATCTAATAATCCTTAGCTCTTTATAATATCCCTGAGTAAGTTTTTCTGCCATGACGTTTTCTAGGTATCCTATCGGAAGAAACAGTAAAGCAAGGCATTTGAGTTTTGGCAGATTGGGAAGCGCGGAAGGCCAGACATAACTAGCTGTACCCCCCGAGCGTTGTCCTAGTGTGATCAAAGAGATTAGATTTGGGAAATAGATTTGGAGTTGTGGTAGGAATTCTAGATATTCGTCTTCGTTTCTTGGAGATGAAAGGGTTAGGGCCTTGATAGTTGGGTGTATTGGTTGATATAGTACTGGATTCTTGTAGATTCGAGGAAAGTCGTTTGTGGGCCCCAAGATATCGTTAGAACTTGTTCCAGAGGTTTCTGGGGAGGGGACTTCCAAGACCATGATTTTGGAACAATGCAGCAAAAGGAACCAAAACGAATATTCGTAATTTGGAACCATCAATTTCAGGTACAGTAGACCTTTTGGCAGCAGCAATTTTTTTTTTCAATGATAGCTTTGTGAGAGTACTATTCGGTACCCAATAACGACCTAGAGCGGAATACCCAGATCCCCTCTCTTGTTCTGTATTCCTTCTGAAACCATCACGTTGGCGAATTTCTTGTTGTGTATGACCGAGACCCGCTTCTTCTATAATACCGAAATCGCCATGTATTATGCCACGTTCTATGTATCCGTCGCCACCCTGGTACCCTCTCAGCATTTTTGTCCTCGTGGTCATGTGTTCAACATCATCTTGATGCTTGCTATAGTATCCTTGGGGATACAAGTCGCTAAGAACATCTTTCCAACTAAAATTCAGGTTCTGGATCTTATTGTAGTAAGGCAGTGCAGATAATGAAGAAAGGGCTTTGACGTATACTGTTTTTTCTAGACCAAAGCATTTCCTGATCCTTAATATGATCGTAGTGACAGACGAGAAGTTTGACAGTAATGGTATTAAAAGAGATAGATCCTCCACTGTAGGGAGGTCAAAGGTAATACGAGTATAGAAACCTAGGAACTGAGCAAAAAATTCGTTCTCTTTGAATATTTTGAGGGTAGTTGGGATGTATTCGTTGTCAACATCAATTTTTATGGTATCAATATTGCGGAATGGGAATATCGTGGAGTAGAATGACTTGGAGCAGGCTGAAAGCTGTGTCTTTTCCAAACTATTGAGGTTTTTGAGAATTTCTAGGAATAGTTCGGTGGGTAGGTCCATAAACCCGCAGGATTGTGACATTTTTTGGTTCGTTGTTCGGTTATGTTAAGTGCCTTCGCTAGCTGGGCCAGAACTTATCGAGCCGAGTTTTGACGATGTGGACATGGACAGGAGCGCTATAGCTACAAAGTAAGTATTTATATGTCCACATAGAATACTCTATTCCCGTGATCAATTCTTGTAAAATGCGTCATCCCTTATGACTGCTCTCGCGCCATAAAACCGACCAGGATTACCTTCAAAAGGAAAATAAAACATCTAAAACAAAAAAAGAATCATCATCATTATTGGAACACGGCACTTTTAGCGCGTTTTTTCCGATACCGGGAATCGAACCCGGGGCTGTCCGGACCATCTTAAGTATACACAAAGTAGACTTTGAAAGCGGACGATGTTAACCACTACACCATATCGGATGAGGTGATGTGCGTATTTTGACGGGTGGTTTGGGTGCGTTTGATAGGATGAGTGTGGAACCGTGACTTTTTGTGAACCTGTATGCCAGTGCCAACATACAATTGATTGAGTTGGCACTGATGCTGATGCTTCCGAATTCTCAATGCTCTCGTATTAGATGTTAGCGATAGCTTCGTCTCGTATTAAGAACTTTGATCTTATTGTCGAATTGCGTTTCCTAGAGTAGGCCGTGTTGATTGATGAAAGATGTGAAGTACCATAGAGACTGGGCTACAGCTATGCATGGCTCTGGATAAAGCGACCGGTTGGTATGTCGATGCGGGTATGCACAACGCTGGCCGACCACCCGGGCGAAGACCGATGGCGCACGTGACTTCCACGAAAAGACTCACCACAACCCCGCCAAAATCCGAAACCCGTTCTTTCATTCGCATTCATCTACAACATCAATCGTTTGGAGTCAAAAATCTACAACATATTTTCTACAACCATGGGTGGTAAACCAAAGGCAGAGAACCCCAAAAAGGCCGCCGGCAATGCCCGGAAAGCCGAGGCCGCTGCTGGGAAGCAGGCTAAAGCTGATGCTGTCAAGTCTGCAAAGGAAGATGCTGAGTGGGCGGAAGGTTCGAAGGATGGTTCGAAGAAGTATGGTTTTTTCTTCCCATTCACCGTTTTCTCGTAACACATCATAACACTGTATTGGTATCTAATTTTTATGACTATGGCGATAGACAAGCAGCCGAAGCCAAAAAGCGTGAAGCCGCCGCCAAAAAGGCCGCCCGAGACGCCGAACTCGCCGAAGAAACTGCCGCCTTGAAGACTACAAAGACAAACCCCAAAGCCGGTGCCAAAGGGAAAGCCGCACCAGCCTCTCGCAGCGGCGGTCTAGACGCTGCTCTAGCAGGTTTCGATGAACCTGGATCGTCAAAATCCGCTGTCCTTAACGCCTCAGGTATTGACAACGCACTCGACGCCCTCTCGCTCACCTCTGGTGCCGCTTCTTCGGCCTCTATCGACCGTCATCCCGAACGTCGCTTCAAAGCTGCGTATGCGGCATATGAAGAACGTAGAATGGCGGAAGGAAAGGCTAATGGAGAATGGGATGGTCTCAGGCAGAATCAAGTCAAAGACAGGATTCGCAAGGAATTCGAGAAGAGTGAAGAGAATCCCTTCAATCAAGCGAGTGTTAGCTTTGATGCTAGCCGAGATGAGGTGAGGGCTGTAAGGGATCGTGAGGCCGGGAAGATCGAGAAGAGATTGGGGGATAGGAGTTAAGGACTGTTTTGGTGTTGTTGTGTACGAGAAAGACTTTACGAAGGATAACGACGTTTGGTGGGCATGTCATGAATGTGAGTACTAACTATTACCTGGTCTTTCGTGATGTCTCAGATAGTAAGCTAACCCGAATTCTCGATAGAGTGTGGACTGAAGCGCCCGTTCCACAGATACTCTAGCCTGTTAAGCTAGCAGTGACGTGCCCTGCATAACAAGCATTACAATCATGATAACGAACTGTCTATTTGCATTCTTTTTGTAACAAAATCAAACAAAAAAATTTGGAAGTTCGTTGATTTGATAAAACTGACGCAAACCTGCTCACTTTAATGTTGTGATCCCTGTTGTGTGGGGGCTCTATCGTGACCTGACATGTGGAGCCTGTGGATATGATGGTTCGACATGTCGACGCAATAATCACATTTTATATCTCCCCTCTTCCTCAGGTTATTCATTTTTGTATGCATGATCCTAAATTCCATCGCCCTAGATCCCGAAACTTGGTGTTTTGTGCTATGCTTCAAGGCAATGATATTTTTATATGTCTGGACAAGCGCTCTTCTTCTTCTGGCTCCCGATCAATCTTTATCACTTATCAAGTTACCTGCCGAACATCACCAGGTCATCAGCTTAGGAACCAAAGTTCCAAACCACAGCGCTTCGCTTTCACCCGTTGTCCGTGTCGACAAACTCCATGACACGAAATCGTATAATGACCCTCATCTCGAACCCCAAGAACCACATATCAACCTTTCTCAGATGTATCCAATGACTATAATTTCCATACCACCAGGATCGTCTGGTGCGAATAAATCGGTTGACACGCCTCCTGTGCCGCTCTTGGGGCTGCTTGCGATATCTATGTATCTGATGGATTTTTTTATGATGTGAAGCCCACATATACCGTGAAAGCAACATGATGGGTTTAACGTTTTTGGGTTTATGCAAGTTGATTGAATTAGGGTCAATTTGTCCCGTAGGTCGTCGCTATGTCTTTTTGAACAGAATATCAAGTTGAATCAGGTATTAATATTCTACTTCTAGATTTTACTCCTTAATAAGAGTATGGGCTGAGAGTAGGTCACTTGCAAGGCATATTTTCGTGGTATCGAGATACGCGCTATCGCATACCGATATCCTCGATTTCGCGGTTCAAACTAGACAGCCCAAACCAACATCTACCAGCTACTTCGGCAACGCCAACTCCCTACCATTTAATTTCTAGAAACTCGCATTTTCAAAAACACGTCTGCTCAAAAAATAACCCAATCGGATATCAACCGCCATCTTTTGCTCCACAATTTTACTTCGCCCCTGACAAATGTCTACGGGAAATGTTTAACGAAAAGGGAGCGTTGGTGCGGGTGTTTCGCTTAAGAGTCCACATCTGGGAAATTGGCTTATTGCTTGGCTCTGCGCGCAAACTGGTGCTGGGGGATAAAACCATAGAGATGCATATATTAACCGTTAACCACGATTAGTTGAAGATGAATTGTGGATACTTATGTTTTGAGGATGGGCGCATGGAATTCTTCTCTGTTTTCGGTTGTAGGCAGTGAAGGTTAGGGGATATCGATATCGATATATCGTAATGATTCACCTTGGCGAAATTCATTATCAATTGGCATTGGCCGTGTATTTATTCGATTCCTCTCCTCCATGGGTAGGAGTGTGAGGATATCGAGATATCACAGTAGATAATTGTGCATATTGAAATCATTTCTCTACACTCGTTCACAATTTTATTCATATGTTTCACTTATAATTCTGTAGCCCTTCAAACCATGCTATCCGAACACCTCGCCCTCCTGGCCCTCATAGCCCCTCTGGTGTCCGCCCAATGTAGCGGCTACAACTACATCCCCAGTTTCCCCCACTGCGGCATCAACTTCTCCGACGACACATACCTAGAATCCAACCTGATCCCTCTCGATTCCGGTTGTCCCCAAGCCTTCGGTAACAACTACCAAGCCAAAGCCACGTACACAGACTACGAAGGTGTGGTTTCCACCGTTGGGCTGGTAAAACCCGTGACTTCACCGTCTAATCCGATGGAGACGGTGAGGTTTTTGTATAATATACGTTATTCGCATATTTTGGAGGATTCGCCGGTGACGGTGAATTATTATTTTCCGAGGAACACGCTTACGATTTCGGTGCCGGCGTTTACAATTTATAATACGGCGGTTTATACGGATGCTACGTCTACGACTCTTAGTACTGTTGAGAGTGGGACTACTAGTAAGTTGTTCTTCTTGTACAAATTTGCAATTAATCTAGTTGGATTGAACTGACGATAGATAAATTATATCAGCATCAACCTCAACAATACATTCGACATCAACCACAACTACGACAAAGCTCTCAACTATAACTTCCGTCGGTGTAACAGAAACCATAACCCTCAAACCAATCACCAAAACCCGTACGATCACTCACGCCGTAAAGCCAACTACAAAGAAAGTCTTCACCACAAAGAAAATAACCACAACCCTGCCATGCATTCCAAATCCAAAACACCCCCGTCGTCAACTTCATGACACACCAAACCCCAATCTAGATTTAAACCGTAGAGACACAGTCTTCGAATCCAAAACCTATGTAGTCCCAACCTGCGCGAATACCCGTCCCACCACGACTACATTATACACAAACACTGTCGTTTCAATTTCCACCATAACCACCAAACTCACAAAGACAGTATACACCACAAAGATAGACAAAACAGTCACGAGCACATCCACTCTAACGATCTGGAACAGCGCCACCGGTCGAGTCACTGTAACCCCTCCACCCGTCACAATCACCAAAAACGTCAATGCTCCAAGGGTCACAGTAACTACTTCGGTGACCATCAAACTCACGGTCACCAAGTATGCTACAAAGACTTGTTGTAATAAACCACCTCCTCCAAGGTATACGACGAACAAGAGTTGTGTGATTAAACCGCCAAAGACTACGACTAAGAAGGTTGTTAAGACGACGACTAAGAGGGCGCCGGTGGTGTATAAGACTACGACGAAGAAGGCGGTGAAGACTACACCTAAGGCACCGGGGTATAAACCAAAGACTACGGCTAAGCCGAAGCCAAAGACGACGAAGAAGTGTACGAAGAGTGCGGTGAAGACTACGAAGAGGTATTAGGGGTTTTGGGATATTGTTAGGAGGTAGATGTGAGGATATCTTGTTTAATGCAATTATTTGTAATAGCCAAAAAATCAAATATTTATAGTCAATTGCTTCCAAAATACAATTTAGTCGTAGGCTGGACATAAAGAGTGATAATTATCGGTAACTGAGCCTCTGTGCTACCACGATCTACAGACGACCACAGACGACCACAACAGCCCAACACATCTGGTCCGTCCTATGCAAGTAGATCAATTTTGCGTTGTAAACCAAAAAATGCACCCAAGAAAAAATTTTGCATCGCGTAAAACTCAACAACTCGAATTTCGAAGCTTCAAAAAAAGAAGATTTGAATCTACAACAATCAGGATTCGCATATGGTCACCCACTATACTACTGGCTGATCGATAAGAGGCTTATATAAGGCAGAGCGGACGGGATACCTAGTGTTCCTCTTTCTGTGGTCGTAGATATCAGTTATTGATGCTGTGGGGACTATGAAGGTTACTTGGATGGTTGTGATTGGCAGGGAATGACCCGGGAAGAGAATTTTTCCTTGCCAGAGACCAGGGTACTTAGGAAAAAAAACAACAGGTTTGGGGAGTGAAATTTGGGGTGAATGAGGGTTCGAATGGACGGTTAACGGTTGAGAAGTTCGATCGTGAAAGAAGATATGTACAAGGGTGCATTGATATTGGTTATTGGGTACCTGTTTATGAGTGTATGGAATTCAGATAATTTATCATTCGACGATTACATTCTGAATATTTTCATTGAGGATCTTGTTGTTGGTTTCGTCTAATTGTTCTAGGTCAACTATGCGGCTCCGTCTCTTTGTTTCTTGGGAAAGAATAACCGATAGAGAGGTTTTGGGGGAAGCCTGGCATGCATATGGTCGCGAACAATGTTACGAAGCGAGCTAAAGACATCGTAGCAAAATAAATTTATGGGTTTGATTGTATATTTATTACTGTGTTCTTTGATAGTTGCAGCGTACTTATAAAATGAGGCTCACATAATGTTGATACCGAACCTTGGCCTATTGCATGTTTCAAATTATTCTGTAACTCGAGTGTTTTACCTCATTGAATCAATTATAATTGTTCTTATAATTCTTTTGAACATGAGGCACAAAGAATAAAATCACTAAGGCAATTTCGAAACGGTGGTATACAGACAATTATAATGAACTCCAAGAGCCTAGTCAACTATAAAAGGGCTCAGGTGGGCTTACCTTTTTAAGGCCTTAGAGAACATAGATCCAACTGGTAGTGACCCAACGAAGGGCAGAATATTTTGATAATCGCCTCTGCAAAGGCTAGGAAATCTTTGATAATTCTTTAAAAATTTAAGTTTCTTCTCTATTTCACTTATATCTTCATTATCGATATATCTACATATACTATAGATAAGAAACTCTTGAAATTAGCCGTCAAGTATCGACCGACTAACGCCATCAATGGCCCCGGGACGTTCGAAACAGCGATGTCAATCGGTACCACCGAATCGGACATCGAGGAACACGTGGGTTAAAATTTCACAATTTCTACCAAGGCAACCGCTAATACGTTTTGAATAACGAATTTTAGTTTGAACACTCATGTTGGAAGAGTTAGAAATAGACAAGTCTGTCACGAGTCCGAGCCTGATGAAACTGAATTGGAAGAAACTGAATCGGCGAAGTCTGAATTCGAAGAGTCTGGGTCCGGCGGGTCCGAATACGAAGAATCTGGGTCTGATGTCACTATTGACGATGACCTTGATGGAACATGGTTCCCAGTAAGGGAACGCATTATCAGATCCGAAGATCGCGACGTAAATCCCGAAGACGGCGAACAGAGACGCAATTATGAATCAGTCAACGTCCTACTTCTGACCTTTGACTACAATGACTTAGGTCTCGAAAAAGAATCCGCAGGTGTCAAGAATGCTTTTCAAAGGCTAGGTTATTCTGTAACCCCATACCAAATGCCAATGAAAAATACTTGGCCAAAAGTTAAACGCAAATTGAACGGTTTTTTGAGGACTCGCGAAAATCGTTACGAACTACGAATAATCTACTATCATGGGCATGGGTCAACCGTAAAGTACCCGAATACAAACTACCCAAGGCTTTTGTTATCTAGGTATGTTGCTTTAATCGCATTTTATACGACCCCAAAACTCTTAATTGTGCTCAATTAATTCTAATTTGAATGTTCTTTTTAAGTCATAATACACCCAAAAAGGATAATCCAGAGTATCCTCCAATAGTACGCCGCAAACCGCCACCAATAGTGAAGCTTTTTTGGCATGATATTGCGAAAGAAATTGAAAAAGCAGAATGTGACACCCTCGCTATTCTTGACTGCTGCCTTTCAGGAGCAGCAGCTACTACTGAAAAGGAAGAAGAAGAAGAAGACGTCTTCGGCGACTATCGCAGAGAAATGATCACTGCCACTTGCTGGGACGGTATAACATCCGACCAGATGAGCCCAGCTATGTGGACAGTTTTGAACAAAAGCCTACTCAAAAAAGGTGATTCGATATCTATCGCTACACTTGTTCGAAAAATGAACAATAGTTTGGTGAGAATTGGCGCTTCTCAAGCTCATCATTGCACTCTTCAAAGAAACGAGCTTGGTAAGATGGTTCTTCCTCGCCTTAGTAGCAGTGTCCCAATAGACGAACAAAAATTTTACGACAGGTACAGAAGTTTGAATACACCCGGTATACGGCTTCGCAATCGTAAGGCTCTTGTTCTAGGCGGTGATTGTGGAATCGGGCGATCTGTTGCTATAGCTTTCGCTCTAGAAGGAGCGACTGTCACTATTGCGTACTTCGTAGAACGAGAAGAAGACGCACTGTCAACCAAGCTAGAGGCGAAAAGACTCGGAGCCGGTACAATAAAGTTATACCCTTTGACTCGAGGTTACGAGTCGAGCGATATACTCGAAAACTCTCTTTCAGGACTCGGTGGTGATTCCAGCGTCATTGATATCGTAGTCAACAACCTCGGTTATAAAATTAAGGATGACGAGGAAGAGCCGGTGATGATACCAGCTTTAGCATCGGGATTACGGAGCTCGAAGCCAATTAAAGATCACAATGACCTTCCCTCGACCCAAAGTCCCCTCGAACAGAATAACTTCATTACCACTGCCTTAGATCGGATGAACAGTGAGGGTATCATTATCAACACCGTGCCCCTCCAAAACACAACTGATCTGCTTTCAGACAAGGAATATAATGAATCAATCAGTATCACCAAGCACCTGACAGGGTATCAAGCCGTTAGGGAAGATCCAGCTGCTGTAGCGATCTTCCCAGGACCGGATTCTCTGTTGTTGACCAATGAGGAACAAGCACTCAAAGTTTTGAATACCTTTGTATCCGCCGCCTCAACTACTAATAGTGAAAGGAAGGATATAACAGGAAAAGTCTTGGAAATTATTGGATAGACTCTGGATTGAATAATTGGAGTATTAGGGAGAGTTTTATTCGAGTCGGAATATGAAAGCTGTCGGTTGCTGCGGTCGGGTTTGCGGGTCTAAATTTACAGCGTGTTCATGTGGTAGGGGTTCGAAGGTGAACTTTGGGCGATTTGATTTGCATAGTTTAGTTCCTGTGAATTATTCAAAATAATATACTCATATAAAATCATATATACTGACGAAAAAGAGTGTCCAGTTTTCGGTGGGAGAGAAAGCCGTTCTGTCACCGAGAGGCCAAAAAAATATTTAAAGTTGGTAGACTGTGCATAGTCGTACAAGCCTAGTAATTGTCTAAGGCCATGTTACAGAGCTCGATCTCCTTCCGGAACCGCTAAAATTTCTTGTATCACTACGGGAAAAATTGTCATACCGAAAAGCTTAGCCCACATATCGGTTGTTAGAGCGATATCGATAGCTCTAATTTTCGGGACGAATTTTCCCCGGCTCTGCAAACTGAAGCCTAGCCGCCCCAGATCCTTCCCACGAAAATCGTTTTCTATGGATTGGTAGTCGACCCTGGGATCGCTCCTTGATGAATTCGCAGATTGAAGCTAGTAACTACTCCCGTCGATCCTAGTTTAAAAGCGGGAGCCGGCAGATCGGGTTTTCTAGGTAGCCGTGAGCCATCCGCATTACCCGGTTACATCGTCTCCCATTTGGGCACTAGCTCGTAGCCGTCCGCGTATGACGTGCATACACATGTGAATCTGTCCCACCTATATCGCCATTTTGATATGATTGCCACATTTAAATTTTAATTCAATTTTCGAATTCCCGGTCAGTTTGTAAGGCAGGCACTAAAGGAAGCTACGAAGTAGGAGAGGGAGAAAGAGAAGTTTTTTTTTCAGAGGCAGCTGCAATTGACGATTTTATTTTATGCCCGGCCTATTTTTTGTATCTAGCTATTAAAGTCGGCCAACTCTTCTTCACTAGGCAAAAGGGTATAGGAACAGACAGTACTGATACATGCGAACGAATGACTGGAAGTAAGAGAAAAAGGAAACAGGATTACAAGGGGTTTGTGACGACTTCCTCCACCACAGTTTTGAGAGATAGATAGTACATGTGAGTTCCTGGGGTATAAATCTTCAATTGGCCCTGCAAGAAAGGGTATGATGCAGTTCGGCAGGCAAGAACTCAGTGAATGCTTCTGATTATGAGAGTTTACCTTCCAATGATGTCGACGATCAAGTTACCATTGCCGAAAGCAGCGTTGCTACCTATATGGTTGTGAAAAGCCGTGGTTAGTCTTCTGAGCAAAATGCAACAAGAACAAGTAAATGTAGTTCTTACCAGCGACACGGTTGTTGGAGATACAGTTGTTGAGAACCCAGGCACCACCGAGAGCGGCATCACGGCTAAGATGTTACTGTTAGCAAATCTGTGATATTTGACTTTCCGTTTTTCTTTTTGGGAAACAAGAACTTACCAAGAAGAGGAAGCGAAGGCGTTGTTCATGGTGCGGGCATCCCAGGCGCAACCTCCCATCTTACACATTTGGACTCTTCCACGGACTTCGCATCTGTTACCACCGATGCTGTTCAAGTAGTTGTAGCAAGCACGAGCATCGTTAACGGTGCATCGTGGTTCACCCCAGCATCGTGGCTCGTATCGCTTCTGGAGCATGTCTCGTGCAACGATTGCATCGAGCTCTATAGCACAAAGTTAGTATGCTGGAGATAACGTGGTGATACAGAAGATTTTGTCATACCTGGGACAGGCTTGGTCAAGTCGGCGTTGGTGAGACCAAGCTCCTCAACGGTTGGGTAGCCAGGAGCGACCTCGATGAGCTTAGCATAGTCAACTTCTGGAGCTGGGGCTGCGACGGCAGCGCCGAAGAAGCTGAGAGCAGCGGTGATGGCGATGATGTTCTTAGTGATTCCAACCATTTTGATAGAAGAAGGTTTACAAGAGATTGTAAAGGTAGTAGAGAATATATAAGATAGAAGATTGACTGTTTGTTAAGATGTCTCTGAGTGCTGTAGAATGCTTGATGCTGATGATGAAAGAAGAAGACAAAATGATGAATTTGGAGCCCTTTATATACTTTTCTCGAGGCCACTTTTTCATATAAGATCTATCTTCTCCTAATGAGCTTACACAAGTTTAGCTCTGAGCTCCCTGACAAGAAGCGTCAACCTTCAACTTGGTGATAGAGGTCCCTAGCTCGAGCTCTTCGATCATGATTACTCAAATCCCTAGTCCGGCTGTTCATGATGGAGCTTGTAACGATTGATCACCAGTAAGATTTTGGCCTCCGTTGGGGCCTGCAATCTCGGAATTGCGATGGCAATGGAGGCCTGGAGAGGCTCTGTAGACTGATCAACTCTGTAATTGGATTCCGGAATGCGAATAGACTGCTGTCTTTGTGACACGAGGTTACTATGGATCCATGGAACCTGCATGGGGTCTGGGGAAAGCTGTAAGCTTACTGGCTAAGGTATTTCCGTTGGTATCCAAAGACTGTAGCTAAGCCTTGGATTCATCAATCAATACGAGCTCAACGGCTCGGGATGAGTTCGGAGCCCTTTGTCAAGCTACTCCTGGATTGCATGGGCCTTAATGGTATTGTCAAGAGGCTCTGGGACTGGGATATATCTGATTCTACGGGGGAAAAATACCTCCTGACGTTTATATTGCACTCTTCTCTAAGATTACTCTTACTAGTAATACTTATAATCCCAACAAAGGGAGCAAGCTGCCGGTAAAAACACAGTTTATGCAAACATGGAGGACTGTATGTGCGTATGCGCATACGCTGTAATCGGGTTATAATTATGTTTAGGTCACTCGCTGTATTTGTCTATGACGTCCCAAGTAAGTACAAGTATCAAGAGAGCCTAGGGACAAAAAGTCCCTAGCAGACCATGCCATATCAACGTTACCGTTAACCGTTCTAAAGTTTAAAATCCACTCCGATCCTGATTGATACATTATCAATATTGATTAATACCGCGGAAGTACAACAGCCTATCGAAGGAGTTCGGGGTATGCATATACAGGAACCACGGCCGCAGCATTGTTACATCGCATGACCGCATCCACATTCATAAATTTGCGAGAGCATTCCATTCGATGCATATGCGCATTCCCATCCCCGGATAAAGCTTCTTTTCAGCAGATCCTTAGCCTTCTCTGTTCGGTTAAAATTCCGACCAAGCCCTCGCCGGGCTTGGTGGACCCTCGCCTAGCGCCCGTCCTCCCGTCTTACATAGACTTAACCAAATGAAGTGGTTCCGGTGTAACATTAGACTTGGCCCTGCGTCAGGATTTTCTCCGGATCAGACTCGGGCTTATCCGGGCCAATGCTTGACCATCGTGTTTTACACATGCGCATGCTATCCCAGTGAATATCCCAGTGAACTGTAAGAGAAATTCTCCGTTGACAGGGCCCACTTCGTGATACTGGCGTGTTATGCTCCCGTTTATCGATATTAGTGGTTCTGTAGGGCTCTTGGGGTGCTCTTGGAGTGCTCTTGGAATAAGGCCGTCAGATTTTACCTCAAAGTGGAGGCCCGAGCGTATGCTGTGCCACCGAAAAAGGCTACTTGGCTTCCACAATCCAACAGCTGATCCTGGTCATTATTGTGTTGTATAACCCACACTTTCTCTAACGAACCCATACACCTTCCTTATATTGCATAAGATGTAGCGCTGATCCATGAGAATCTTCTGATTGACATCCACACCTTCTTTGCGGGGAGCCAGTCTGAGGCTCTATAATGCGTAAATACCTAGGGCTCTCAAACTTTCATTACAAGATGACATCGAAAATTAATAATCATCAGTCCGCTGATCAGTGCGGCATTGGGCTTTACCAGATCCTTTCAATTCCGAACCCCAACAGCCTTACAGTAGGAACTCATCCTATTCCCTAATAGTATTAATGCCGGCCAAGCTATTTCTAGAAACAATAGCAGCACCGCCCTAGGTGCATTGATTAGTGCGCACCGGGATCCTAATCGTTGGGGCCTCTCCTGTTCCGGATATAGATATGCGGCGCCCGGTTTCGCCGATTGGATCAAAGGCTTCCCTTGGGACTAATATTACTTCCTTCTATTTGAAGAGATATATCGGACATCCGACGTATACCGATAAATCCTTAGTATACATAGATACAGATCGAAATACAAACTTTCCTCCTGTTCAGGTCAATCATAGCCGGCCCTTGCTGCGGATGCTACTGGCTATCGTCATCATCGGCCGAGTCTGGGTACAAGACAAAATCATCACATTCTTTTACGGATCGGGAACCCAGGGGGTTATTGCTGACGTCGAGCTCCCTCCTACCAGGGTCGCAGGGTCATCTCCGCATTTCGGGGCGCTACTGCCAGGTACACCCATCAATCTCATCGTATAGAAACAAGGACTGCAGAAACAACATCGACGCTCGAATCTGCTAAACGTAAAACCCAAGCTTCGCGGATACCGTCTTATGCTTTTGTTGATCTAGGCATGATACTTGGCCATACCTTCAGTGAAAATAATCCCTCATCGTGCGGTCACAGGCTCGGAGATCAACCTGGGAGCAACATCAACGACTGGCTATCTCGAGAGCGCTAAGCAAAGGATCTCACGGATTTTCTAAATGTAGATACTCGCCGACTTTTTCAATTTATTAGCTAATCACAGACCTCAGTTCACCTGAATAGCTCCATTGGGCAGTGCAGGTCCGCAGGGGTGTGTAGAGCCATATATTATGACTAAAAGGTAAATTCTAGACAATCTTCGGACAAAGTCCTAAATCCAATCAACTTTAGACAATAGATACGGTCTCTCCTTGTCAGAAGTCCAGCTTATATTGATAGTTTGTGGAAGGCTCGGCCGTAAGAAAGCAACTAGTTAAGCTCGGGGCGAATCGGCGCCGCCAACATTGGGAAGCTACGTAATATAGCATATTATAACAACTTCATGGCGCCGGCCAGCAATCTTTAAAGCCTCTAATAGGAGGGTGAATCAATAAAAGGATTCCTGTAATGATCTGCCAGACTGCTCCTACAAGCAAAATCCTAGGATATCTGTAGTTCGTCGACATAGCCGAATTTTGAGATCGAAAGTTAAAAAAATTCTACCTAGTAGTGCCGAATCACTTAGGGCACTTCATTCCTTATGATAATAGAAGGCTCTGAGGTAGATTGATACCCCTGGAATAGCCACCAGAAGCTTGGTGCATCAAATTTTAAAACATCGCAGCCTGAAAGGATATGTTGGAGTCCTCTATCGATATCACCGAGGAATGTTAGACACACAAGAAGAACCCCTTTGACCAGATGAGTAATCACCCCCGCTTTGTATAACCTTCCCAAAAGAACGTTAACGGTCCGATTTGGCGAACGGTACCAAAGTGCAATGAGCCTCAATCTCAATCGGCCTCGATTAGATGAGGTGGCTTGGCATGCATATATTGAACAAATGCTGGCCCTAGAATTCTTGTGTTTTGCTGTATCCTACTGACTAATTGATTAGTCTTGAGGCCGGACGCGTCGCACCGATAGACAATTGTCTCGACCATCCAACCAAAGCCTAAAACGTCACGATGTCGGCGGGGCGTCCTTTATCCGCAGTATTTTCTAACCTATTTTCCGATTCTCCGACAAATATTCCTAGTGGAATTTTAAAATTTTTCTTCTCGTATTCGCCGCGTAGACCATTGTCTCGGCAGCAGCCCTCGTCGGAATGCCAATATACTTCAGGAGCTGAAGAATTCGGAGGTAAGATTTTAGTCTAAAGGTTAAGGCTTGGCCTCAAGGCCTGAAGTTAAACTCGACCGGGATGGACAGCCTTGTGTGCGCGCATTTTATAGCAACACAACTTAGCTGGCCACAAGCTTCCAGGCCAGCCTTCTAGCCTATCGATAGCCGATGCCAGATCACTCTTGAAGAAAAAAATGCGAAAAAAACAAAAAAAGGAAAGAAGAATGCCAAAAGGAAGGGATCCTCGAAGGCTTGGCTAAACTTTCTTTTATCTCTCGTGTGTTCGAGGCCGTTCAATTGCTTCACCAAGGTTGTTATGATGGCTAAGCTTACGCCAAAGTCGCATAATATATAATTATATAATTAGTTCCGCAACCGGCGACCAGCCTGAAATATAGTATGGCTCATGTCGCGCTCAATATGATTACATGTCCCTGAAAATTTCGAAAACGTTCTTTCTCACCGAATCAATGCTTCAACCCCATTTGTTTCATTTAAGCGGGCCATGCTGTGTTCCTCAGTGAATTGGAAATCCGAGTTTTTGAATCCTTGCTGGTCGTACCATTCTAAGACGGTGAAGACGAGGCTATTGAAACTAAAAGTCGTATCGGTTTCTCTCACATTCAACTCGGAGCTTCCAATATAACCTAAAGGAACGGTTAGGGGAGCCCTGGTACTGAAATTCCGATCTTAGGTGATACAAGCACGAGGACGGAGTATACCCGTGGAAACTCCGTGTCCCCGATGTTAGGGGCATCAGAATTAATTTCGCGTAAAACTGTTGAGTTCTCGCAAAACTGGAACCTCGGTAATAGGGCCCGTAAATGATGCATGAGATGTATGTAGTACAACATGTTTTTATCTTGCCACTGTCACCCGTGGAGGCTCGTATACGAGACCAACATCTGCAGTGTGCAAAGGAGCGGATACGTCGACACGTCACTCACTCAAGTTAAAAATCTCGCAGAATATGAATATCCCTATCGGCTTGTTTTTTACCCGGTGTCGCTCTAGGAAATTCTCTTTCGCTATTCCTTAGACCGAAATTATATCCAAAAGCTCTTCCAATACGTCCCGCGGGCCCAGCCATAATAAATTTACACAAACTTTGGATTACATTACTACACAAGGCGGCGAGCTCCCTACGGCCGGTTGAATCGTTCTACATTCTTTTCTCTATCTAGTGGGCGATATCAAGGCCGAAAAGCTGTGACCATAGCTTGCTGAAACTGCAGTCTACGCATCGAGAGAAATCAAACCCGCCCATTGATAGTAGGAGGGACAACCTACGGCCTCTAGGTGAGAAAGAGGCCCGACAGAATCATAAGTAAGTATTTACGTGCAATAGTCCCTTTCAAACGAAGTTTAGGGATATGAGTTCTTAAATCCCTGAGAGACCTCGGCCTCCAAGGTTTCTTGTATTTCCGCATTACTATCATGGTAATTACTTAGCCACCGTCAGTTTTCCGAGTCCAAATAGAGGATAACTCTACTTCAAAGAAATCTTTGAGAGAGCGAGGCTCTAAGAAAATATACTTACAGCAACCGGCTTTCCTTTCACCAACTATGAGTGGAACTGGTCTAGAGGCAAGACGGGTTCGAGTTCAGGGTGGACTATTGCTAATGAATTTTCAAATAGGCAGACCTTACGCAGACAACGAAGTGCCCTTTAAGAAAGGTGCGAAAAAGATATTGAATTTTCGACAAATCGCTTTAACCACCCCAGTGAATACTCTATTAGCAATCTGGATGCCAACCCCAATATAAAGGGGCAATAATAAAATTCACGGCGGTAAACGCGGGAAGTATCGTTACAAGGAAGTATAAAGGCCTTTTTGTTTAGTGGCGATCTACAAGCTACCCATAAGACTTCGAATATGTAGTAGGTGTGATAGCTCATCTCAGCTGCCTCGAGTTCTAAATATTTACGCCATAGATATAATTTTCGACAGTGCAGAAAGCCTTTTCAAGCCCGATTTTTTAGTCTAAGCTATCACAATGCCTCTACACTTGTGGCCAACTGGCGTCTGGGTACGAGACTAATGTCTCGATACTAGTATACTTCTATATAGACAACGGTCGATATATTGTGCTTGAATTCAGCAAGGGCGTGTATCGAAAGTTGCCTTGAAGTCTTGACCCCTTTAGCTCAACACCTGAGTTATACCTAAGTGAGTTTGTTTCTCAGAAAGCAAGACAAAGGAAAGGAAATTAGGTACGAAGCTTCATTTGACCAAGGGTCGATGTTGGCAAATAATCCCATCCAGACTTCGGGGTTAGTCCGGTACTTCAAATAAAACTACTATTTCATCCTGCATAGATCTATGTATGGACCACTCTCTGACCCTCTAAGCTTATTTACCTTCACGAGGTTATAATATATAGCGTCGTGAGATCTTGAGGTGTATGAGGAACGGTAGCCTCAGGAACAGGAGTATCCTTCATCAAATGGAAAGGTTAAACTCGTAAATATCTCGGACAATACCTAGATCTGCGTAGTGTTGTTCTCCGTGGCCTTAGGCTATCTTCATAAGGTTAATTAATAGACCTTACACATTTCGTTTTGGTGTGGCCAGCAACTTCTTGGAACTTGACCTCGAATGCAGACGCTCTTGAAGCAAAGAGGCCTAGAATTGACCTTTGTACACAAAGACATACGTGATATTTTGAAATGCAGCCGATATCCTTTGGCCTGGTTGAGGAGTCTGCCGACGAGGCAACCTCTCGGCCCTAGTCTCGTAACCTTAGCAAGAACAGCTGGTACATGTACATGTAGCCCTCTAGCTGAAACCAGCCAATATCCCTAATGTGGAAATATCACACAACACTCTTTGACCATTCTTCCAATGTTATCAGCCATCCACAGCATTAGATCTATAGATATCTATGCACACAATTTGACCTGTACCCAGAGCTGGAAGATAGACAGTTAATATTACGCACATATCATAGGTCGCGGCTACCTAGTTAGATTATTCCTGTTCGCAGTCTAAGTTTTTCTAACGGTTTAATTACACATTAGTCAAATAGGTTATAGGCAATTTAGAATCAACTAATCTCTTTCCCAGACGTCACAAAGAGGGGCGTGCATCAGTGTAGTTTCTTAGCAGCTATTCGGTTGGTCCAATCTACAGATCATCGTTTACACGGACAAGATTTATCGCACATTCCAAAAATACTCTCATAATATCTTCCTAGTATAAATCATGATCTTCCGACTGAACTTTGCATATTTTTTTCTACTTCTTTCTCCAGATCTAGCCCCAACCATTTACTAGTGCTACGACACAATTTTATTACTAGCAATACAATCCAGGTTCGAAAGGATTGCCAAACGATACAGCAGTAAGTCAGGCCCCACACGTACTGATCTTCATAGGCTCAGTAGCGAAGTATATATGTATATGGGATATAAGGCGGCTCGAGAAAGGAATTATGGAATTGTCTCGGACCAGACTTTGAAAAAGAGAACTAACTAACGGTTTCACTAACCCTTCTAGACGACCGAGCAGCTGTAGCGACTGCCTCGCGATGGGTCCTTACCGAGCTCAATTCAACGAAGCCCGTCCCGAGTGGCGGATGATGCTCAGCCTAGTTCTCATTACTAGAGCTGCGACCCCGTTTAAGAACTAAGTTTGTTCAAGCTCGTCAGGCATAGGAGGAAAGTTTGGCTGATATGCTTACTTCCGACAGGCCCCGAGACTATTTTCGACACAGATTATCGTCCCAGCGAGTGCCAAATTGGCGAACTCCTACAGAAGACTTCGCTACCATACCGTTATCGAAGAGCGGGTATGTACATATCTATGTCTATGGGAATCAGAATTTTGAATTGGAATTTACGCCTCGCAATAACCGTAGCACCAAGGCTGATTTTCGCTTACCTCATAGGTCCCCTGGAGGCTGTCTCGTCGCCAGAATCCTCAACTATGCCCTAGGGGGGTTTCTTTTACCGTTGGGCGTTGAGAACACACTGCAGTTCCGTCTAACTATTGGTTCGCATTGCTTACAAGTTATCGTACCTCCGCCTGCCGGGTGGATTGCATCAATATCTCAATACTACCTCCGACCGCAGTACCGCTGAGTACATATGCATGTTAGTCTTTGCCTTGTCTATACTCGCAGACTGAACAGCAAAATATTCAAAATAGCAATGTTTATATTTTACAAAAAACGCCCACGAAAAGAAATACACTTCTTAAAAAGGAAACCTGTTTTCCCTTCTAGGGGCTATTAGGATGGCTATTTCGGAGAGTCTTTTGTAAAAAGAGGGCTCGAAAATTCGGCTGCAATAGCGGCATCGGTCGCCTACAGACCGGGACGAGGCCTGTCTCCTTAGGTACCTCTCCAAAAGCTGTCACATTTACAAGGTGAAGAGGATGATTACCTCAGCTAGGAAGCCACATTTGTCCGTTGAGATTCGTTTATCTTGTAAACTAGAATTAATGTTGCTACAAAGAGAGCATCTACCTTTGTTGCATGCACATTAATTATATATTATGGTTTGATTCGTCTAGCATCGAGGCCAAGTTTAAGGAAAGGGCAGGGTGATTTGTCTTCCAGAACGGTGACGTTTATGCATTATGAACGTTATCTAAATGTAAGTAAATACTAGCATGCAAGTTAAAGCTTCAGTTCAATATGTATATATGAACGTATTCATTACAGAAGCATGTCATCAATCGCGATAGCTAGTCCGGGCCAGCTACTTCTTATTGAGCTCATGAGATCGATGGATCATTAACATGCCAATTCACGATTCTTAGATGTATATAGGCATATGGGTGTGCAGCGCTTTATATGCATATGCCTAAATTTAGACTAGATGCAGTTGATCGACATGCTAAAAAAATGGTGTCTGGCTACGGAATATTGACGAACTAGGTATAGAACTACTTGAAAAACTTATATCGTGCTGACTTTCTTCCCTCCCCCAAATCATTTAACAATCTCAGGTACTCCCACCGATAACGAAGGGAAATATATATCTCTCGGCCACCCTTCTAAACTCGACTCATATATATATATAACCACGAATATAATTTAACACTCTTCAATCAAAGACCAATTACTATGTTCGAATACTACTTGAGACTGCCCTTTTGGGCGCAAGTAGTGGTAGCGAGCTTGATCATGAGTAAGATACTTCACCCTCTCGTCGAAATTGCGTTTCCCCTTCCCAGAAATTCAAATAAATCGCTGATAGTTGCGAATCCTTTTTTATACTAGATCCCGCGTGGTATGAGTACCAAAAATGGAGAGACTCGAGGGACAACTGCAAATGTGCATTCTGTACCAAATTTACGGAAAAACATAAGATCCGCCTACAAGAGCTTCGCGAGGCTGGACATGCCGTAAAGATGCCACCGGGATATTATACTGTCGATTATACTCCCGCATCAGCGTCGTTGAAGGATGAGGAGGTTGAGCTGGAATTTGAGAACGCTTTTCGGAAGATGAGGTACACTTGGCGCGAAGAACAGGACTCCAAGCTTCTACAGAATGGCAAAAAGGCCCTACGACAAGCACTCGAGAAGTTAAAGGCAGCCGTTACCAAATAGGAAAAAAATCTTTTGTGCTAGAAGATCGACAGTTCACGGTGCGGCATTTAGAATCAAGTCATATCTTAACCTCCACGTGCGAGATCAGTGTATCTAAAGTAGGATAGAATTTGATATCATTATCATAACAAGAACGAAAGTATTATAGCTCGCTAATCCTTTCTCAATACAACAGCTAAAGCCATCAATCATATCAAATTAAAGCGAGGTACAACAAATACGTCGTAATTAATTCTGTAAATGTTCAAACCTCTAAAAAGAAATTCGCGCATATACCTAGGTACTTTCGAGGTTCTAAGCCACACCTGAGCATCTACTAGCCAATCGCCTTCACCTACACAACATAGTAGACGTCACAAGTCGCCCCCCATATCGCCCCAAAAGGGTTGCTAGCCTCCCAGGCGGCATCCAACACACACTGAACATTATAACTAGGCAGGAAAAAATCCGCATGTCCACCATTCAAATACCAGTTGCCATCATACCAAAAGGTCCATGATTCAATGTTCGCAGGACGACAGTGGCCTCGCAATTGGGCGAGATATCTAGTACCCCAATCGTCATCCCAGTTTCCCCATGTATCGATGTAGTAATGGAAATTTTGGATGTGCCAGCCGACTTGGTAGGCTCGGCAGTTGAGCCAGTTTCCGTCGCGCTTTTTTATGGCAGCGGCAGCTTCCGGGGGGACGGGCTTTCCGTCTGCAAGAGAGATGGTGACGGGTTCGCCGTATTTGAACTTCTTGAGCTCCTCGGGCTGCTTGGCGTTCTTTGAGACGTATTTCTTGGGTTCTTTGGAAGGATCTGGGAGGGCTAAGGCTGTAACAGCCAGAGCACTGATTATAGAGACGAGAGAGAAACGCATCTTGGGGTATTTTAAATCTAGCCATTACAGATGTTAGTCATGATCTTTGAACCGGTGCCAGAACCGGTCCCAATCCTCCCCCGACGCTAGGATCTTACCGAAATCAAGAGATTCTTCTGCCAGTATTCTTCAAAGAACACCTTGTTGAAAGCCGTTGGTGATTTGAATTTTCCAAAAGTTCAACATCAGTGTCTTTGAACCGACCTATTTATACTCAATTTTCTCCTTTTCCGAAATTTCAGTTGTCTCCATTGCCAACCACATACATAGCTCCGCCATTCAACGAAATGAGCCACACGGCCCTCGCATATAAGTCATTAGCTCCACTTCCAACACGGCGAAGCTATACTCTCCGGCTATTAGAACTGGTCCAAACTTGGTATAGTTGTACACGTTGTTGGGATTTTTCGTCGTAGGGACTATTGAGGTTGTTATAAACCTCGCCTTCGCTCTTCGCGAAAATAATCTTGTGTGACGATATGCATCAACCCCGGCTTTGTGGGACTCGCTTTATGAAGTCAACCCTTGAACGTGCGTGATACCTGCAACTGTGATTTACGATTGCATCAATAATATAGTATTGGGGGTATAAGGGCGTTTTTATAGCAGGGGGATGCCATCTGAGATATGGATTCTGGTTGGTAGATTAGCACCCCTAGTTAAGCTTTTGGACCCGCTACCAAGGCGAGGGCTTAGATTTGACAGGGACTTGAAGGTTAGATAATCTGAAAATGAGCTGTCAAAGCCTGGGGCGTTTCCTGTATAAGCTTAAGCTGTCACATACGTCTAGTCTCGTAATGACTTCATGAATTCACTAGACTTTAGCTGTTGTCACGTCTTGTTTCTGGAAAATGTTGCAACTTTTGCGTTGAGTCGACGGGTGTCAAAGAATGTCCACATCCCAAAGATTCGAGGAGAGTCGGTTGTGATTTTATTAATAGGAATCAGAGCACGAATGGTAAAGGTTTTCGGGAGGTAATACTTCACCGGATCGGACAGAAGGAAATACGGCTTCCAACCCGAACCTGTCGTGAGGTCCGAGATTTCGACATTCCTGCATTTACATCCCATTATCAGGCTAAACTTGCCAACACCACTAATGAATGATCAGTAATCAACCATGCAAACGAAAAACTTCACAATATCTTGAGTTAAGCCCCATTGAAAGCCCAGGGCCCCTGTAACTTTTTCTGGAGGATAAAATTTTACAAAATTATCTAAACGTTGTGGTTGGCTTAAAATACCGAGATCGTGCAGCTGTAAACAACTTTGGCGAGATGCCGTTTCATGACCCCCTGTTTTTGTGCGTATCCTTCAGCTGTGCATGGCGAATGGATTTGATACTTCTCCGAGGGTTTACATAGTCGTTTCCTTTGAGCTCTGGGTATTTTCCGGAAACTAAGGTATTGGTGGTACCAACTCATGATGTATCGGACATTCCGGGGTAGTCAGAATCCTTGTAGACGTCAGATCTGCAAAGGACAAAAGACTATATATATTTCGAAATAATTTCCATGTGATTGTATTATAAGTATTGTTTCTAGCTATCATTGTGTTCAGTGTCGATTCAGCTAGCTCGACGTTTACAGGCGGACATATATACCTAATCAGGCGCCAACTATGCAGGAACCCAAGTGATGGCTTGCCGCTCGGGCGTTTCGTGCATGTAGTTATAGAACCTTCTCCCCTAATTTCTTATATGCTATTTGATTCGAGGCTAATGCTCCGAGCCGTTTGTTAAAAAGTATATGTACATACGGGTCCACGTGGTGAATTCTAGATATATAAATGCATCCTATAATATAGTCTCCCACATTCGCTCTTCATTATACTCCATTATACGAGTTATGTAAGTGATTATGATGATCCGTACATGAGGTTAAGCATTTTCAGCCTATTATAGGTGGCTTTGGGATTCTATAGATATACATCGACTTTCGGTATCTAATCTTTCGCAGCGACTTTCCGCTGTACATTCATACAAGCAATATAAGGCCCCCCGGACGAGGAAAATTCATGGCTGCGTCCCTACAAAAGATGAACTTAGGTAATTAAGTACCTCCTTCCTCCCGTCACCTCCATTGCACTCAGAAAAACATTTCGTGGTCCACCCAAGGATCTGAATTCTCATCCATAACCACAAAGTGTCCCTTCTCCATAACCCAAACATAAGGAAACATCGTCTTCATAACTCTAAACTCGGCTTTTTCTTCCTCGGATACTTCATCATTCTCATTACACCATTTTATAACCTCCTTTCCTAACCCAAAGTACTCCTGTTCTATTTCTTGTGGTAGGTTGAGTTTAAACCTCCATGGTCCTATCGTGTACGGCCACGTCGTTTCTATCAGTTCTTTATAAAGACCCAGAACATCACTAGTTTGTTTGTAGTTCGAGGGGAACCTAAGAACATTTCCATTCCCTCCCCCCGGGCATTCTTTCACAAAAATCTGTGAGATTAGATTAATTTCGACCTCAACATCTTTCCCCGCACCTGAAAGTATCTGCTGCAGACGGTATGCAAAAGGCATAAGGATCTTTCTAACTCTTCCTCTAGCTTGATCCGTAATTTTGTAGATTTCGCGACGTCGCATTGAGATTCGGGTATCTAGCATATCAACTCTTATGTGGCGTATAAGACCTCGATATCTTGGTGACGGTGTCGATTCTATTTCGGTATCCTCGACGAATTTGCATACATTTGGACCTGGGCCGTAGCTTTGAAAGCCGGTGTACCATATTCGACTATTTAACATTTCCAAGACTTTAGCATATATGTGCCGGTGTGTTTAGATTTAATTTGAGGAGATGACCATACCCTTCCTCATCATAAGTATATATCACTTCCGACCAAGGGTCCTCGTAAATAACCTGAAATTGACTTCTCGAAGCTGCTGTATTGGTGGGCAATGTTTGCCAATCGGAGAGAAGGATCCGAATGGTGAATGTTGTAGTGGAATAGAAAATTCGGGTTGCCTCGGAGTGGACTTGCTTGTTTACACGGAAGATCGAGAGGTTTAAGAATATAGGAGAGTAAGGAGGCGGGTTTTGAAGTTGGAGCGGGTATGGTACTGGTTGTGCGGGGGTGTAGACAAGGTATTTGTAGATCTCGTTGCGGAGTTCGAGGGGCAGAGCCAGGAAGGGGAAAGAGGAAGACATGGCGAAATTGGTTTGGTCGAGGAGTTACGGTAGATTATCAGGTGCTAGGTTAAATATATATAGAGAGAACTTATATCGCGACTAGGTCCGCGGTGGCAGTTGAATCAATCATGGGATGTAGAACCTTGACAACAGCTTTGGTACTTGTTTTGCGTCTTTGGCCTTAAAATCAACACCACAAGCTGGAATAGGGAAGTGGAAAACACTAAGAATTGGGAAACTTAGAATCTCGCAAATCTATCTTAGCCTTGTCTGATCTATTTTTAGATCCTTTTATCCAGGCTTTAAGATACATGTAAATATTTTAAAATCTTCATGTAGGCTCTTGATTCAGTCAAGGACTAGCAAGATGGTCCACCCCCCCGCCAATGGGGTGAGTTTTCATCCCAGACCTCCCCCAAAGATACCACATCGGAGTAGGTTCCCTCCAAACACCTTCCTCTTTCTTTTCTCCGGCATCAAGCCGAGTACACAGCTCTAATGTCTCCTCCAAAAACCCCGGAAACTCCTCTTCCAACGACCGTGGAACGTGAATGTTATATTTCCACGGTCCCTGTGTCAACGGCCAAATAGTGTCTACCATATCTTTGTATAATGCTTTTCGATGAGATTTCGCAGTAGTATCACGGATAAAACTTTCTGGTGCTGATGCTATTTCTTCTGCAGTACTTTGGAGAACCTTTGAGATAAGGTGGATTTCGAGAGTTAGGGTACTTTCTCTACTTGGAGGCGCCAGCTGAGATGATAATCTATCTACTAAAAGTAAAAGTAGTTTTCTTGAGGCTGATCCATAGTTGATGCTGGTTGGTATGCTTCCTAGGAGACGGCCATCGAGTACTTCGACTTTGAATTTACGGAAGTGTATTCCACTCGGGATTGGTGGGTATTCAACGTTTGGATGGATATATTTATTTTTGGGAACTGGGAAATTGCTCGGTTCGTTGAGTGAAAATAGTTCTCCACTATTGATAAAGAAAAGCGTTAGGGCTATCTAAAAGAATAAATATATATATTGCTTTTATATATACCAAATACACTAATATTGTATTGGTGACGACAAAGGCGACTTACTATTTCCCCCTATACCGATACACAAAAGAGTCCCACAGCGTCTCCTGTGTTATATAATAAGTGGTATAAACCCCCCCAGGTCCACTCTCATATCTTTTTATGTGAATTGGGATTACTGCCGTCGTATGGAATATTCCAGATGCCTCTTGGTGTATTTGCTTATTGACCCTAAGAATCGATAGGTTAAGAGACGGCGGATATCTTTTCGGGTCAAGTACACTCGTTGGTGGGACCGAGAGTATTATTTTGTAGACTTCGTCCCGGAGCTCACGCGGCAGGCGAAGGAAAGGGTGGAATGTCGTGTTGAGTTGAGGTTGGGGTTGAGCTTGAGGTTGTTGGGGATTGATATCTGATGTCATGTTGTCGTCGTCAAGGCTGCCCCGGGTCAAGGTCTTGCGCGGTACATCCATGTCGTAGATGTGTTTCGATAGTGCTTCAATCTATAGAATAGGGCCAGAACAGAATCACACAAGTCGCTCTGAATAGGAGTGTGGTCAAGTGTTCTTGTGGATGCTAATGCAAGTACGCGTATGTAGATGTCTAGTCGAAGATCTAGATGAGATCGATCGAGGGTCCTGTGTTTTGTGGCTGTCGCAGCATGTTGGATTTTGAGTTGGTATTGTGTTGTTTTAGATACGACTTGGTCCGCTTTAAACAAAGTTTTTGTTACGAGACTGAACTTGAACATTTATGAATAGAACGAGATAATGCGCTTGGGTAGACAAATTAGTCTTATATTAAAACGCTTCGGGATAGACATAATATATTTGATTGCACTTCAAAAAATGCTTGCGTTAATATTCATCCTTAGAGCATTAACTAGTAATATACAATTTGTGTAGATACCGATAGATCTGATCTACCCGAAAGACGAAGCATTCCCTTGAACTATTAAATAAGAATATGGATAAACAGAAAATCGTGCTAGAAACCATTTCGAAAAGCTGGAGAGCATTAGGTATTAAAGTTGATAAGAGTAGGCGGCAGAAGGAAAGAAAGAAAAAAATAGAAAGAAAAAGAGAAATGGGGTTCCAAAGCAAAAAGTTCTTCAACATAGTATAAGCCCCGACCGGCAAGGCCATATCCAATATTCAATATTACCCTCGATAACATCCGCAGACACCATCGGGCTTTATTAATACCTCGACTGGAAGTTCATCCTCCTCCCTCTCCTAGCTGGGCCCTTAGCGGAGCTTCCAGCACTCTGAAGTTTCTTAGTAACTCTCATCTTCCCATCACTCATCGCCCAGAAACACGGCACCGCAACATCTAGAGTCTGATACCTCTTATTTTCCTCTCCCTCCATACACCCATACTCTTCATCACAAGCTTTAAAAACCTGTGCCACTAGCTTTGGATGTTGCTTTTGAATTTGCAATGGCATATCGAGTCTATACCCCCATGGACCAGTGGTAAACGGCCATATTGTCTCTATTAACTCACTATACAACTCCATCGTCTCTTCCCCTGCCTCTTCTCTATACTGAAAGTTTGATAATTCTTCTTTATAGAGGAAAAGGGACGATAGTTTGATATCCAGAGTTATATCCTTTCTTGAGCCAACTTGGGATGCGAGGCGATGAACAAATGGGAGGAGTAGTTTTTTGATCCGATGTTGCATTACAGCGGGGACATCGTATTCCTTTAGAGAGTACGGATAGACGCGTTTGTCGATAACGTCGAGTCTTAGGTGTTTTATGAGATGGCGGTAGGTGGGGAGTGGAAGGGGTGCGGGGGTATTATCTTCGGGTATGTGGGTTGCAAATCTGGGGAGGAAGTTTACGGCGCAGTATTCGCCGATGTCATCTCTGTTAAAAAGGCGGAAAGATTGTTAGTTATGGGTTTTCTAAGATTGTGTCAGAATTTTCAGAGTATATATGTGTATACGTACTTATCACGCCAAGTATACCCCACCTCTTCCCACGGAGACTCGTATTGAACCTCAAACAATGTCTGAGGCTCATAGCCATCCGTCCGACTCTCATTGATCACCACTCTCACGGGAAACACCGTCTCTCCGTAGAGTATCTGTGATGCCTCATCATGTATCTGCTTATTTACGACGAGTATAGAAAGATCTGTTGATAATTCTGACAACCGGTCTCGGAGTTCGAAGGGAGGACGATTATCAAGAAATGAAGAGATGGGGGCGGAAGGAGCTGTGGGGAAGGGGATGACGTATTGGTAAACTTTGTCGCGGAGGGAGCGGGGAAGGGCTAGGAAGGGGAAAGATCCAGATCGTGGTTTGTAAGATGCTTTGCCCATTTTTGAATCTTTTAAATAGTATAGTAAATATTAAATCGATGAGAAACTAGGTATATAAAACTGATTACGGAGGGTATGTATAGTATTTCGTATATTAATTCGTAGGGTATATGTATGATAGATTTCGTGGATTCGTGAGTTTACAATAAAGAGAGAAAAAGGCGAGTTCAAGTTACGAGGTTGTATTGTGGTATATATAGTAGCAGTAAGTCCCTAATTTAAAGAGTTTCTGAATATCTCCGCGTTAACGTTCAAGTCTAACTTCGATCGAGGCATTCGATAAAGCGAGGAGAGACATGAATATCAGGGGACGTTCAATGCACCCCTATATATAGAGGATCGAACCAACTTAATCAACAAGGCAAACGCTACCACCGACTATGATGTGACTCAGGAGTTCATAATTTCGCGGGGTTGACATAGAGACACGCAATTTCCCGTCCCCCTGAACGCATTCTCGCCAACCTATGCTAAAAGACGCCGCGAAAAAAAAAAACAGGAACAAGAAAAAAAAAATGTGTGGGAAGACGCGTCGTGATACGGTGGTTGGACACGGCTTCATGTGATTGTGCTAACCTATTTTAGGAGGATTTGAAGCTCGATCCTGGTCAAGGGGTCTTCAAACCCCGGCCCTTTTGAAACACCAAATGAGAGATCGATGCAATGTTGCGGGGAGTATTAGAAATCCAACGAGTCTTCGGGTTCAGCCTCGCCAGCCAACAAAAACCAATGTGGGGAATTTAAATTAATTGAAAGGCTGTGGAGAATAAGCTTATAAGTCGGGAATATTAATCGATCGTGCGATCGTGAATAGAATGGAAAAATGCGTCAAGACAGCTGCAATGACCATCAAGAATCTTTCACATAGCCGAACACTAGAAGAAATGACCCCTCCCTCGCAAGGTCCGTGACCAAATCTAGTCATACCTCATTATCCCCACGCCACAAAAGTCAACATCACTCGACTTCGCAAAAGCCCCCAATGGCCAAGGCTAGAAAATGCCGCGTTATTAGGAACAAACAAACAGATCCATGATGAACTAGCTGTAACACTTTACTCCGGAACTGCATTTCCGATTGTCGGAAAGACAATCTATTATGAAGCTGCAATCTTTAATGATCGGGATGTATAAATAGTATCTATCTCAATATGAAATTATATTCTCGGATCTCTCCCACAGTTTGACCGACACCTCGACACCTCGATATAGAGCGAATGAATAACGAACCTCAATATGATCAATGCCCTTGCCTATCCCGTAGCAGAAGTTACACAGACTTTGAAAATACCCAACAAGAACAACACAAACCCACAGACATGACTCCAAAGCAAAAAGTGAAAACAGGACCAGAAGACATTTCTAGACAGCCTGTTCTTATCTCATAAACTAGAATTAATGCTACTGCGAAGGCTTGACGAAGTGCGCAGTTTTAGATCCAATTAAATCCCACTTGACTTTTATCAACTAAACTAAACTCTCTCCCGGTCCCCATTGTAGTCTACCCCAGAGTAATATATAAATTATAAACCTTCTATTTATCAACCATTCAGTCAACGTTAACAGCAGCGAGCACAAAGATCCATCACATCCATTACTTCTATGTAAAAGGTTTACAGCATAATAGTAGCTAAAATTACTCTAAAAATTCGCACTGACCCATTATCAAACCCCGTAAGTACATACACCCTTCATCATCTGCTTTGATAGACTACACCTGCCGAATATTGGAGGCCACAAGGAGTGCATCGGTCCGGGGACGGAGATGTAGGGTATAATTCTCGCGAATGATTTTATAAAGGGATTAGCACCTTTGGTGGCGGGGAGCTAGGTGAAGGGGTATACCCTCAATCTAAGGAGTATTGCCTTGAAGAAGGTTTGTCCGGGATTCGAAGATATCATGGGGCAAAACTTGATCTGTATTCAAGAGAATTGAGGGAAGCTCGTGTAATTGAGGGGCTTTGAGGAGACCACTATCCCACAGTATTGATTTATTACAGCTGAAATATATATATATATCTTGACTACACAAGATTAGGCATTTAGCTATATATATGGCAAATTTATAAATGGGAAGCGTCATTAATTTATTGTGAGCGTATGGATGAGAATGAATGTCATTTTATTTCCGTTATACCCAAAGAGAGGCGAGAGTTAAACGACTTTCCGTTATAAAATCGATCGAAAAATAAATCATAACGCCATGATATCATTATACATCGCCCCAAAATATATGACCCGAAAATAGTTAAAAAAACGAACAAGTTATATCCAAGAAAAGAAAGAAAAAGTATGTCCCAAAATTCCCGTTCATATCCACCTTCCCGAATCTCAATTTACACTCATAGTCCCGGCCCTCCAAAGAAGAAGCTATCAAAAAGCTCCATCTGTCTATTGTCGTTCGTCCAACTTCCATCTAATCCTCCAACCCCCCACCCACCATAGTTCATATTCAAATCAAACGGCCCACCCCATCCACTTCCTCCATCCAGTCCTCCAAACCCGCTCGCGGCATTAGCAGCTGCCGTTGCAGCATTATTCGCAGCGGCCTCCATCCCGAACTCACTGAGCCCATTATAACCAGCAGTCCAATCATCATTGTCAACATCAACCCCACTCATTAAAGAATCCCCGGCTTGGGATGCAGACGTCGGCAACCCTGCACCTGTAGCCGCAAGATACGAGTTTGTACTAGATATCAGGCTTTCGTCGTCACCTGGTGTCATTCCCTCCGCAATACTGTATGCTTGTGCTCCCGGTGAAAACACGCCGCCACTAGCGGCAAGCATTCCTTCCGCGGCAGCCGCTCTCCTCGATTCCTCGTCTTCGACTTCTTCCTCGCCTTCATTGTTTGGGTCATCTATTGGCTTCTCCTTGATAACAGCGTGAAACCCACGATCTACCAGTCTTTGCGACTTCCCAACCTTAGTACCTCGTGGTATCTTTCCGGCACCGGTACCTTGGCTCAATACGTCCTCATTGCCCGCGAATAGTTCCCTAAACTGATGATCAAAATTATGTTGTCGCTTCCTTTTTGAAACTGGACGTCTTTCATCCTCGGGTTTCGATGTGTATGGTTTGATCTCGTCTGGCGGCGGGCTCGGTGCGTCTTTATTGAGATTTAGGTTTTGGGGTTCTGCACCAGAGAGACACATTGTTACTGTCGCGCGGGACATCCGCTCGAATGAAACGCGACAAGCTTCCGCAGGTGGGCAGCGGTCGGAAAGGTCGCCGAGAACGGAGGTTGCGGCTAGGATAGTGAAATCGACATCGTCCATCGAGAGTTTAGCCCGAACTGTCGGTGAATGCCATATAGCGTAGAGGAATGATATGCCTAATAAGTATTAGCAAAGGAGCCCTGAGTGAACTTTAGCAAGATGAGGGGACTTACCGGCCATGAACAAGTGATGCACCGCTAAGAATGTATGATTCACTTGTCGCATCCGATGAAGTTGTCGGTATAGCCGTAGGACTTTCATTCCTGCTTCTGCAACAACGCCGTATACCCTCTCCTCCTCCTCTTTATCTCTCACTTTATCCCTTTGTCGGTTCTCCAACCCATCAACCTTAACCTTTCCGTTTGGGTCAACGTTGGTTCCAAACTTCTCAGCTAATAAATCAGGAACTGACAAACTCGGTCGATACAACATCATGAGTGTTAACCAGTAGTTCAGCTCCAAAAACTCGAGACTAAACGCGCATCCAGTGGCTTCTTTAGTTTTCGGGCATCCTTCAAACCATTCCCTTAGTCGGCCGTCAACACTATTCCTCCACTCTAAGAGGCTCTGGTGGGGCTTTAGGAATGGTGTAACGAGATTGAGACCAGTCGGGTGGACATGTTGAGGAAGACTATTAGGATGATTGTGTGTCTGCTGGTAGTGGTGGACCTGCAGTATTTCTGACTGTAAAAGGCGGAGCTGGAAATAGGCATATGATATACTTTTGTATGTCGCTGCTGGCGGGGTCGATGGCTGCTTGATGCCCATTGGTGTGATGAACTCGTCAGGTAGGAAGCTCGGAAACTAATACGGAAAGTCAGCGGGCTCATCATATTTCCCTTCTTGGTTAGGTATAATCGTACCTCAATACCAATAACTTCGTCGGCAATCTGCACCGGCCGCCCGACACATGTACTAACAAGCCTATCCAAGCTGTATGTACACCAGAACAATCTCCTCCTTAGATCTCTCCTCCACCCTCTCATTCCATCGTCACCAACGCCCTTCGGCACTACTTCTTCTGTAAACAAGCCCAAATCAACTGCTAGCCTCATCGCAACCCCAATTATATACCAGACACCAGGGCTAACCGGCCTCAAAATCGCGTATGCCGCAAGTAATAATACAGCTTGCAGCTCTTCCAACCCACCAGAGCTAGCCCGCAAAAATTCCTCAAGATGTACCACTGCAGCAGCATGGTACGCCTCTGGCTGTTGTTTCCCTTCATAAATACTCTTCATATCTGCTCCAATACCGGGACTTGGTGCTGGAGTTCTGTCCACAAATATTCCGGCTCCAATAGCGAACACGATATTTAGTAGATACAACGTTTGTGGGCTCCTTGCCTCTCCAGGGCGAATATCGTACGCTGCTTCGAAGAACTTCATAAATTCGACCCGATGTAGAATCGGTATCTGCGGGTTCGAGTGCTCGAAATACAGTTCTACTAGCTTTCGGCCGAGGCCTTCGCTAGGGAATGGAGCTGATGGAATTGCAGGTTTGGCTTGTAAGCCGAAGAAAGAATCGCGCATGTCGGTATCTTTGCTAAACACTCCGGGTTGGGCGAATGAGCGGCGGTTCCAGCGCCCGACGGGCGTATAGCTCCCACTTCCACTCCCATTCCCACTACCGCTCCCACCACCATTACCTATATCAATGCTGCTAGCGCCACCATTGGTAGACTTGACGGCTTCGAAGACCAGACGAGCGAAGGAAATGCCAGATGTAGAGCCTAAAAATCTGGGATCCGATGTACCTTGAACTGGAATTGAAGATATAGCGGAGAGCGTAGGGTCATTTTTGATCAGGTCGGTATTTTCATCGATCGGACGATTGCCGGGGTTGATGGTAACTATGCCGGGGGTATGCTGAGTTGACACCGGCGTAGGGGGTTTAACAAAACCAGGGGATGCGCCTTCATTAATATTATCGATGCCATTCCTTGACAGCGATGGTGATAAAGGATGAACACCGGATGCACTTGGAGACGTTGCTACCTGGCCATTAAGAGGAAAAAATGAGGTGGGAGGTTCAAAGGGAAGGCTGTTTGTTGATAGAATATTTTCGAGGTATGTCACTCGTTCTTCGAGGTAGCTGACATAGCTGTTCGGAATGTCAGGTCAGTATCACGAATTCCATTTGATAGGCTCAATATATGGACCCACCTCCTTGGTATCTCTCTCTTGGTAATTGGATCATAGCCCACACACTTCACTCCCACCTTTTCACACTGTGTGCATGCTGGTATTCTCTGATCACACCGATTCTTTCTTAGTCTACACCTATTACACGCTGTCACGCTTCGAAACGAGGTGGCGCCGGATAGCTGCGTCGGTGGAGGATTCGCCTGTGTCGCAGATGTCGGCTGCGGCGGGGAATTGTGCGATTCGGAATCCGACGGCGACTCGCGCCGCCGCCGTTTTACATTCGAAGCACCATCTATGAAGTCATTCGACATGGTCAAGAACGGAGAGGCAGGAGGAAGTCCCGGCGAGATTTCGGAGTCGGGGTGATTTTCTTATGTTAAGATAGAATTTTTCTTTTGGGGATGAGAAAAATATGTCGGAGGCTGGCGAGATGAAGCTACAAACTCATCGCGGTATATGGCGCATTCGGGTACAGCAGGCACAAGTAGCGGATATATGGAGGCGTCGCTATTAGGCAGGACGTTGAGTCGGCTAGTGAAAGACGATGGAAGACGATAGAGTGCTATCGATTACGCAAAAGGCAAGAAGACAGGACCAGGTTAGTGTACCACAAGGTCCCGTCTTGGGAAGAATATCCCGCGAAGGCAAAAAAAATAAATGAAATAAAATATATAAAAAGGACTAAGATCAAATTTCTCGACTGTGAGTATGGGCTAGCCTCGTGTGAAAGCTCGAAATCAGATGGTTGGAAAACTTCGAAGAAAATTCGACAGAGAATCTGGGGAGCATGACAACGTCCAAATAAGGGTTTTTCTTACGTTATGAAATCTCGTGAAAGAGGAAGGTTTCAATAATGCTGGTAAAGAACCAAGCTTAGAGCTAATATGCTGGGACAGACAGGCGGGTAGTTAATCGATGGATGGTCCTGCGTCAACCGGGCGTAATTACCGTTGGCGATAAGACCACTATGGCTAGGCTTCGATCGAATCTGCGTATTAGAAATTAAACCCGTCTCGTTCGTTAGTTCCTCGTGGGAATTTCTTCGCCTGGCCTGCCGACTTAGTTCGGCTGGGATTTGAAGAAAAAAGGATTTGGTTTGGTGGGTTCTGGTCCTTCGCTTCTTCGGCTCAAACTAGCGTCTTCAGCGATAAGATGCCCTGTCTCGTTTCAACATTCGGCGATAGGCAGCTATTGCTAAATACTTCCTTGCCGGAGCAATGTAGAATACGCAGAGAGAATAAGACCAAAGAATCGGTCAAATACTTCTTTCGGTGATTCATGTAAGATCCAGGAACCAAAGACGGACTTGACCCGTGATTATAGCAGCGGCCAGCCACGAGATAGGATGGTTTCAAAACGATCGCAAGGGACCGTATCGAGACTACGACTCCACTTCCTGCACGACAGGACCCAAAGATACGGATTTGCCTTCAACGACGGCCGCTAAACTGTAGGGAACGTCACTGGTTGGGAGCAGCGCGAGTCAGGGTGTTTGGGAATAGGGCTCTCAAGCTGATTTGTTACTGGTTCGGACTTGAACTGGAACTGCTGGAACATGCATCAGCAGGCATTAGGCCCGTACACGGTACGTTTATTAGGGGGAAATCGGCTTCAGGGAGATTATCCCATCGGAGGTCGGCGATGTGAGCGATGTGCGAGGAAGGAGAGCGTGGGTTGGTGTTTAGCTGCAGCTAATCGAATCGAATAAGATGGCCATCACGAAGGTTGCTGGCAGCATGCCGGACATGTGGATTGGCGTGGGATGCCTTGTGTTGCTATCATGTGACTTGAAAGTCATTTGCTGATAGCTCTGTACCCAGTTTGAAAGTTCCAACGTTAACAACACAGTCTTGCTCGCTGTATATACCGGTCTCCTAAACCAGACGACGACAGTCCAAGCTAGCCTAAGAGTCTAAGCTACTAAGAATTTGAGGGCTAGGTGCTAGGGAGGTCTGTGAGCCTGTAAATCTACCTATTAACATCGTTGGTGATCCAAGTTATTATAACCAAACCAAAATAGGTAAGTAGTGATGGTGGATCATTTATGATCCCCTTAAATTATGGTCTCATATTATTAATGCTATGATACCTATGTGAAAATACAAGAACTTTCTTTTTACCCTCATCATTTGAAATACTCGAACTTATGCTTTGTGTTTAAATTGGGGGCAGCTCTGGCTCTGAGACTATTTAAATTGATTGATTTTGCTGAAATCAAAACCTTTTGTACAAATTTGTTTGGTAGGTTGGTCAAAATAAACTCGTTCAACGGCTGATTTTACAACTGCTGACATGCCTATGGACCAGAAATCAAATTCACCGTCGGGTTTATTTCCGGATAATTTTAGGGACGTTTTGCTAGCTCATGAACTAGCATTGCTATGGAAATCATTTTCGTTGATTATCCCTGGTCTCGTTCCCAGTCATCCCCAGAATACGGTGTCGTTGGATGAGGTGGGTGCTCAAAGATCTCATGCTTCTGATGTTCGGGGGATTCTGATATCGATAGCTGTTTATTAACAATGTTCTTTTGCCTTCTCTTTGAGCTCCTTGGCTCGGAATCGGGTTTTATTTTCATAATCGTGTTTTCTGGAACGGTCGACAATTATTCGCCAGATTTTTTGAACGGAAGGGGGTTCCATTCATAGGGCTTCGGTCCTCGAGTCCACCCAGTATATCTGCCCAACATGCCGCTCTGCTGAGTGCTCGCCATTCTTTCCACATCTCGGCGTTCGGGGGTAACGGCTCTTAGGGAGGGAGTAGCGGGAAGAGCACTAATAGTCCTTTGCTCAGAACAGCCGATATCCCGAGGGTTAAGGGCTTTCTGAGAGTCTTGGTGATCTCTATATCCGCGACGGTCAAAATTTGTACCAAAAAATCAATCAATCATACTTTGGTTGAACTCACGCGAAAAAATCACTAGATTTCATGCGCTCCTCGAGAGCGGGAACATCAACACTTGAAACACTAAGGGATTCTTTTGAAATGTCCTGCCGGGCCTTATTCGTTTTTTTTGCGACTTGCTGTTTTGGGATGGATGTTGGAGTACTAATATCCTCGTCTTCAGAGCTGATACCGGCCTGAGAAAAAGGTAATTCATCAACCTCATACTCGTTCTGTTGATCAGGCGAACGTAGAACACGAGCTCGCAGGGACTGTGTGCTAGAGGATTCGTTTTCTTGGGCATCATCGTTATCTCCAAAGTCCTCCGACCCCAGACTTGAATTATATTTTCCTTTGGCTTTGCTTTGCTTTCGAGGTTTGGGGGAATGTGAAATGCTAGGCTTCGGTTGCCTTTGGTTAAAAATGTTGTTTTCTTGGTGGCTGTATCCCACTTCAGTTTCGGGCCATTTTCTATTGTAATCGCCCTCCGAGGAGCGGAAGTCCACTTCGTGATCTTATAGCCGGGGAAAAAAGGTAGTCAAGGTTAGAACACTTCAGACGTCTGTATTATCAGTCGGGAGGGGGAAATTGCAGTACTGACATCGTCCGGTCTCGCCGACGCCAAATGGATTAGAAGTACCCCCGCTTTGTAAATCGATATCGCGCTCTAATCTTGCCGCTATTCCTACTCTCGAAGGCGGATGCGCCTGCGCTAGATTGGCCACCCCAAATCCTTGCGGTAGGTTCGCCCGCATAGGCTGTGCGCTGTTTATGTGGCTTGGCTGTACGCACTTCAGAAGTTCCTTCGCGCAGATAGCGGCCAAAACTGCGGCATACTCTTGCCAATCATCATTCTTCGTCTCATCTGCGTAATCGCAAATACCTCGTATGATGGCTGCAGGACAATCCACTAGCCCAGCAGCTTCCATTTCAATACAAAACACCTTATTTCCCAGACACTTGCTGATCTCATCTCTTTTTTGAGCGTTCTTAATAACTTGATTACCGGATGCAATAAGTCCATAATGAACTCGAGCTCTCCCAGGGTCCACTGAACCCTCCAGCCCTTTCACTGAAGTATACTCGTCTGGTAAATGTCGATTATTTCTTTTTATATCGTCAAGATGTTGTTCTATTTTCGTCCCGCGGATATTCTGTTGGGCCTGCAGCTTTGACATCGCGGCCGATAATCCCTTCGGTGGGTAAAAATGCCTGCTATTAAGCTCAAAATCCCCACTCGTTTTTCCCATGTCCCATTGAATCCACTCAGTGCTAATGACAACATCACCCAGTTTAACTTTGGATGGAATCCCGCCCCCAATCCCCACCATAAGCGTGATTTTAATCGATGGAAAAGTGATCGCCATAATTGATGCGGTTGCTGCCATTTGGTTCGTACCGTAACATCGTATCGGTAAACAAGTTATGGCGACGTTATGCTGACCCATTGACCCTAATATATAGGCATTCTTATCCCATGGAGGATTCGTGAGGTCTTCGTGTTCTTCATCAAGCACCAAAATCGCCGCCGTTTGCTCTTTTGGAAGCGCACATATCCATCCCACGGTATAATCATCGTGAGACCTACGTGTGGTCATGGCTAAAAATCATAGACGTCGACTCAGGATCCACAATATCGTGATTCTTTATGAAACTAATTAGCCGATAAAACACCAGGATTTGACTCGAGGAACGGTTATTAATTGTAGTCATCTGGCGGTAGCGACGATGAAATACAAGGTGCACACGCCTAATGCGGGGTCGAATCGCAACGTCTGCGAGGAGTTGTACCTGCTGTATATGCTTGTCGTAGTTAGATCCTTACATGTATACGATTGTCGAGAAATATACATGTAAGGATCGCGACACTCGGATTTCGACAAGGTTATTCTGAGATAGAGGCATAGCTATAGGGATTCGGGTTCTGATCAGGCGTCGGGTCTGCTAATGAAAGGATCTCGAGAATTTCTGTTTCCGAATAAGAGCGGAAAATGAAATTCCTCGCTTATTTTCAAGCCTAGCCTTCTTTCCCTAGACCCTGCCTGACGGGAATATTGAAATAGATAGCCACTACACTTCGTATTTCAAGAATATTAGTTGCTAAAACCACTGGGCCTTATATTTACTCTTCTTCCACGTGAAGTATCTATATTTAGTATTATATCAGAAATACATAAATTCATCCCCATCAGATATATGCAAAGAAGGTTTGGGCCTTTCTAACACACTAGGGCCTTGTTGTAGTATGTATATTATCGGGTCTACATCGAGACATCGAAATCTCGACAGCATGTATAATCCTATTTAATCTAGACAAATAGACCAAAAGATCTACAGCTTTTGTGTTTTAGCTAAGTTAAACCTTCAAATAGAACATACCACCGTGCATACTCTAGGTAATCGTAGAGTCTAAATTCTAGTGTGGCATGCATAAGTCCTCAGAGACTGAACATGGATCCAAATTCGTGCTCCAAGTCTCAAACAATGCATCACGACGATGTGTTGTGTGTGGTTTTCTTGGTGATACAGTCAGGTGACATAAATAGCGTTTGATGACGCTAACCTAATACGGTTACAACGACAAGCATGTACATCGTTACCAAATTCGCGGAATACAACGTCTACAACACACTATTGCTTGTATCACACAATCCACTCTATCAAGCACGTGGGGACCAACGAGACCAGTGGGGACTAAAATCGTCGCACTAGAAAACGACATCCCGATCTCTGATTACTTGCCCGACAAGTGAAAATGCCGTTTCTTCCTTTGTGATACCGTACACAGTAAATGCACCTTCCAGGGTTAAAAAAATACGCTAGGGTCCCCTATCCATCTCACCACCATCTTCCATGGTCAATCACTTATCGCCAGTCGAAGCTTAGCACTTCCCGCTTGAGCTCCCCCCAATTGCCAAACGAGTTTTGAAATTCCAAGAACAAGGATTAGAACACCACCCCCAGTCTCGTAACCAATAAACCTGTTTTCTGATCGCCTCGTTTAGAAAATTAATACGTCCTCAAATATTGAATTATGGGTGGCCATTTTTTTTCGATTCCCGATAATGCTCGCGATGAGCAATGTGCAGGATCAAAACCTTGTCTAGTTTGCCATATTGCGCATATGCAAATTCGCACTGACCTCATCGATAACGCTCCGCCACCCACCCACAACACAATATCTCTTTTTGAAGCTAGGACACTAGTGTAATCAATGCGTTATATTTCTATCATATCCCCATTAATAATATCAATAGATTAGGATCCTTAATCCATCTTCTTTACCATTACTCCTCACATAATCCTACCTCATTACAATTTTCTCTTTCGAAAAGATGGCCTCAATGTCTGGATTTTCGATAAATACGGGTAGCCAGAATCTATTCGAGATTAACCCAAGCGCAAGATGCGATGAACTAAAAAGCCCGTCGACGACATCTTTTGTTATCTCTTGGCAAGCTAAATTCCTCACCCTATCAAAAATCTTAAGCTAATTATCGTAAGCAAACAGTGGCTTAATATTCTGGACAATCGCATCCTACATACCCCAATATGCCCGCATAATACGCCGTCAGTCGGCCGAGGGCCTCTCCACGCTTTACATCCTCCTCGGAGCCTCATCTGGTGTGTGTGCCGTCGCAAACATCCTAGTTCTACCCAGTAGCCAAGTAGACATGGGATGCTGCAGGTCAAACGATACATACCCATGTATCGCGGGATTACTCGGTATGGTGCAGGTAATCAACGGCGTAGCTTGTTTCTGGGGAGTAATGTTCCTATACATATACTACGCACGCGAAGAAGCCGAAGCCGAAAGAACCGGTCGTCGCCCTTCGATGGCTAGTCAGATGCGTACGTACCGTCGAGCTCGTAAAGCGTGGTTTGTGCTTTTCTTTGTATTTGCGTGGGCGCTATTTATTTTGCTCATTTCTGCGATTATAATGCATCGATTCCCATGGTATGCACAGAATTGGGCGGATTTCTTGGGAGTTCTAGTTGCGGCGTTAGCGTGTACGCAGTGGCTGCCGCAGGTGTTTACTACTTGGCATTTGGGACATTTGGGTAGTTTAAGTGTAGCTATGTTGGCACTATCGACACCGGTAAGTATATATATATATCTCCCTTTTTTGGAGCTTAAGGGAATGCTAACTGTGAATAGTCAACATGGATATTCGGCTTCTCCCTCATTTCTCGCGTAGGATTCGCCGGATGGTCTGCATGGATAGTTTACGTCCTAGTAGGAACCATGCAACTAATCCTAATTGGAACTGCCATCTTCTTCGCTATCAGAGACTACCAGCACGGCGAACCGGGTAAGAATACAATTGAAACGGGTATTCAAGGAAACGCTTGGTTAGATGGTTATAGCATCTCTTCTGAAGACGGTGGAGACTATGAAGTCGATGCAGAGAGCATGATAGCACCTGATGAAAGGATGAGTTTGTTAGATGGACACGATAAGAAAGGGAAGGGAACATTAGCGGCGTTTTATGGGCATGATCGAGGGCTATAGATAGATAGATCTATGATCATAGAATCTAGAACCCCAAGTATACGTACGGTGGCATTCTGAGGCTTCTTATGAAACGCATATTGGCACTACAGCTCTGTACTACAACTTAAATCCTTGATGCAGCGGTAGTTGGTCTTTTTGACTCAGGATTTGTATTTATGGGTCGTTTGAAATAGCAGATTGCTACTTAGTCCCAATAGACAGAAGTACTTCTTCACATGACTTCGCGAGATCACAATTATGCAGTAGATTGTTGTAGTAACGTTGCATGCAGCTGCACTGTTAAATCAATTCTCTGCAGCATATATTAGCTTCGAGATCGGGACAAGGTTCAGTTTGCAGCTCAAGTCTGTGTAATGCTAATACTAGAAGCTATCGTGTTGTATTTTATCGTAGCAACACATTTTCACATGTCCGATGATGCACCTAGGTTTTAAGTGTAATGGCAAGAGCAGTCGGGGAGAGGGATAATAAGATGTATTGTTTTCTGAGAGGCTTGATAGCAAAAGAGTGCCTTAGATCAACATGATGAAAGATGTCTTCCATAGAATAATGAAAGAATCTTAGTTCAAAGGCAAATTCTAGAATCAAGGCTAGACAAATCCAAGGTCAAAAGATGAAAAAGCAATCCAGAAACAAGAGATCGAGGCCGAAGTTGGCGAATGGCAGCTGAAAGAGTTAAGTCAATAGAAAGATCAAATCAAAAGCCCAGGTCCAAGAAGTTTCCTATAGAGAGTTTTAGTATAACGTTAACCTCGGCGGGAGCGTAGACGATGTCATCATACCTGCACGTAAAATGCTGCATCTAATTTAAGGGCTTTGAACGTCCAACTTCGCAAGACAACAACTCAAACTCTCACCACCACCTCCCCCTTCTTCTTGTCGGTAGACCCTGTGTCTACCGACCCGTCCTTCGGCACCTCCACCTCCGATTCCATCATCGTGCCCGCCTCCGTCGCTGTGCTGCTGGGGACTAGCGTTGATGCGGCCTTTTCATCCGGACCATTGTTAGCTGTTCCGTTGTCGATGTTATCCCATGGGACCCTCTTCGGCTTAGATCTGGGCTCCGGTTCACCACCTAGAGATGATATACTCAAATACTTCGGTGGACCAATCGGACCGAAATCAAGAACCTTGATGTCCCAACCTAAAGTCTTCCCCTTTGGGATTTGGTGGAACGTACCTCCAAGGTCTTTGACACTCAGACGGCTCCCCTGGTCCTTTCGTTCCAGGGCCATTCTCTCAAGCTCGGCCTTGTGTTCATCGTAAACTCTAGGTGAGTTATAGAGGACAAGCTTTGGTTTGTCGGGAAGTTCACCCATGACCGGAATGACGCGAGACTGTGTGCTGAAGTGCTCACTGCGAAGGAACCATTTCTCAACACGCAAAATGCAAGCACTACCGACAATACCGATGACAGTTCCTAAAACGAAATCATCAATTCGGCTAACCTCTTGATGAAGCAGGCCATTAGAATAACATACCCTGAGTATTTCCAGTCGGAGCTGCGAGACTTCGACTGACAATGAAGTCAGCCGGCAAGGATTGTTGGACGATGACAGCATAGGCTCTCTTGCCGATGATAGATCGGTCAGGAATGGGAACTGGGGATCCAGTTCCCTTCCAATTGGTATGGAAGAGCTCGGCCGGGGCAAGGCCAACGGTGATGATCTCACCGTTTCTCATGTTGATGGGAATGAATATGGAAAGCTGTCCAATACGCATCGGGCAGGCCATATTGTCGATATCATCGCAACTGGCTGTAAAGATTTAAAATGTTAGTATCTACCTATTTTGATATTTACAGACGGTAGAAAAGGAAGAATAACGCACCGATATAGTTTCCAAATAAGGCGCGGACCTCCTTAGGTTTGAACTTTTCTAAGAACTGAGGGATATCCGCCATAGATCGAAGGACCATATCATCAGGAGCAAATGGCTTATTCTTGGGCCCTTCATAAATAGGGAACGAAGGGAATGGATTCTGGCGGGGGCATTTCCCGCTGACTCCGATAATAGGAGCCGTTGGAGGAATGACGTTCATTTTGACCAACTCGTCGTCAACACGTTCGCGGTCTTGGGCTTCGGAAAGCATGCGGCGCAAAGTTTCTGGGGACTTCGTCTTACCCTTTTTCATGCCCCAGATCGAATCTGGAGAATGAAGCGGGCTGTTGGGCCCATACCCTTGAGAAGCCTGCAAAATAGCTGGAACTTTCTTGGAGGTTGGAGTCGGAGCTTGAAGAGTTGGCTCGGCCTGCGAGGTGCCTGCAGTTTTGGAAGAACTTGAGGGCTTAAGAGCTGCCTCTTCGTAAATGGTGAAAGGTGGAGTTCTTTCACGTGAGGAAGAAGATCCATTGGATGAGGAGCTTGGAAGCTTGGGGGAGGTTGCTTGCTCCGTGTCTGTAGTATTCTCAGCAACAGTCTCAACCACTGAAGAAGTGACACTCTGGTTTTTGATAGAATGGAAAATCTCCGTGAGATTAGCCTTTCCTTTCTTATTTCCGCCCGTTTGGGAAGCGGACTGGAGTTTTGCTTGAGACCCTGAGTGGGAAGTTGATTCCTCAGGGTAGGAAGGTAGCCAACGACCGGGGATGGAGGATTTTGAAGTAAATTGGGGTTTTGGACTCCCAAAAGGAGACCCTGGGCTCCCAAAGCCATGGGTTGGGGTGGTTGGAAGCCTCGTGGGGCTATTCCCCTGACCTGGAGGGGTAGAAGGGAGGGGAGGAGGCCCCCCTCGTTTCTTCGGCGTCGTGACCGTGTCTACAATAGGGACGGTCTGGGTCTTTTTCTGAACAGGAGAGCCGTTTCCTGCGATAGCTTGACGAGGATGGGATGACATAATGAAGGTTTTAGGTTACCAAGATGTCTAGAAACGTTCTAGATGGAGCTGTGACGGAGTCCAAAAGCGGTCTTGTATCTATCATCAACTGGATCAACATCAACCACTCTTCACAAGCTTGGGAGCTTTGGGAGGAATTGTACTTACCACTAAAGAGTGAAATCTGTAAGGAGATCAGAATATTAAGGGATAGATGCTGACTTAACCAAAGCTTCTTGGGCTTTGGGGGGAAGCAAGAGAGGGCTAGATGGTGATGGAGATGTGAAAGAGGGTTGAGAAAGTGGTTGCGAGTGTAAGGAATGAGGAAGAAGGTGTCGAGGCCGAGTTAGCGAGTAGTTGGTGTCCTTTTTGTACTCGTTGAGCTGCATCGACGAAATAGCTTTAGGTATGCACTCTAGGTGGGCTTTATCATGTTTATACCCTTTAGGACTTAGATACCTGCTGCTCTAAGTGACAGCTAGGTTGTATTGCTATCAGATAACTGATACTTCAAGGCCGGTAGATCCCGTCAAGAGATAGAACCCATGATAAATCAAAGTATAGTTGTAAGTTCGAGGCCAAGTATGTATATACTGAAGCCATACTCGTGATGTCAGCATGGGCGCCGCCAATCATCATCCCCGGCGCCATATTAACAACCACGACGAATAGCCCTTTCCAAACGAGCATTTTGATCGATAAATATTGAGTGAGTTGGACACTTGATATCTATCGAGCTTTGGGGGGCACGGCCGGCTTGCCGGCCAGCGCCTTCGGTAGACTATCGTTCTCGAGAGTGCCGGGATTGGACTGGTTATTCAGGGCTTGCCTCTCCTCTTAACGTCTAGGAATGAGGCTAGGGCTAGTCACGCCCCTGGACTAGACTTGCTATGCATGCAAGAAATTTGTGATTCTCCACGAAACTTATCTAGATGTTAAATATTAAATATATCCCGAATTATTAGTGGTAAGTTCTGTTACCTACTATCTTCATAGTCTCGTATTACAGACGCGGTCCACACTTTGCTCACTTCCCTCTGGTAACCTCGAAGCCGCGGAGGCTAACACCATGATATCAGCTGATATCAGGTTATACTCAATATGATTGTGAAAACCAATATAGTTCCTTAACTGCCGCATTCTGGAAGCCGATAGATTGCTGTAATGAGGGGGTCCCAAACAAAGTGCTGCCCTTTGTGACGTCTGGGAACGAGACTAGGGGGGGTCCGTATCTGCTAGATATCATCTCTTAGTTTACGATCATCGATTCGACTTGTTTGGAGGATGAAAAATTGCGAACTACTAGAGTATCTTGAAGTGGGTTTCCTCAGCTTATAGGTTGCAAAATAAGCTAGGATCTTATCGATGTATTGCGTGTGCTGGCTAGCGATGATCGATCCAGAATCCGGCTGCTTCACGGCAGCATCTATATTTAAGGACTTAATGAATAGAATCATTCCTGAACTAAGAGAGCAATGGCTTTGGGAGCATCTAGTCTAAATTCTAGATGCATCGATGCATCGAGGTTTAGTACCGGTGATGTGTGAAATCGAGGTGCATAGTAGCTGAGAGGAGGTTTCATCGATGAGCATGCCGAGATATAAATTATAAGACAAAGAACACCCAGGGAATTGGATTTCATAGATGCAGTACGGTGGGTCAAACCCGATCTAAATCTTATTTTATGAGGGATGCGAAGGATGATGCACTGGAAATTCGAAACAAAGTCCTCATCCTAGACCCTGCTCGTGCCCTAGGAGCCTGCGTATGCACGAAATAATCAAGGAATCCCGAAGATAAAATAATGAAGTTCATTATCGTCTCTAGGCTCTTCGGTTTGTGCGGTATAATGCTCTAAATAAGGGGTTTAGTGAATGTTCCTATTGCAAATTTAAAACAGTTAGAGCCTAAAAGCCCCTAACTTATAAAAATTCCCGATTATTATTATTACCTTTGATTGGATGGTGTGGATTGCTAAGTTCTCCGTCGCTGTCAGATTAATGATAAATACCTACTTAGGCATCTACACTCGAGTACTAACTGGGTCCTAGATATATCGATAGAAAACTGCTAGATCTCGAGATTCATATATATATAATAGGTTGTCTCGCATTGAGTACCAGGAGTTTGTTAACCTAGCTGAATAAATATTGAGCTGATTAGCTAGTACTATATCTGCGCTTATAATTAGTTGAAGGAACAGGCTACAAGATCTATACGGTATACCTATGTTACGTCCATCCTTAATCATCGAGTCGACGAAATGCTCAATATCAATTCCATTTTCAACACCACCTGCTTCATAACCAATAATAATCCGGTAACACGATCCAACGATATCAATAGACACAATTCCAAGAACTTGCACTGATATAGTCTAGCGTTCCCATCAATTACAAATCCCATTGTTAAAAAATACAGGGCTCTAAAAAGCACAATCCCGACCCCATCTCGTTCATTGCAGTACTAAGAAGCTCGATCGAAAGCTGTAGGTACAGGGCATCTGCTGCAATGAGTTCCCGGGTGCGTAGATGAATTGAAGCATGGAGATTCAATTAACTTCATAAATTCCGATTCATCAGAATAGTTGACTGATTGGAAAAAAAGTAAGATCCTTTACCGTATCGGCGGGCCTAGCAAAAAAAAAGGCATTCTCCGACTAGCAGTGACAATGCCAGCCTAACTCTGCACAGCCATACCCTCGAAATAGAAAAAAAAAACCTGAAGGATAGTCAAAAGAAACCCAATACCATCCCCCTCTCCCCACAAAAAGATCGGCTTCACATGGCCGAATAAACAATCTCAAACCCCAAATCTTCTATCAGTAGTAACTATTTCGACCACAGCTTACAGCCTTTCCAATGTACGGTGAGCTGTTCGAATGTCCCCGCACGTGCGTGTTCATGTTTCATAACCTTCCTTCAAGTCCTCTTAGCGCCCATACTAGAACTTTTGTTCCCTTCTCTTAATCGATAAATACAACCCTTGTAAAATTAGTACTTTATGTTTCAGGCAATTTAGTTGTGTCAGGGACAGCTGGCAGGCAGACGGACTGCAGTTGCTGTTTACTGATAACCGACAAGCTTGCATACGAACATACATACATGTTGCATACATTAGGTGGCGCGGGGGATTCGTGGCCGGTACATGCATATAGTATATCAGATAGGTACCATCTGATGTCTATTTTTTCTGCATGCAATGGGGGGCACATGCTTTTGGGGGATCAAGCTGACCAATTGGTGGGGGTAAAAGTAAAATCGCTCTTGCGGTCATAGTCGAGTCGAGTTGGCATCGGTAACTGCGGTGCACTGGTGAGGGGAATAAATTTTGAGAAAGGCGTTAATGATCATTGATCGTGAGATATTATATGCAATCGGGGATTTGAAGGCCAAAAGCGGGGAAATTCGTCCATTGCCACTGCTTCCCCGCCTTCGAAAATTCTGGATTAAGAGATTACAAGCAGAAAATTAGGTCGGAAATAGGTTAGAAAGTGGCAAATGTATATCGAAGTTATTGGATTTCAAGTGTAGATCATGATGTTAGGATTTTACGCCTCGAAGAATCTACGAATCCGAAGTCTTCAAATCGGAGCTCCATGAAAGAAATTTTCAAAGAAAATATTTATATTTGAATATATATTAGAAAACCGTTCTCCGTATCAAATGGAAAACGTAAGAAAGTATGGTCGCGCTGTATCGCCAACCAGGGAGATGCTATATACTAAAGTTTCGTAGTTTGTCGTTCCCAAATTGAAAAATATAGAAAAGTAAGATGTAATGAAAACGCCCGTGAATGAATGTCCTTAAATCCCGTCCTATGCGTAGTGCGCATGCAAAATATCGTACCTTGTCTTTCCAGTCTGTTCGTAACGCCGTTTGAAATCTTCGTAAAATTGAAAACAAAAACCATATTGAGTGAAACCAAATGCAGATTCAGCAAGAAGCTGAGATAATGTCAAATCATGGATGCGAGGGGAAAATCGAAGAATTGCGGACAGTAAAAACCCATTCCAAGAACAAAAAACAGCCACAATATACGCCTAGACTCAAGGCTCACCGAAAGCAGAGGATGATAAAGCAAAACCTTAGAACTCCAAAAACCCATCGAGAAAGGAAACGAAAAAGAAAGAAAGAAGGAAATAAAACAGATATTGTCTCGTGTCCCAGACTCACCATCCCATACCCCGTAGACGGAGTGAAGAAAACTAAGCGACTACACCAGGAGCCGCCATAGCAGGCATAATGGGCATGACACCAACGCTCATTTCTGGTGTGAACTCATCCTTCTCTTTTATCGGGATGAGTCCCTCAGCCTCTCTTAAAGCCTGAGCGATTGATTGTCTTCCAATAGCCAGCATCTCAGGAGTATTGCCTTCTTCGTTTCTTACTGTAGTCTTAGCACCCTTCCTGAGAAGAACCTTGATGCCCTCTAAACACCCATCTTTGGCGGCGATATGGAGCGGGGTGTTGCCAGATGCATCAACTTCGTTTACACCGTCTGGGAAAACCTCGAGGAGATACTCAAGGCACGGATTAACCTTTGTTCCCCACGACCTTGCAGCTTGGTGAACGCCAGATTCGCCAAATTCATTTCTGAATTCGGTGGAAGCACCTTTCTGGAGCAGGTACTTAACAACCCTCAAATCTTGCCTCATAACTGCGATATGGAGTGGAGTATCTCCACGTTCCAGGTGCTGTGAGTTGACGTTGTAGCCTTTTTCGACGAAGAAGAAATCGAGAATACCAAAGTCGGCGATGAAGACGGCGAGATAAATTGGGTGGTATTGGTTCTGGAAGCTCTTAACCTCAGTTTGCGTGGAGAGCTTAGTGACGATGTCAGAGATGGAGGCATCAAAAGTAGCGCCATGAGTGACGAGAAGTCGCATCATTTTCGACCAGCCGTCTTTGATCGTCCAGTTGAGCAGGGGGTATTCGGTCGTAATACCGATCTTGGGCCACGACCGGGCAACTGTGTTGGCATCTGCACCAGCGACCAAGGCACGCTCCATGGCGTTAATATCACGAGAGTGCCAGGCTTTGACGAGATCCTCACGCAAATCTTCTGCAGTCTTGGCTGGAGGTGGGGCTGGGGCGGATGGGCCAACGGTCGGCGAGGCCTGTTCTGGAATCACGGCGAGGGAGACATGTTTGACGGTGGGCGAGGAAGTTGATTTTCGGGGTTCCTGAGAAGGAGTTCCAGTTCTAGAGATTGGGTCAATGTCGGAGATTGAGAGGACAGCAGGTGAGGTGGGTCTTTCGGTGGTTGTAGAGTCAGTAACGGCACCGTTCAGGGCGGTGTAGACGTTGGCCAGAGTCGACGCACTTGAGAGGGTCCTTGTCCTGGCAATCGGCCTTGTGGGATTGATTTGTCGGTCAATATTGGACTTAAGCTTTAAGAATTGATTGTCGCAGCAGAAATCCACGAGGGATTCCATGAGCTCGAGAACGACTTCGGACGCTGTTGGTCTTTCCGCGGGGTCTGCCTTAAGGCATCTGGGAATCAAAGCACGTAATCGCTCAGGATATTCGACTGGAAGAGGTTGGATATCCTCGAGAGGAGTATCTACTGGGAGATCGCATTGACATAGAGCATATAGAATTCGGCCAAGGCTGAAGACATTTGACTTAGTTGTATATTTTGAGGCAGAGTCGACACATTCCTAAATGCACCGTTAGTATTCTTTGGTAGGATGGCTTTGAGAATTGAGTGGATATTGAACATACTGGAGGAACGTATGTAGTCTCTGTTGATAGACTAACAGGCGACTCGCCATTGAGGCCACCCTTCGAGTTCTTTCCGACGCCGAAGTCGGAGATATGGCACCATGGAGACCTTGTCTTGAGCCACTGAGTGAACTGGCCGGCAAGCTGCTTTTCTTTCTCTGTTACATGGTCATATTAGACTTGTTCTCTTTGATCTTAGAGATTTCAAGCACACACCTGTTAGGTTCTCGCCTAGGGTGGCAGTCCAAAGCATGTCGTTGTAGACATATGGCATAGATAGTAGAACTACAAAATATTAGTCTCTGGTCGGAATATTTCATTTTGGCGGGGGAAGACATACCATTAGATGGCTTCAAGTCTTTATGAACGACACCCCTCTCGTGGCAGTTCTTGAGACCACGGGCGATTTCAGTGGCCCAGTAGGTTGCAACCAAGGGATGAATTGCGACCTCATCCGCCCGACATGCCTCCAACACTTTTTGCAAGTCACCTCCCTCATAGAATTCCATGTAGAGTCTCATACTTTTGGTAGATGGGTTCCATGAGTAGTCTTGTGCATATTGGGCGATATATTTTTCATTCTTGAAGGACGACCAGATGTCGACTTCTCGACATGTAAAGTCGTAGAGCTGTGGGTTTCGAGCACAATCGATAGTCTTGCAGGCCATAATCTAAATTGCAAAACTTATTAGAATCCTGCCTAATTGATAACCTCGAGTCTATCTCGATAAAATATATTTTTGTTTTGCATACCTTTCCATCTTTTGCTCGTCTAACCTTCGATACATTCCCATAGCTGCCCTGCCCGAGATGTTGAATGTATTCATAATCGGTATCCTTGCCCTTTAATTTCCTGGGCCCTGCTTTTTGGCTGTCGGCGTTCTTTGTACGGTCGTCTATCCTCCCCAATGTTCCCTTAATGATAGAAAAGTCGGATGAAGAAAACGTGACAGAAATACTGTTTGCAGAAATAACAGGTCGGGCGGGTGATGGCGATGCCGAAATAGGGCTTGTGGTAATCAAAGGGGCCACAGGTGCTGGAGCAGGAGCAGCGGCTTCTGCCTCAACTGTTGGTTTTGACCTCCAGAGAAACATCTTGATTGAAAAACTGTGCTTCCAGAACTTCCTAAAAGATCACCTGGACCTTGATAAGCTGAAGCTCGAGATGCAATTGAATTTTTTAAGTCGGATTTTTGGTTTATATTGCTTTGCAGGTAATCGGTGTGCTAAGGCGAGCATTCCTGGGCCGACCTAGTATGTTATATTATAAACCTGACCCGATGCAACCATCGAGAAAACAAAGAAAGAAAAAATAAAATAAAAAGCTTGCAAAGCATATGTTACCAGGCTTATCTCATAACATAGTCACTGTCGCTGACCTGTCTGGCTGCACAGGAGAGCGCACCAGCAGCGTGTATCCGCATGTCTCCACACCACCTTCTCGCCATTGCTACCAGTTGCCATTTTCCCTGCCTTTTTACTCATCCCGTGAAAATTTTGCCCCGTCCGTTTCCCTCTAACTTTCACGGACTGGCCTGGCATTCCGCTTTTTTGCGTGACAACGCATACATATCACTTCAATTGGCTCGGATATGCACCCAATTGCAATGTGCATGCAGCCAGAACTGTCATCGCGATATGTGACGACCATGGGCAGGAGCAGGATATAGCCAATGGTAAAAGCCGTTATCGAGCCCAATATGGCCAATGGATACACGTTTCACACAACTTGGCAGGCCTCCTTCGGCCCGACGTTGCTTTCGATTGCCTTGCAATTGCAGTGCTCCCTGGCTCTGAGCGAGATTGGGCATGTTAGCAAGCGATCTGAGCAGCAATGCTGTCCCACGGCATGATTCGCTGGGACTGCGTCTACGCTTACCACATTTCGAAGGCCAGTCGTAATCTGGGGGCTTCGAATTCGCAATGAGAAGACAGGATTTTTTTTTGCCATCCCGCTTTCAAAGTGATGTTGGCGATGTGGGATGGTTTGTGGAGGTTTGGAGGGGAGTCAAGCCAGCCAGTTGGACCACGTCAAAACCAACATTTCTTTTTCAACCCGCAAAATGTGACAGCGAACTCATCGCCAACACCAAGAATGGAGAATTTTCGGATTTTTTGAGGGAGCTGCAATTGCAGCTTGACATCAAGATATCGATCTAGAATGCGTTTTGGAAGACGCGAAAATGCTTCAGCTATCAGCTATCTCGATTAGGGTAAATTAATTTTCGAATCTTCACAGATTTTTATGGATTCGATCGAGCTGCAGGTGACGGAAACCCGGTCACAGTGCACGGGTGGGACCGCACACACCAAAACGGGAAATCTGAGGCACATTCCAGTGTGCTTGCACCAGGCTAATTTGATTAACATCTTTATCCAGCCCACAAAATTTTGACGTGCTTCGCGATTCTCATTAGCTTCTTATCAGGTAGTCCATACGCGAGATCCAGTTGAGTTCATTGGATTTTAGGACTAGTAAAAAGCCAGAGGAATTATGAGAAGGAATCAATTGGCACTAATAATCTATTAATATACATTTTGGGAATGGCCGCAATGCAATGATATGAACAGGCCAGGGTCCATTCACAGGACGTCACACGCGATAGAGTCATTTTTTGAGCTCTTGATCTCCATATCTAGGCTGTGCTTTCCTGCGCCTCTTGTTTTTGATCTCAACGATCTTAAAATTCCGATCTCAAAATTCTAGACACTAACTAGTTCTTGAGGCATCAGATGTCCAGAGCTCGCTGTACAGCTGCTAGCTGTGAATTCATGAAGCCCACGTGCACGTGCAATGCATGTGTATGTATGTACGATTCGTTTTCGTCTGAACTTCAAAGTTCAAAATATGCGATATGACCTATGCGTCTGATTTATTTTTTCCCTTGAACCATTCAATCCCCAGGGTGCTTTACAGCTATTACACCTAATTGGTCGGCAAGGCCCAGTGTCATTTCCGGATCGATATCCAAGGCAGTTCGTTCTGCAGGGTCTACTCGGATTCGAAAGCTACCCTCTGTCGTTCTAATAATAACTATTAATAGAATACTCATACTACCCATATAAATGACTTGACAAGCCCCAGAGGCCGGCTTCTCTTCCGTATTTCTGTTGAAGAGGGTGGTTTATTTGAAATTTATTGATATATCACGCTGGAGTTTGAATTCGGCTGGGTTTCGTGCCATCTATTCAAAGTTTCTTTACCTTCAAGGCGTATTACACTTCTAAAGGGATAAACCAGTAGGCATAGCCCCGAGACTAGGCGCAGGTTAGAAGTGACGTATATGTATATACCCGTAACAAGTGTAACGTAGGCACTCTATGTTCGGGGCCTACTGGTGCCGGCTACCATTGTTTTTGTACCCATTTGGTTAAAATTGACCTACCTAGAAACATGGTCTCAAGACTCAGTAGGTTGACTTCACGAACCTTGAGATGCCTAAGTATAACCCTCGGTACTAGCTAAATAGTTATCTAGATAGCTTTGATAGATTGTTTGTAGCTAGGAAGAGGGGTACTAAGAAGATTGCGTGCATAGAATCTAATAAAGCTCTTAAAGTTGACTTCAAATTCATTATTATTAGCATAAAATCAACTATCATTATACGTGCGTGAAAGCTGATATAACTTCTAAGCTAACTTCAACCCTGTTATCCTGCCATGCTATGATCATGCATGGAATGCGTGCGTAGAGTAATATATATCTACAACTATCAAAACACTCAGTTCTATTTAATCTCAAATCTAGCCTTGCTTTCTATAGATCTATTCTACCTATCTACATATAGTCTCTCAGGCCAACTTTCAAGCAAAAATGCAAACATGTAGTTTGCAAAAAGGTTTTTGCGGCCAGGGCCATATTACACGACCAACTGTAGAAGTTGATATCATCGGGACTTGAGCATAATATCATCTTCCTCGGGAATACTATTCCTAGGACCAATATAACCAGCGGCGAATCTTAGACCGAAACTACCAACTATCCCTCCGACCCCCAGAACAGCTTTAATCGTGATTATACCACAAATCCTAAAAGAAATCGGAGTTAGAAGAATTTCTACTGAAATCAGGACGATATAGTACAGAGCTACTAACCTCTAGTTGAAGTTTTGTTAAAGCACCCCACATCCATTACCACCCGTTAGGAGTGGTATGTCATGCCGATTGTAAGAATATTGATCTGTCTTCCAGCTTAACTAAGAATACTCCAGCGACCAATCCATCCAACGAGGCGTCCGGGCTGTGCAACAATGGATTTGTTTCGATGCAGTTGGTATATAACACCTGTTTGTCCGGCGGCCGTATCTGAATGCTGCATCGAATGACCCCCATATTGAAGTTCGAAAAGCGTAAAACTCCCCCCGAGAGTGTCGGGTTAAAAAAAAAGATTATTGAGCGTTGACATAAAGGCCGTGTCAACATGCCCCGGAGGGCCAAAGAACCGTATGCGCCTAAGTATCCTCGTCGCAATTTGCACCGTGTGCGGTTGGGGCATAATAATCTGCCCCTAAGGACGCCGCTTTAACTATGCTTGCCGGTTGAGTCAGGCTTTCGCACCCGTCGTCCTTGCTCGGGCGCAGTTTTCTGTCTGCAGCCCGAGCCATACACTCGCGAGACAATTTCAACATATATATCATGGCCATAGGTGGATACCTAGGCCGTCCATCGTGATATAATAAATTCCCCCGCCCCAGCACAGTTTCGGTAACAAGGTTTTAATCTTCCGGGGCCCTCAAGTAAAGGCGCCCCACCGAGGATACCGCGGTAGATATAAGTCGCGGACTCATGAGCCGGAGCTCGATATTCGAGAATAACACTTCCACGCCACGGAGGCGTCTCATCCGGAGGAACGTAGATCTTGAGGGGGTAGGCAGACGGGGGCGGTAGTTCGATGGACCAGTGTTCGCGCCCAAATGTCTTTATCAATCCACAACTCTAAATGACTTCTTTCGAGATTCTTTCCTCGAGACCGTCTACGTTTAATGAGAAGACTTGGTCAATCCGGTATAGTTCTAGGCACCGCAGATGAACCAGAAGCTTGATCAATCGTATATTTTGGTGTTCCGCAGCATAGGTCAGCCGCTTTTATTTCGGCCTTCGGGAAGAACGTTTCGTTGCTGTACAAACGATCCCTCCTGACAATAGTCTCTCTAGGGTGGCGTAAGCCGACCCTACCCAGCCTTTAGCTAAGGAACTATAATTATGTCAGTCGGATACATATCCGTAATTAAATCTAGTGTTTGTACATACCAATTTCTAATCAAAGGACCGGGAGATTCATCATGTAGTATTGTTGTATTCCACCAACCCCCCGGCATTATAAAAGCAGAATTTCCCTTATTGAAACAGCCGGATTCCCCATGTAACTAGCCTTTGATACTTCGAAAAGAAACTGATAAATTCCTTCAGAGCTGCCGTTTTGGAGCCGTCCCTTCTGGTGATGTTCATATCCATAGACCTGACGTCATGATCAAGTTCCGAATATGTATGTGCATACATCTCTCAAGACCCAGATCAGAAAAAACCTCGCTTTTATCGACAAAAAGCTGACTTTCGACTGTCACGCCTTTCAACTTCATCGTGCTAGTTCGCTTTGTAAAGGGGTCCCAGTTCGGCTTGAGGAACCCGCATTTACAAGCGTATCCAATGCCAACCTGATCTCTGCCTGTAACCCTGACTTTAAACTCATAGTCAGAGCGTGGGCATCGATTATCCCTAGTTCGTTGAAGGTTGGGACGGTGGAGAAGCTGCGTCTCAGGGGACCCCGTTAACGGGTTTCCCCAAGTTCCTTTAATCATTTTTCCCTGGGAGTCTAACAAACTCGAGCCCGGAGGCTATCGCGACGGAGGTATAGTGAGAGAGCTGTTGAATGTCGTCCAAAGAGCAATGGTGGCGGCCAACCACATACGGCCATCCGACGACCGGTAAATACCCAGTTTTCTTTTATAAAGCCTAGGTATCTCATTCCAGATCGAAGAAGCAGCATCCGCAGAGACCCCATGTTAACATATTCCCCCAAATTCTTCAAGTAATTTTTCCTTGGGAACCTAAACCCCAAGCAATAGCCTGGAGGCCTCGATATTTTGAGCATAGCTATCTAGAAAAGGGGAGTTTCAACTGCTGTCCAAATATCGAGACTAGCGGCAACCACATAGTCCCAATTGACAATGCGGTCAGGTTAAATCCGGTGCGCCTCTCGAGAAGAAGGCTTAGCGGTTGTACTTCCGTTGTCTGGTTCTTTTTTAGCGACAGATATGGTAGTATTGGCTCTCGGAGAAGGCTGAGCATATGCATGTTTATGTTATCAATACTCGCTAGATCTGGGTCAAATATTAGCTCCAAGTAAAAGACATACTTGACTTCAATGTACCTTAACTTACCATAAGTTTCCGCAGTTCATCCATCTCAACATAAGTCCGAATTTCTATCTCCTCGAAAAAATAGATATCACCGTTTATATTTTGAAGGTGAAGGCCGTGTTTTATCTCATTTTCTCGAGGAAGATCCTTTCGACGGACCCTATTTCTAGAAAGTTAGCTTATTTTTTTAAGTGTCTAATATCAGCTTGACAAACCTTCATCATGATGTTTTCCCTATATATTTCACTTCGGTCTTATCTTTCTCTAGACTCTTAAGTTCCATATATCCGCTCTCAATTTATCCCCCATGTTCCGCTCCTTCTTCTTCTCGTCCTGCTTAATATTTTTATCCTACTTCTCTCCTTGTCTTTCTCTTTCTCTTCGCGACTTTTATATATCCGAGCATGTCATATTTCGAGCACCGATTCCAGCGCAATCTCCTTAACAGCTCCTGGGCCGGAGCCCCTTCGTGTATAATTGAATTCCTCTGGGGTTAAGAGTTTAAATTTCTTCAAACCTCACTTTCAAACCTGTTACCTCTTGACCCAGAATTGTGGCTCTGATTGTACAAATTCAATCCTCCACAAACATATCCTTTTTCTGCATCCCCACATTGGGGAGCAGCTATCATATTATAAATCTATAAATAGACTTATAAATATATATCTGCACGGAGCACGGATCATGAGGATAGTGCCATAAGTTCTCCTATAAAATAGAGATCAATCGTCAGAATACCGAGCCAAACTTTGACATTTTTTTTTGGCGATTGATGTTCAACATGCATACCTCATTCTTGACTTGTAAGATTATGTATCAATACGCATCCACGAACTCAAACTATTATCGAGCTAGAGTCTTCCCCCAGTGTCGACCAGCTTCGATCTTTTTAGGGCCTTAATTAAATTATCGACTGTGGTTATTATTTTTGGACAAGCCAAAGACCGGGCGTGGGAGAGAGGCCGGAGCCCCAGCGGATGCTCCCATGGCATCGTCGGGATCCCTTATTTCTGGTTCCAGTCCTAGCAAACTCGACGAAAAGTAACGGAGTCCCGGCCAGCCCATAAAAAGGGCGGCCCCAAATGACAGGACTATATTTATGATTGGTACAGAGCTCGCTCCTAGCAATATTCTCATAATTAGATAGATAAATATACACCGGTCACTTAAATTTAGGACTTACTTATTTAAAATATCTTCCCCGACACCACACGTCTTTTCACAAGATTGTTTTAGCCCCCCACACCCCAAATGATTTCGAAGTGAATTGGGGCTTTGTGAAGAAACTGTATAAACACGTATTATTGGCTGCAACGGTAAAATTTCTGTAGAGATATGTTGTGATTAATCTTATCGTCGAAGACCTGGACTTTCGAATTCGCATTCCGGTCTGTCGGGTTTTTGTGTGGGATGTCGTAATGTAACATTCGTCTAAAGGGTTATAATGGGCGCCGGCGTTCAAATAGTCATTTGCGAACCAAGCGTCATACAGCATTAAGCTCATCTGGAATGTTTATAACATCTTTCAACCCCCCCCAAACGATCAGGGTGGTAGATTGTAGCCAAGTCAGCAAGTCCGCCAATAGTCGAGCATATATAAGAAATGGTAAATCTATTAATTCTGTCTTGTTAGTATCTTCCTAGACGACGTTCTAAATATCTTCAATGATATTGGTTTCTTACAAGTTGTAACCAAGCTCTTCAAGCCCCAAAGCTCTGGGCCGGAGCCCCTCTACCAAGCACAGAACCCCACATACCCATAAAGGGCTTCCTTGACCATGTCTCGATATTAACTCAGGCCAGGTTCATACAACTGTACAAAACCCAAGGCGCAAAGTCAGGCAAATGTTCGATACCTTCGGATTTCGCTGTATGAGCGTAGTCGTTAAAGCCCGGATAAGAAAAGACACACTTAAGATAGAGGTCGATTTCTCTTAATCTTTTCCTTCTTTTGATATTCGACTCTAAAAGCGAGATTTCCTCTCAACTTGAAAATGTCTGTTGTGATAGAATCGAGGGTTTGCGCAGGCGGGCCATCCTCATGTCTAGGCTCACGATGCTCTAGGTATCGTCACCGTAATTAAGATAGCCGAATATTAAATAGGGTTGTGTGGCTACAAGGCACATGACGAATCTCACCAATGAACCCCTTATCCGTTATATATGCTGTAAAGCGGGTAAAGTATTCCGACAACTCGACAATTTGCATGAAGCCGTAGATATCTGAAGCTTTATCAGTCGGTAAATCGGTTTGGCCGCGTAAATTGTTCTGGTAGACGCCTGGAATTCCCGACGACCCACCCTCGTAAACTAGGTCTTTCGGGAGCCACATCTTTTTGATGTCATGTGGGAGGCTGTATTCGACAAGCCGGAGGATAAGTTTCCCGGTTAAAAAATATAACAGATAGAAACGGGTATGATGGCGTTCCCCACTCTACTGATATATAGCCTAAAACGCATATAATACCCTTCTTTCTGGATATATGCATGCCGCGGGCCGGAACCCAGTTAACATGATTTCGGCGTTTGAAGTTGGATCGAATATTACATTATATCTCTCGAGGAAGATAGCCGTATGGAGAATATCGTTTATATCCGAAAGATTACCAAAAGCACTCCCCGCGGACAAGGCTTCAAAAAAGATCCATCACCTCGAATGCGAGTTCTATCTTCGTAATCCAACTTTGTAGGCCATGATTCCCATTTGGAAATGTCGATGGCCGGAGCCATATTTCGTAAATTTATTTTCCGTGAAACTCGAGTATTGAGGCGGGAGTATTCTATAAGTGAGGGGGAAACTTATTATAGGTTAGTCTGTGGCCTTTGACTATGATATATGAGGGCTTTGTGTATAACTAAAGCAATGATTTCTTACTCTTGATGCAATGGATTATTCACCCAGAGATACTATATCCCATATCTTAGAGACCCCACCGATACTTCTTTAGACCGTCTGGTGGAATTCAATTATTCCTCAGCGTAGCTCAGATGTTGTACCAGAGCCTTTGAAGACCCAGTGACGCAACCAGTACGTAGCTACGTTAGAAGGTTGTACCACGGGCGGTAAAATTGTGAAGTGTTCGAATGTCTCCTGAAACTTCCTAACGGCTTTGGTATCTCAAAGGGATGAAGTTCCTCCTCTGTGATGAAGACCCTAGTAAGGTTGCCTAATATGCCCCAGCTGTCTTTAGAAGAACATCCCCCAGGAGAAATTTCGCTCACTTTCGTCTTTGTGAAGGTTCCTCTTCCATAAACGCTACGGTAAAAAACCTGGAGGCTCTCAAGAGGGATTTCAAGCCTTCTTAAGGGCCGCATTGTATGCGAGCCCCGGGTGGTGTACGTCGGCTTAATATATTTGTCAACAGGAGTCCGAAATGGCATCGCTGTGGGCGGTTCTTGATCGAATATGGGCCGGAGCCCAGGCGTTCGATTCGATTCGGGTAAGGTTTAATCATCATAAGGCCGGAGCCCACGAAACGTGAGATGAAGATGCCGCTGAGCGAACTATTTGTAGTAGGGGATAAAGCTTTCGATTACCAGAGACCATGGGCTGGAGGAGGATGATTCGACTTTGAAGTTTCGGGAGCCCACATCTCAAGTATTTCAGGCTCATCACGCTACTATAATTTAGTATCCTATTTCAACGATTTATCATGAAATCTATGGAAAACTTACTATTCTTAAAATATACGAAGCCGATGTCACGGGAAAAGAACTGGTCTGCCAGATATGTAATGTCTGGGTGTGATGGGTGGAATAATAAATCTGAGCAGTACTAGGGAGGATACTTGTAAAAGGAATCCAGAAAACCACTCCATGGTTTGTCTAAAGGACATATTTATATGACGGTATGTCAGTCTATATTTTGGTAAGAATTTATCAATTATACCATTGATTGACTTACGCTTTATTACCCAACCCACGGGCGAGAATATCTGTCAATCGTGAATCGATTTTCCGATATAGTCAGGAATAAATATCAATATTTTAAGGTAGAAACTGTATCATGCATACATATCGAGAGGTGGGCTTCGAGTCTAATCATGTTATTATAGTAATATATGAGGTGGATCATTCGCTTCATGGAAGCATACTTATGTTTATCAATATTATTGATTCCCGGCCGACAGGCCAGGGAATTGATATTAGGGTGGTAGGCGCAGGCGGCACATCGCTAGGGATGGTATTCGCCTCGCCAAATTATATATAGTATTTATATTGAGCTGCCCATGTTCTTGGGCGTATATATTATCGAGTCATCCATTTCGGCGAAATTTGAAAGTTTCTTAAATTTTCCGTCCTCAGAGTCTAGTCAGTATATCTTCTTATTATAGAGTTAGATAGTTTATAGCCATATACCTCCAACTTGTAAATATGCTGGAACATTATAGTTCCAAGCACATCGGAGATTTAAGTGCTGCGTGAAGTAAACTTCAACACAGCACCTCTAATATATCCTTAAACCACGCCGGGGTTGTCTGCCACCTTACCCTTCGGCACTCATACCAGTATTGTAACCGGGGGCGGCACATACCTGGGAGACAGTTCTTTCTGTCGTCCCCATATAATATAAAAGTACCGCGGAGGTACGAATAGCTTTAGTTTTATGTTTATGTGTATATCCACCAAGTGTAATATAATGCCAAGGGGCGGACCCCAGATTTGGCCTCGAGAATAGTGTTCAGGCATTGGCCCCAGCAGCGCCGCCAGTATACCTAGTGCTTATGTATATTTTAAATATATTGCCCTGGGGCTGGTCTATAGTGTGAAATAGGAAATTAATATATGGGTTGTGAGCCCGAGAGGAAATAGTTATACTTACGGCACGGACAAGTCTAGTTATTTCGTCCAGAAAAACGTGCCTATATTTCTTGGAACAACTTACAGAACTAAACATTGGATCTGGAAACGAAGTCTCTGGGCCAAGGTTTTCACCATGACGCAGGGATCCAACATTTCAACATCCCCAATGGTTAGTCCTGTTGTTTATTCCACAGTATATAAATTATATGTATAGTTGGTAATATGAAAAGGTTTTGACACCCAGGCGTACCCCGTAGCTCGGAATCAAGCAACTAGGGATGAGAACGAAATCCCGGGATCATGATGGCTTATCATGATGCCGGGACTTAACGTTCCAAACATTCCCAATTGGTTGATTCCTTTACTATTCCAACGCGCACATCGTTTGACTGTTGGCAAGGCATTGGATGGCTACGAGACAGAATTTGGGAACCGGAGGCCACGTCTCGAGATTATGACAATTAAGTCATAAATCAAGGCGAATAACTTCGACGGTTCCAAGAGTCTGTCCCGTAGCCTCTTCTCCCAATGCCCTTGCGCGTTATTAATATATGGCGAGGAATGATTTCGTGACAAAATTCCGGAGCGGGAGACGAAATCCCGAGATCATGATAATTAAATCATGAGTCGGGACTTAACGCCTCTAACCAGCCCCAGAATTTCGTCATGCGGCCTCTTCCGACGCCTTTGCGGGCTCTGAGGACGTGACGTGGGACGGATACGGGAATCACTTCTGGATCTGGAGGTGAAATCCTGAGATCATGATAATTAAATCATGAAGTCAGGACTTAACATCTCAACTGTTCCAGAAGTCTGTCCCGTAGCTTCTTCCAACGCCCGCCAACGACCGGCGTGGAATGACACACAGAACAAAACATTGCTGGCGATTTTATCCGGGGAGGATCCTTTCTTTCTAATACCGTTGTTCAGCCAGCCAAGCTTTGTGAGAGCCGAAGGCGGGGTCTCGAGACCATGATAATAAATATTATCATGGTGTCGGACTTTCACGCCTCAACAACTCATACTAGTGGTTTCACTCCAACGCCTTTCTCCGGGCGGAGACACGGGGCGGCCGTGGAGACGGGCCCTAGGAGAACTGGAGGTGAAATCCCGAGATCATGATATATATATATATATCATGATGTCAGGCATAACACCTCAACAGTTCTCCTAGTCGTCCCATTCTGTATTTTGTTCCGCCGCGCGCGTTCAGCCGGGGAGTGTTTCTGAAGAATCTGGCGTGGAATAACCACGAAACCAGACTCTGGGAGAGCTGGGGATGAATCCCCGACCTCAAAGTCGACTATGAGATCGGAGAAGACATCTCGAGAGCCCGTCCCAGCAGCTGGCCCCGTATGTTATTCCAACGCCATCCCACGCCGGGGGCACCTGACGCAATAGGGCCGCCGTCGGTGCCCCCAATATGTGTGTGAAGTCTAAAATGGGGTTTATCGGCTCCACAACCCCCAAAAAGCTGTCTCGAGGATTTCCCTCCCCCGGAATAGCTATGAGGGTAACCTCAAAACCGGAAATGAAGTCCCAAGATCATGAAATAAATCATGATGTTGGGACAACACTTCAACGGTTTCAATGCTACCCTCATCCCCGTTTTAAGGATCGCTGAAATTGCTCTCTCAATGGGGTTAGATGCGTGGAACAGCGATCAAGGAAGAATTAAGATTCTGGGAACGAAATCCCGAGATCATGAATTCATCATGATGTCGGGACTTAACGTTCCAGTCTCCCAACTTTTCTTTCATCACATGTTCCAACGCATCGTATGTAACAACCACTAAGGAAGTTTTTCAACTCCTCAATCTCAGGGGGGGGCTTGAGCAAACCGATGGTCTTTTCCGTGAGGTATACGGGGCTGTGAGTGGCGGAGACCTGTAGATGGCCTTTTCATATGGTTGTTATTCAGATTAGGGGTAACGGGGCCCCGAGCATAGCTTAGCATCGTAGTCCATGCTGGGACACGCCGTTACCCGCACACCGAACTTCTTCCAGTCATAGTATTCTATGAGACCAGTATGTTAGATGTATAAGATCAATGAAGAAGAGAGTTAACCACTTAGAGGGAACACTTTAGACTGTAAGTACTTACATTGATTCTAGTACGAGTTTTCTTGTTGTAACAACTCCTCAAGGCATGCGTTCCCTGAGTCCCACTAAATCCTTCTGAGCGGAAGAAGAGAACAAATGATATGTAGGTGGACGGATCCTGTCGGATGTTTGAAGAACATCCGTCTTCAGCCACCCCGGGAATTCCATTTTTCGCTGTATCATAGATAAACGAATGTAAGAACACGTACCCAAATAATCGCGAAGAAGATGAAGATTGAGAAAATAAAAGGAGAGAAAGATTTGATGCATACCGAAGTACTCCAGACCAGCTTAAGACGTGAGCTGAGGTTGCTTGACATGTCCATTACTGTGGTGGTTGCTGTGGTTAGAAAATACTTTTGGGAGGTTGATGACAAGACGCGTCTTGAAATGTGGGATAAATGTTTGTGGGAGAAAATTAATTACCAATCTGTCTAGGGAGTACCGAGATAACTATACCGCGGAGGGATTTTCAGGAAACCTTAGGGAAGTTATCAGAAGAAAAAGGAAGTGCAGTCGATGAATACTTTTGGGTGCTGGTTGTGATCACCAAAATATTGATCATGGTATTGGTGATACCAATGATGAAGAAGGAGGTAGATTGAGATGAGATGGGAGGGATGTGTGAGGATAAAAGGGAAGGAAGAAAGTTTTCCTGGAGAGGCGTGAGGGGAATATATACCTACTAATCATTTTCCAAAAGTTTTCCCGTTCTGGAAACTTCACAAAAGTTTTCCTGAATGGCCAGAGGGGGGTGTTGCACATTCCAAAGAATATTTATCAGAGGCCGAAGATGGAGTGGGGGATCAATGTGCGAGGGCATGAAACCCTAGATTGGAAGCTTCGAGATATCGATATCCAGATTACGTCCTGGCACGACGTTGAACGGATATCACGATCATAGATACTGCACGGATCGACCCAGGGACGGAAAGAAGCCCTAGTAACGTCCTCGGCACGACGTATAACGTCCTTGGCAAAGAGCCCTATGATATCATGATGTTCTAGAAGATATATCGCTTTTACGCATCCCAATTGGGACAATTACGATGTTCTTTCAAAGTTTCCCTCGTTGGGAAACTTGATTATTTAAGGAGGAATTTATTTCATATATTTCATCCTCCTCTTCCTTCCTTCACCCTCGAACACAATACCTCCTCTTCCTCTCACATCTTCTCCTACATAACATCCTTTTCGACGTCATACTTTCTACTTTCCCTGCCCAAGATGTTGTTCTCCACTGTTGCCGTTTATCTCTGCACTGCTCTTGGTTTCGCCACCGGAGTCATCAGTGCCGGATTCAATGAGCTCAACGATTTCGCTAAGGATTCTGGCACCGTTGAAGCCAAGGCTGACCCACCTCTTGTCAGTTTTGACTCGTTCGGCAATATGAACCTAGTCATATCCTTAATAAACAAGTATCGTGTCGCGCATCAAGCCCCTGTTGTCAACTGGAACTCCTCTTTGGCTATCTACGCCGCGAATGCTGCGTACCCTTGCAACTTCCGTCAATCTCACGGACCTTACGGTGAGATTCTCGCCGGATCCACGACGGTCAACAATCCAGAATGGTTTGTTTGGTTGTAAGTATTCTATTTCTATGTCCTCCTTTGTTTATTTGTTTTGTTGGTTGCTAAGTTAGTTTTAGTGTCTACGGTGAAAACACCTCCTACAACTTCAAGAATCCCGACGTTACTGATCCTCGTATGTATTCTACTCTACGTTGTCATTGATGTTATATTTCTGACATCTTGGTTAGGCACCAAACACTTCACTCAACTCGTCTGGGCTGGTACCAAGCAAGTCGGTTGTGCATTCGCCTCAGGTTGCCCAGAGTAAGTATTCCTAAATCACAATAACTCTAACATACTTCTTGTTACTTATACTTCAATAGATTGAAATATCAACTCTGGTGTGAATTCTTTCCCAAAGGAAACACCGGTTCTCAATTGGCTTACCGCAACAACGTCAAGCCTGCTGACAAGACCAAGGAGATCCCTGCAATGCCACCAACGAACGTCTAAATCAACTTTTGACGATTGAATCTTTTGGTTTGACAGATCTCTTTTTTCTCCTTTTCGGTTTCTATTGTTACATCATGCATGTATCTTACTCTGAACAGTACGCTTTGTTCGGACTATTTCTCTTTCATTGATTTTTTTTAAAATCTTCTATCTTGTTTTCTTTACTGTACACTTTTTGTTATCCCTTTTAATTCGCGATCCTTTCAGTAAAGCTCCGGATCATGAATCCAGATGAAACGAAGTACTTAGTAGATTCAACAATCTACTGGTTTAGTTTTATCAGGAAAGTGGGATGGAACGAATGGAATCGTGGAAAAGAAAGCAAAGAGCGGTTAGTAACGATCATAACTGGAAAGCCTTTTATCATCAATCAATCAATCAACTTCTTTAATTCAATATCTAGTTCCATAGTAAACTATAAACTCGAGCATAGATAGCAGTGAAATTATTCATGAAGCCGTCCGTGCAACTATAAAACCATCGTGACACGAGATCTCCGCTGTTGTATCGCAGTTAATCCCCGCCATTCTTCGTGCTACCAAAAAAATCACGTTGCTAGGGAATGTGTTGTCAACTCCCGCTCCCTCAAAATACCACATCACGACCCAAAAGCATCTCAAACCTTCAACATCAATTTACGCAAGCAAACCCACCAAAACGGTATCTCCGTTACACGAATTCTTTTCCCGGACGGTCGAAAGAAGCTAACTGTCGCTGGAAATAGAGGCTAGATCGTTAGTTCGGGGTTGGAAGCTTAGCGAGGGGATGCGATAACATTGGCCCCCACGAATACGCCGGGAATACAGAAAATTGAGGGATTCGAGTGGGGGAAAACATCATGGCGAGATGGCGATGGTATTTTATACCGATAGCCGTAGTTTTAAGAAGCTTGAATGGTCGGTGGTGGTGATATCGAGGTTAAGGTTAAAGCCATGCACCTCGACGAATTCGGACAAAGATCACGAGATTCTTATCGGCTGAAATTCGCTTCCTCAGACATCTGCAAATAAATCTCCAAATGCAACAACGGATACCATGCATGCAATATCGGTAACAAGGTATTAAACTTACAAAGACATATTCTCGCAAAATGCAATCTGCTGACTACTAATCAAACAAGGGCTCGTACGACTAGCGAACTAACCGCTATCCGATCGAATCATGTTACAATGAACCTACTATCCCCGGCTAAAATCCCAGTTTGGTTTTCGGCCTTTCCGGCGAGTTTGGCGCCGAGATGCAGGGTCGTGCGACAGATACATTTAGAAGAGAAGGAGCGGGGAGCACAGGGGTAGCTATGGTTAGCTTCTACCTAGTTTAACTCCCTAGCTTTTGCGGGGTGCGGGTGGGAGTATATATATTCAGGGAGGAGGTATGCTGATAAGGTTTGGAGTGGGATCTTTCGCCCGCTTCTTTGATCTTAATTCACAGCTTCTCTAGACTATCTTGAGCTTGGGTCCAATCGCACGAGGCTATCCATTGAGAGATTGGAGGATATAGATATAGTACGTATCTACAGATCTTGCACGGAGTTCTACTATTTTGGTCTGTAAGTCTACTCACTACACTCCCTATCTATCCACTAAGTCCTAATAGAGATATAGTCCCCCACTTCACGACACCGACCACCACCAAAATGGGAAAACCATACACCCACACCCCGAACTCGCTCTTCACCCTCTGGCTCTCTGTCTCCCTCCCCCTCGTCCTCTGGGACTTCTCCTATGTAATGCTCCGCCCCCACTCCATGCCCGGCGGAAAATACCATTTACCCTGGAAACCCTACGCTCTCTACTGCGAAATCGATCTAGTCTACGGATTCCAACATTACTACGATGGAAATGGGTTTAATCCCGCACAGAGCGCAATGAACTTCGTGGAGACCATGGGGTATTTTTATTACTTATGGTTGGTTAGGGGTGGGACTGGGGAGGCCGGATTGTTGGGGGTGAAGAAGGTGGTTGGGAAGACAGCGGGGAAGGCGGTGATGGTTGGGCTGGTTGCTTGTACGGCGACGTTTTGGAAGACGGTCATTTATTGTTTGTTATCCTTTTTTTTTACCGTTTACCTTTATTTATGGGGAAAAAAAGCTAATTATAATGCGGTACAGGGCTTATTGAGATCCTCGGAGGGTATAAGAATATCGGTCATAACGACTTTAATACGATATTCTGGTTTTGGATCATGACGAATGGACCGTGGCTTGTGCTACCGCTCTATGGAATCTATAAATTTGGGAGTGAGATTGTGGAGGGTTTGAGTGGTAGCGAGGAAGTTAATGGTGGAAAGGTCGAGTAATTGGGTGGCATGTATCTCACACCGCAATGAAGAATTTATTCTTTTACTCTATTCCTTTATATTATTTTTAGTCTTTTATTTTTTTTTATGGTTGTGATGATGATGATGATGATAATGATGGCGGTTATGACGATGGTGAGGGGATATGAGGAAAGTGATGAGGGGATTGTCCACGAGTCTTAATTCAGACTTCACATGGCTAATGATCAACCTGCAGAAGAGCTTATTAGTAACCTTACCTTTTCTTGTTATATATAATTGCTGACCGACATTTTTGACAAACAGACTTTCATTTTCGTTTTCAACATCATCTACAGCTTCATCTTCACCATCGACAGTCTCTCTAGCTATCAGACACTCATTATATCAACCATATACTACTTATACCAAAATATGTCCCAAAATATGCCCCAAAATATGCAATCTCAAACTCCAAGACCATCTTCTTCCTCCTCGTCCTCGTCCTCTTCCTCTCCTCCTCCTCCCCATCAAACACACACAGCCACACCTGCTTCTGCTCCTCCTCCTCCTACTCCTCTCTTCCTCCGCCTTTATAACATAAACCGCAGGATCCTCGAAGAATCCAGACGCTCCAAAACCACCGTCGAAGGAGTAGGAATCCCTGAAGATCCATCTTCATCTCTCTCCCGCCCGGGTGCTTCTCATAATTACGATTCGGAGGATAAAGCCCTATCACAGCAGCAGCAGCAGCAGCAGGCTACTTTCGCGACATCAAATACTACTACAGTAGGTGGTGGTATCAATAATACCCCTTCACCGAATAATTCTTCTATACCTACCCCGAGTTCTACGACTTCACCTTCTGAAGAAGAAGAAGAAGAAGGAGAAGAGAGCGATCAAAGCTGGCAGGACGATTGGGACCATATCGGTAGTGACAATAGTAGTACCGGGCGGAGTGATAACAGTCCTCATTCCGAATTCGAAGAGGTTGGAATAGAAGAGCTCAGCAGTGAAGGATTTAATACACCAGAGAGTGAGGACAGTGGAGGCATTGATACGCCGGAAAGTGATAGCGAGAGTAATAGTGATACCGGAGAAATGACTGGAAGAGGAGGAGGAAGAAAAAGGGCATCGTCGGGTGCTCCGATGCCACCGCCGGGGTTGACGGGTGCTACCCCTTTACCGACGGAATCGGAGGGCTCTGCTGCTTCTGGGGAGGGTACTTCCCAACAGTCGGGGTTTATGGGGACGCAGACAGGGGATAGTTCTTTTACTTTTACTGCTCCCACTTCTGGGGAGACTGCAGACACGGGCTCGGGTGCGGGTATTGGACCACCAGTTGCATCTTCATCATCATCCTCTTCTCGAAGACCAAACCCCCCTCCACTCCCCCCTAGGCCAACGAAAGCATTTACCCCGCAACAAACCGTCCCACAACCAGCCGACGAAGCCACAGCATCCCCAGAGGGGCAAGCCCGTCTCCGTATAGCCCCCGGTATAGAATCAACTAGACGCGTCCCGCCTTCTATTCCATTCGACAACCTGAATAGACCAATAGCCATACCACGCCGCCCCCGAGCAACTCGTGCTGCAAGGGTCGACGACGATGGCAGTGATGACAATTCAGATATAGAAAGTGATCTAGGAAGTGTCCACACCTCAGATGGATACTCCGATCTTGACTTCCAAGAACGAGAACACTATGACGATGATAACGAGTCCGCCGAAGAAGCGACAGCGGAGCCGATATTCCCGATGGATAATCCGGACATGGTACCACCCGTTGTTCCTGTTCCTATACCGCCAGCTCATGGACCGGGATATAAACGTACACCTCACGATGTTCCAAGGCCTAGGTCTCCATTTAAGCTTGATAAGGCTAGAACACCCAGGTCACCGTCCCCTGAGAGTCTGTTGACCAATATTATTACGAATCCAGATCCAAGGTATGCTAATCCTCAAGGAGGTGCAACTACTGCTGCTGAGAGTTCTGGATGGAATATAAGAAGAAGAAGTACTGCAGCCGCCGGTCCTAGCAGGAGTGGTTCTGGTGACACTACTAGTACTAGTGAACTATTCGACATTACGAACCCAACACATGTTCTAGCACGGCGCATGCGATCGATGAAGAATCCAAAGTTTGATAGCACATGGGGAGGATCCGGAAGGACCACTGGGAATCTATGGGATACATTAGATCCATACCCACCAAGCGGACATTACCACCATATCACGCCCCAACAAGAACCAGAACCATACAGAGGATCCGATGCGGAACTTGAAAGGTTTTTAAGAAGCTTTTGTGGAACGACGGTTAAAACCCCCCCACCGGGGAGTAAAAATGTTTTGGGATATATGATGGCAAAAGTCAACCCAGTTCTTAAAGGATGGTTTGCGATATGGCAGGTTAATTTAGTAGGGAAATGGGTGTTGAAGCATCAATGGGCTGGATGCTGGATTGGATTGGATAGGAAGAAAGGGTGGTATAGAATACCAATGGAGGATCATAAGGGACCTGGAACTACAACTACTGGTGGGCGATGGCCTGGGGTCGAATGCCTTGGTGGAGAAGGGATTCGAGATACCGTGGCAGGGAGGATTAGGTTTTGGGGGGAATATTTTGAAACGATTAGAAAGAGAGAGTTGAGGGAGAGGGTTGAGGCTGATAAGGACGTGGATAAAGGGTTGAAAGAGGAGAATGAGAGGGCTAAAAGGAGCGCGGGAATTAGAAGGATGAAAGAAGAGGCGCTGAAGAGGAGAGGCATTGATAAAGGCCATGGTGGAGGTGGGGAGAATAGTAGTGATGATGACGAGAACAATGATGATGATCGTAAAGGTGGTGGTGGGGTTGGTCAAGTGGCTCAAGGTAGTTCGAGTGGACCACGAACAGATGAGAGGGTTGATGAGAGGGCCGAAACTAATGTTACGGCATCGGAGGAGGTAGGGGGGGCAGGTGGGCAGGAGACTGGGGTGTCAACTCAAGCATTCACTCAGGCACCGACTGCAGCAGCTACTCCATCGGCTCAGGGATCGACTGAGGTACCAACCGAAGTACCAACCGAAGCACCGATTGCGGCAGCGACTGAGGTATCTACTCCGTCTACTCAGGCAGCGGCTCGAGCACCCACTCCCGCAACGGCCCAGGCATCCACCGAGGCATCAACTGAAGCATCGGCGACAGCATCGCCCCAATCATGGTCCCAATCATGGTTCCAAGCATCGCCTGCGACACCGACTCAAGAACTGACCCAACCATGGGCCCAAGCATTTACCGAGGCATCAAGTCCTGGGGATGAAGCTACAAGAGAAAGGTCTGAAACGACTCCTAGAGCGCCAGGGAGCTGGGAGGCACCGACCGAGGCCTCCAGACATAGAGAAGAGAGCATAAAGAAAGAGTCTGGAACTGGGAGTTCGAAGGGGAAAGCGAAACCTGATTATTGGGATCTTGCGAAAAAGAAGATTAGAGGCACTTCGTTTTCATCTGCTGGTTCCGCTGGTTCTCCATCGGCTCCCACTAGCCCTACAACGGCTGAAGGTCCATCTTCGCCGAAGAGTTCGAGAGGGAAAGAAGTTGTGAAGAAGTGGAGTTTTGGGACTGTGAGGGGGAAGGATAAGAATAAAGATAAAGATAAGGATGGGGATAAGGATAAAGACAAGAAGGATAAGGAGAAGGATAAGGAGTAATAGCTGTTTTCTTCTTATTTTTTTCTTTCTTTCCTTTGATGTCATGATGTTTTTTAATTGCGGATACATGGTTCTATAGGAAGGTTTGTCTTTCAATCCGCTAATTGGGGTTATTTGGGTCTCGGGAAGTTTAACTTGCATTGTTGGGCATGCAGGCTTTGTAATTACATTCTGCTATACTTTTTGAATAGCGTTTCTTTGTAGGAAACATGGAAATGGAAATGATAGTTGGTTGCACGGTTGAAGTTTGAGCATTTTTTTTTTTTTTTAGGTTTCCGGTTTGTGACGTAGCATATAAGCATATTTTGACGGTAGATTTCGGGGCTTTTATCTGTCTTCATATCTACTGCGTCTTTCACTCCCCTTCTTTTTCCTTTCTGATTAATTCTCGTCTTATTATATACATTGTGCTCCAGGGGGGGGATTACAGTATGCCGCGAAGTTATCAATCGAGTTTGGAGTGTATACCTGAGCAGGGGGAGGGGCTTGAATGGGAAGAGGAGGGGGTGGGGGGTAGAAGGGATACGGAGGTATATAGAAAAATTGAGAATTCGTTTGGAACGAAGGGGTTGACGGAGTTGATTGAGAGGTTGGAGATATCGTATTCTAATACTTCTTCTTCTGATTCTTCTTTGACTGGTGGGGGTGAGGGGAGGTGATGTTTTACATATCTTTCGTAAGTCTATATCTCGCGAATATTATATAATATGATAGCATGAGTGAGGGGGGTATTGGTATTAATTATTATTGATAAACTACTTAAGTAGTAGGATATTATACATCCTCCGGTTCATCGATCTATATATACATACATCGATATATCTTAAAAAGCCAACAATCCCACAAACCCCACGACCACCGCCGCCATCAAGTTCCTCGAGTCGATATTCATCCCAACAGCAGCACCCGGTTTATCACCATCCTTAGTAGCACCTCCATTATTATTCCCATTCCCATTCCCACCGGTACTTCCACTCTTCAACATCTCAGCCGTAACATCCTCCTCTCTCAACGGATACTCCGAAGTATCAATATCAGGACAAGCTTCCTCCAACGTCAACATTGGTAAATCACCGTTTGATTCTTCTCGATCTCGGGATTCGGTGATGTTTGTTGGATCATATTTGTAGATTGTTTTTATCGGGGAGAAAAGATAGGCGGATTGTGTCGCGCAGGTGTTTTCTTTGCAGAGGGCATCTGGGTTTGAAGTATTTAATAGGCCTGGTTGGGTGTAACCTGGGGTTTCGGGGGCGAGGAGGCAGTAGGTTTTTGATGAGCTATAATTTTTCACCCCCGTTCTTATTAGTATATCCGATATCGAAGTTAGAAGGAACCCCCCCGGGGGGGGGGGGATATATAAAGATTGAAAACATACGAATCAACCAAACACTTAGTATGATAAGCCGCCGTAATATAATACTGCCAAACATCCGTCGCAGTAGCATTCCTTCCCACATCCTCATCGAAAAACTTCTCACTCAAAAGTCCAAAATAATTCAAAAACGTCTCCCCCTCACATCCTTCCCCTCCTCTGACCCATTTACGGAGTGAGGTTAAACATGCAGATGTGCAGATTTTGTCGAGTTCGGCGGCTGTGGGCCTTTGCGAGTCGCCGAAGGAGTTGGTGACTACGGAGGAGTCGCAGTCGATTGTGGCGTTGTAGGCGGCGATACAAGATGGATTTGGGGTTATGCCAGAGGGGACGTCGGGGAGGTCACCGGCGGATTCGGGGAGGGAGAGGAGGTTGAAAGAGGCGAGGACAGTGGTTGGGAGGAGGAGGGAGAGGTAGAGGGCGTGCATTTTGTCTTTATTATTATATTAGACCAGAATATAAAAAAAAAGTTAAGGAATGAACGAGTGAATGAATCGAATGAAGGTTCGCGATTTGAATGAGTGAACGAATCGATGAATCGATGAATCGAAAAATCAAATGCACGATGTTTTATAAAAAAAAGAGCGATAGTTTGAAGAGAAGAAGCTAATTTCTCAGACATGTCGTCCGAACAGTCCCCTTTTAACTTTCTTATAATCAATCAAGATAAAGCTAAGAAAGTCATCTAATTCCAACGGTTTAGTCATCGCCCCCTGCGACTCTCAAATGCGACACGGACAAGGAATCGAAAAGGAGCCTCAGTTTCTTGATTGGTTGTTTTCGAGCTTCATGTGGGGTTCTACTGGGACTAGTCTAGCTGGGCGTAATTTAGTCTGTCTTGGCGAACCTGCGTTTTTGTTCCGTTCCTGAGGGGGAGTTCGTGTTCGTGAAGCCACAGACGTAAGAATCTGTAACGGTTCCGATACCCGGGGAAAAGCGATCAAAGCGGGACTCGCTTTCCTTCATAATGCCTTTGAGGGAAAGTGCCTCATGTCCAGTGCTATCTGGAAAATTGTATTAAATCGCATGACTCTCTCGTTGAGAAGTAAATGGCATTTAATATTGTAAAAGGTATGAGCCGAAAGTTCGCGTTTAAAGATCCTCTCTTGATAATATTTGAAACGAGGATCATCGGCGGCTGTGCGACGGCGAGTATACTTTTTTTGGAGGGGTTTTTCTGGATTTTATCGATATGTGGTAACTATCGATTGTATTTCCAAAATGAGGGTTTTGGACCTTCCGATTTGGAAGGGGTTTGAGAACTGGTGTGGTTTCTGCCGGGGTAGTTACCGGAAGGCCGGTGCCTTTCGGGAGGCTTTTCTTTGCGCTGCCTGAGCTAGCGCTCGTTAACTTGTTCATGCATGCATGTCTGCAGTTAAAGGTTTTAAAATCTATATAATTTTGATCGATTGAGATAATTGGGGTGTTAGAATTTCCTTCATTTTGGTGTAGCTATCGGTCGCCATTTAATCTTTTCAACGAATGAAATTAGTATGTTTCCTCGAGTGCTTCGTACTTACTTAGTCTAAAACCACCATGATTTTTTCACTTTCCAAGTTTATTGTACACTTAACACATATCGATCTAGATACCTTCAAAAATTTGTTATTGAACTTCCAGTCAAAAATCTTGTCCTCGTTTGTCGTGGAACTTCTCCATCTACCGTAGCTTGATTCCGCTCGTAGGTATCAATTGTATGAATTTCTTTGGGATAGTCTTCCGTAATCGTACTCTGGAGGAGAATATGAGCCGTAAGGTGGTGCTTGAGGTCTGCGAAAACGCCGTGATTGGCATTCCGCCACATGACTCTAAGACTCTTAGATCGGAGTCCTTACACCCATGCACAAAAACCTATTTACGTATTGAATCTTGAGCCATCAAGATCCTCAGAGTCACCTTGGGATTTGAAACAATTCGTCAGCACGACGGAGGATGTTGATTTCGAGTCCTTTTGCTCCCGAGGCTTCCTTGCTTCAGTGTCTGCCGTAGCATACTTGCATACAGCTTCCACCTCTGCTAGCCATGGGGTTCCGACGTGCCGGAGCATTTTGATTCGTGGTTTGTGGAAATGGCTCGGAGGAATAGTCCCCTAGCGATTGACGCTAACGTTGGGCGGAGAGGGTTTCCTGCGGGTGCCGAAGGGCGCAGGCCACCCTAAATCCAGAACTAGATTTTCGAGTGTACACGTGATTAGTATTTTTTAAACAACCCCGGTGTCAATCTGAGATGTTCGATACCTACCACCGCTAGAACTAGTTCCTCTAGTATTCGGTTCTAGATAAATTTTGGCTAGGCTGATGGTTCTAATTTGAGAACGGATCAATGGATTGAAAGTAGGCGAGTATACGAGCAAAAGGTACATCAGAGGACAGGCTGATACGGCTCTGGACAGTGAGCTCTTCGACGATATTGATGAATGACAGATGTACAGTCTATCAGACGTAGGATCGCTGTGTATCACTTCTTTAATTATTGATATTGTTGTGGTTAGCAATTCCTACATCATTAGGTACATATAGCCTCCTCTTTCCTTCCTTTCTCCCCCTCTTCATTCTTCTAGTTCTCCATCACCTCACGCAAACACAAATACATACTTTGACAAACTACCTGCACTGCTACCGTCCCTGGCGGTCATACGCCCTCAGATTTCGAGACGCCAAGGGAAGGGATAATCTATCTTCTGTGGAGCCCTCGACTAGGTATGGTGTACATACATAGAACCTGCATTACATAATATATTTTTTAGTCTAACGTAACCAACATTCCGTCGAGGACATCATCAAGGTTACCGAAAGAGGCGTCTAAGGGGACTTCGTGTTCTACTGTCTCGTACCCAGCCATAGCAAAAAGAAATCATCCTGCCATACCCGTGCAACCTGGAGCACGATCACAATTGGATGGTCTATTCAAAATGAACGTCTACTAAATAACAACAGCGGGGATAATCCTTTCCGACGCTATGCTATCCAAATTTGAGGAATGGTACCGTACGGAAAATCGCTTCAAACCACTTATATGAATCTTTTTTGGTGGGGTGGGCACGAGACAAATATTCCATATCCAAGCCTAAAAAAAACGCTTGAAGAGAGAGAGAGAGATAGAAAAGGCGCCAACGATGGCGCCTAGCTTTAAACAAGAGAAAATTCAAAAGCCCGTAGCTCATACCGTATATCATGAGAGATCGATCAGACCTTCGACTTCTCATAAGAGAGGTCGTGAAGAGCAACTACTTCGCTTTGGGCTACAGTATTGATTCTACAGACCTTAGGCCTAAGTTGCTACGACGAGGAGGAAATATACTAATATAAAATATATTCAGATAGACAGATTCATTAACAATACAACCATAAAATCATAAACTATAAGCCACACTTTTCAATATATCACCAATAAAGATAACTTTATTAACCAACTAGATAAATATTTTCTGGAAGGGATAACTCACTCCAGTTAGATTACATTGATTTACATCTTTTGACAGCGAACAATTCCAAAGCTCCTTAATATGGAATATCTTTTTCTAAGATAATGAAAAAGACACATTTCGACTTACAAAATCCTGGGAGAAAAGCATGTACAAAAATCTTGGAAGGATTGATAATCACTTTGTCAGAGCTATAGCTAATTGAATCCTTCTTAATTGACACGTAGCGCGCGTAGTGTCTCGGGCGAATCGAAAATATTAAAATGTCGATAACGTTATATGACTGGGAGTTGTACATGTACATGTACCAGGCCTAGCATAATATAAATCGAAACTGTCAGATACAACATACAATAAAAAAATGGGAATCCGGATATCCATATATGCATTCAATACAAGCGCATGATATTAAACGACAGTCTCGTACAGACTCGAACAGGATTTCCATCTCAACGGCTCAATTAGTTCATATGTTGGACGGTGGTTACGTAACTTAAGGATTTTAAGAGCCAATAAACGATGGTCTTGGTATCGGCTATACTTCTTTGAGAATCTTGCAGGGTACATAATGCAACAGAGTCAACACCTAACTTTTACATTGGAGAATCCTCAAGGCTGACAACAAACTCACCCCGCCCCCGCAGCGACGTGCAGCCCCGTGCATGGCATACGGGCTCGGGTCAAGATTTTTTCGTTTTTATTGACCAGTAGCTTTCAGGTCGATCGAAAGAGTGTGGCTTATATGCAAATGACGTGTCTCTTTTCTTTACCATTTGGTCGACCTATTTCTTTTATTCGTTGGTACTATACTGGTACCGAGTACTTATTGCTGAAATTTAGAGTGTGGTGTACTGAGGGCCAGTATGGCGTCCCAAATGCGTTAGATGTTTTTATTTATATGTTGGGTAGGCCTACATGTATCAACTACATTTAGTAATCACTTAATGTAATCTATTTTAGATCAGATTACCCACTCACACATTCCGGGGCCTGGGCCGTAGCGTAGGCTGGTAATTCACAAACTAGTTAACAGGCTGCTACTTTATAGGCTGATTCACAGACTGGTTAGAGCGAGTTATAGTCTACCCGCCTGCGCGCGAGAATCGACCGATAACCCAGCCAATATTAATAAACTAGACAGTAAAATATTAAATGCGTGGGCACTTGGTGGGGCCCAAAGCTGGGTAAAGTGGTTCCCAAACGTGGTTAGGGGGCCCACGTTTTCATTCAACATATAAATAAAAACACGTGACACATTTGGGACGCTATAGGCCAGTCCTACAATGTATATACATACTAAGCACCTGGGTATCTCAGTACTGCAGTACGTATATACATATCCAAGAAAAATTCCACTGCATGATTGATGCTTACTCGCAAGCACTGCCAACAGTTTTCATGCAGGACCGGCACGGCGTGGCCTCTCCAAGGGCCCTACAGGAAGTTTGTCGGACATAATTTACAGAGATATGGTCGTTGGGTTGTGCCGTGCCTATAAACTCAGGCTCAGAGGCTGAAGGGTCAGGGAATTCTCTCAAGATACCATCCCTTCCTCACCACTCCACAATCAAGTTAGCTACTAGGTTAAGTCACTTACACGTGCTTCCTATATAAGCTCTACAGATCTTATATTCCTTTTCGAGAAAATGAGCACCCCAACTGAAACTTCTCCGCTCATTATTAAGTGGGGCCTTTCGGGATTTGGGTCCCGCCATGCTCTATACCTTATCCATCAGGCCATGATAATGGCCGCCTTCCAAGACGAGCTCAAAAATCATAAGATCGCATTTAAACTTCACTACACGGTCTTTGAAAAGAATGCTGGAAAGACTGGCGGTTTTGGTAACGCATTCCAAGGGAACTGCGACGCCTCCGTCAATACCTCGGTTACGGCGGCTCTCCCGCCCCCGCTTGTTCACGATGAGGATGTCAACTTGCGTGCCCAGGATCTTGCGGAGTTCGCAAATCTCCAGAAGGCTGTTAAGAATGCGATGGAAAGCAAATACGACGAAGTACTCAGGGAGCTTAAAGCGTGTAATCCCTGCGCCGCGGATTTGTTCAAAAGGGGCTTCGAAGACAGGAAGGTCATCCCTGGCGTTGCCTACGTGACTAGAGGCAAATGGGGCAAAATTCAGTTAGAGAATATCGACAAAGCACTTGACTACATTAAAAATAATATGCAGGATGAGATCGAAGTTGCGTTTAAATATCCACACGAGGTTGTTGGCGTCAACTTTGACAATCCTCAAAAACCAAAGCTAAAAGTCGAGGATTTGGTAGCTAAACGCCAGTTTGAGGAAGAATTCGACTTCGTCTCTTTTGCCAATGGCACTCCTCTGGTCCCACCCTTCAAAGATAGCGACGTTGGGGCCAAACATTACTACAGCGGCACTCCTAATCATAGCGATATGAAGAAATACCTCAACGGGCGCGGGGTTTTGGATGATGATAAACTCAAGACTACAGCAAAGATCGCATGCACTGGCTTGAGTCTTTCCTTCTATGACTATGCAACTTTATTACTGGCCTTCCTACCAGGCATGGATACGTCCGAGGATCCCGTCAAAACCGTAGAGGAGCTGGGAAGAGATAAATATAAAGGCCTAATTACCGTCATCAGCCGTGGGAGCCGTGGCCCTGCTCCGCCTCGGACTGTCCTTGACGAAAATTGGCATGGTGTTGGAGACAGCTTCTTCTCCGCTCGGGACATGCATGCGCTGCGCCTACAGCGCAATTCAAACTGGCTCCCTATCGCATACGAGTTCCTTGAGGCTCATATTGCGCGTAGCGAGAACATTTCGCCGGACCAGGTTCGAAATCATGGCTCAACTGAAAAATGCATGACAGGCTACCTCGACGACTGTAAAAAGTATCTTGCTAAAGATAACCGGCCTACTAAAACCGGCCTCTTGCGTGCGGGCTATGTTGCGTTTTCAGCTGGCTCGGGTATTGTTCGCGATGTTGACCAAGCTGAGAACAAACTTGTTTTGGAGGCAAAGTATACTCGCGAGGGACGCTTCGGAATACCACTGTTCGGCGCAAGCTGCTTCGAGATGAGCTCAAAAAACATAGATAAAAAAGAGAACGCCAAGTTCTTCGAGCATTGGAATGAACAACTGTATTACAACTATGCCTCACCTGTCTCGATCCAGAGGGTCATGGCTGCAATGTTCACTTCGGGTATGGCGGTACACAAACAGGGCAATTTCAACGGGTTTAGAACTGAGGGGGATGGGGAAACTCCGAAATTAGTCTACCAAAATTCGGACGGAAAAAATGACGAGTTTGATGCCCTGCTCGCGCCAAAGGTGTTTAGACGAGACAATGATTGCGCCGTCTCTGCTACGAAAGATATTGTCAGGAATATTATTGAAGGCGTTCCTGACTATGGAAAAGGTGGTTACTTCAAATCCAGTGGAGGAGACCCGATCAATGCTTTTGATTCTGGTCTCGGGGGTTGCGGTGCCAAACATAAGGACGGGCGGATCGTTGGCGTGCGATGGGATGGCCTCACTAACAACCACCATGCTGCCAATACGTGGGCTTCTTCTCGCTCGTATCATACTCTTGCGCTAGCAATAGCCCGTTTCCTCAGTCGCGACAATTCCGAATCACCTATCGAGACCGTTAACAAAGCCTTTGAGAGGACCCTCCCATCTTGCAAGGATTTCAAGAGCGAAATAAAAAGCTTCGAGAAGGATTGGGAAGATCTAAAGGAGAGGCTATTGTTCCTACGACTCGCTAAGAAATTGGCTGGGCAGCGCTCTGACGATTACTATAAAATCACTAATAATATTTTCACCCCGGAGCTTCGCGACGAGTACATCAGCAAGTTGAAGGGAGCTGACAAAACTGAGTATGAAGCATTGGAAAATGAATTTAGGACATCAAAATATAGCTTCAGTTTTGTTAGTTGTGACGAATTTGAACGCCGGTACCCGGACTACACAAGGCTCCAGTACAAAGCGATTCTCGAAAAACTATTCGCGAGTGCGTCTAGGGATCACCCTGCTGTAACCTCTGCGCAGGGAGCTGCACCTCCTTCGTCGGGCATCGGTAAGAGGATTGCAGTGATGGAATTCGATAACGAGAAAAAATTTGATCGCGACTGTGTATCCATGTTTTAAGAATGAATCTTGTCTATATACGTTACAAAATCTATATCTGATGAAGCATAAAAGCATTCTCCAGCCTGCCCATTCTTACTTTTGACATCTGTACCAGCTTTATTCAGGAGTAATTCAATTGTGGTCCTATCATTTCTCACGGCCGGCTAATCTAAATACCGGGCACGATATGGTAACGTCTCAGTCATCATAAAAATGCCATCGACCTAAATTTCAACTTCTAAGGACGCACAGTTACGTTAACTTACGGATACGTGAGAAGTAGACTGCGTGCTATGATTATCGCTTGCTTACTTGATAATATTCAGCTGTTGAAAATTGTGATATAGTATATTTTCATGCTTGAGAGGGTGTGTAGGCGGGGCTTGCAATGGAAATCCGCACGTATATGCGTACAACGTGTACACATGCAAGTGCGTCGGCAACGTGTAAAACAAGGCGGGTGAGCGGGGTAAGACGTTTAGACGTAGCCTCGAATCAAGATGATGTGGGGGGTCTTGCCTCAAGCTTGCGAAGTCTGGTTTGAGACAATGGGAAGCCTAGTAACTACAGGACCTATTGCTACCACAAAGACACCACGCTCTACTGACTTTATTCCTAGCAAAACTTTTCTTAACTTTATTACTTTCTCAATTTACTCGTGGCTGGGATTTTTGCTGGCGCCAGGAGTCTTTAGATTTTAGGATGTCTCTCTTTGAAGGTATTAACTGCAAAATGTGGAATATTTGAGATTTTTAATAATTTTTGCCCTCGTTCCGTCGATTGCCATTACCCTCTGCTGAAACCTGCGTGGATCAATCTAGAGAATCCGCTCATTCGCGCCGTTACGCTTGGTGCCATCGCAGAGGTACTCGAGCTCTTAGATACAGGAACTAGCCCCAACTTCACGGATGCGTCTGGATTGTCCCCGCTACACCACAGCTATGAGGCCAATAAAAAGAGAAAAAAAGACGAGATTTTCGAGTCCTCAGAGTTTCTGGGCCTACTAGGCTTGCTCTTCGAGTACGGCGCCGATCCAGATGCCAAAGATCACACTGGGTCAACGTTACTCCACTATGCCAGCAAGGAAGGGCGCGACAGAGTAACACGGCTGCTTCTTAAGTATTGGGCCGATCCCAATGTCAAAGATAACTCCGAGGCTACCCCGTTCCAGCTGGCGGCTAAGAATAAGCACCGGACCATCATGAGACTGCTGATTGCAAAAGGAGCTGATGCGTCGGCTGGAGATGAACCCAAATTTGCTCTTAGTGGTCCTTCTAGCGAGGGCAATACGGGAACGGATATTGCCACGCCACGGTCTGAAGAGGTACGTGATTATTCATACATAAGTTCAAATTCAGGGATATATTCTTGATCATGGTTCTGCTTCTGACTATCGCAGGTGGCTCTCAAACCACTATTTCCTATCAGGATCAACGGAAATGACCTCAACGAGGCCGAGATCAAGCCGCAATCAAACGAATCCAACACCAATTACATTATAGTTCAGACCGCAGCGCTCTTAAGCCCACCACAGAGGGAGACTCTAAAGGCTGCAGGTCTTGATACTCAAGAATACGTCTCTAATTGCACATATCTGTGTCGATACACAGGCCAGGATCTCGACAAAATCGGCCAAATCGACCCAATCGTCTATGTTGATATTTATCGTCAGGAGTTCAAAATTGCTCCGAGCCTAAAGGAAGCAATAGAAAGGACGCTTCCCGATGATAAAATAGAAATATTTGTCCTCTGCCACGATTTCGAGTCAACGAATGATCGGGATTTCCTACAGCTGATCGCAGACAAGTCGGGTCTGAACCTATGGGATGTTAAATTCATCGACAGAAAAACACACCTCACCGTCTTAAGTCAATCTATAGATGGTATAGCAAAAATTGATCAAGTACGCTACATCGAGGAGGTAGGCATAGCAGAGGTCTCCAATAATAGGGCCCGAGTGACATTGGGGCTTGATAAGCTAGCCGAAGACGGGCAAGCTCTCCCGGCACACCAGTATCAGGGAGCCGGACAGGTAATCGCTATCGCAGACACCGGACTTGGACTTGGTGATATAGCAGCCCCGCCTCACCCTGCTTTCGGTGACCGTGTAGTAGGTTGGTACAGACAAAACGGGTTTACAGCGGACTATGACGGCCATGGGACTCATGTCTGCGCTTCAGCTGTTGGGAACGGTAAGACTAGGGACAATATTCATATCATGGGCACTGCTCCTAGAGCAAACCTGGTGATGCATTCCCTATGGCGTAGTAGCGAGATGACCATAGACAGACCTAAACATTTTGATGAGCTCTTCCGCCCTCCATACACAGAACACAAGGCAAGAGTGCATTCAAATTCTTGGAATAAACCATCGCGGGGGTATACAACCGAGGCCAATGAGATCGACAGTTTCGTTTGGGAAAAACAGGATATGGTGATATGCTGGTCAGCTGGTAACAAACGCGCTGGCAGTACTAGTCTGGCGCAAGAAAATGAGGGACAGATTGGAGCTGAGGCCAGCGCAAAAAATTGCATCACCGTCGGCGCCTGCGAGGGCGAACAGGATCACACCATAGTCCCCGATTATAGCAACTGCGGCCCCCTCGCGGGAGATGATAAATGCAAAAGGCGCAAGAAACCAGACGTCGTCGCACCCGGCACAATGATCCTGTCGGCGAGATCAAGGCAAATGCCCCCGTCACAATCCGGAGAGGACCCGGACTGGTATAGGGATACCGGGACTAGCATGGCCACAGGACTTGTCGCCGGTTGTGCTGCTGTCTTAATTGAAGCCGTCACTGCGAATCGAATAGGAGATCGACAACCAAGCGCGGCATTGATCAAAGCGCTGTTTATCAACGGTGCCGAGAAGCTTGTTACTGAGAGAGTCCCTCTCCCTATTCCCAATGTCCGCTCAGGATTTGGCCGCGTAAACCTCACCAACTCAATTAAAATCGCATGCCAAACAGAAGGAGCTGGCTTCATGGAAGGCGAACTAGTCTGGGGCTCTAAGAAAAGTTTTACTTTTAGGAAGCCACCCAAAAATGAATGCACCACTGTCAAAGCTACTCTCGTATGGTCGGACCCTCCTGGAGATCTCATCAAGAACCGACTATTCTTGAAGGTAAAATGCGGGGATCGACAGGTATTTTCCCGCCTCTACAATAACGTGCAGCAAGTTTTATGGGATATGGGATCCGTGATCTATCAAGAAGTTGAATTCACGGTAATGGCTGAGGATGACGAGTTAGATCAGTCTCCACAACCTTTTGATGTTGCTTGGCAATTTAGCTAGTAGTCATTTAAGATCTTTGAAAGCTTTATCTCAAATTTGTCGCTTCGATTAAATCTATTTCGCGTATGAATTTTCAGTTAAGCAGTTTTTGAAAACTAAAATTAAATAGTATTATAATAAGCTGTAGTTGTGTAATTGGCTTTTTACCAGACTGCGCTAGGATGTAGATTCTGCAAGAAAGGTATTGAATTTTGATGATTAAAGTACAGACCCTTTTCTATTCTAAATATTTGCGATTATAGGAATAATGAGAATAGGAATAGAAGAATCACTAAAGAAAAATTTGGGGGAGGGGGTTATTGGGACTAGCTATGATTATTGTCCCGGAGAGGTTAGCGGGTAGGTGGCCGTATCTTCGATAAACGCGCACTATTTAGACGGTTAGTCTCTTCTCCAATAGCTCGATCGAGGGACAAGATAGAAGAGGATTACTTTGATTAGGCCCCCTCGGCCCCTTTGCCCAATAGGGCAACGATCATGCAAGCCATGATCTTTTGTCTGACCTTGAGGGGGCCTTTAAGGTTGGCCATACCCCCGGCCAGTTCGTTGACGCTGGAGTTTTCGACCACCTCTGACAAGAGGTGACCGATCTCCTGAGCGTCGTCGGCGGCAGACTTTTCGGAGTTTTCGAGCTTCGTGATGAGCTCTTGAAGTTTTGAATGGCCGTAGCCAGGAGGCTGGGAGGTTGGTGACATCTTCGTGCCACTTTCTGGCTTGCTTTCCGTAGCTCGTTCTTGAGGTTTCTTGTCCATGGTTCTTTTGGGTGTTTCGTTTGTGATCTGGATTGGAGAAACTTTCTTGGGTGGCCTCCCTCGACGGCGAGCTGGTGGTGAGGTAGGTGATTTCGTGACTTCCATTTTCTCGGTAGCTTTCTTAGTATCTTCCGGAACCTCAGCTATCTTCTCCAAACAGCTGGTAATATGAGTCTGATCCAAGCTCATAGAACCGCCATCAATACCATTTTCACCTTCAATCTCAACAGCAAATGAACCCTCCCCCATAGCTTCTTCATCCTTCAAAACTTGAGAAATCTTTGGTCTCTTCAGCCTTTCCACAATAGCCTGGGTAGGCGAAATACTCTCCACGTTGTTTCCCAAACTACTCCTCGCTCTTTTCTTAGCCTTACCGGCAGTCTTTGAAGCAGACGAAAGGCTTAGACGGAACAATCTGCATGATTGACGCGTTGATGGTGACATGGAGGAACTATTGCCGTCGTCGAATCCACGGATTCGAGCGGGAGTTGGGGTTCGTGCCGCCATGTAGGCTGGCTTTTGGGAGCCTGGAGTCGTGGGACGGGCAGGAGGGGAAGGGGTGATGTTCCCGGTCTTGCAGGGCTTGGTTGGTGTGTATGGCATTTTTGGGGTTTCTCTCTTCCTTTGCTTTTTCAGATTGCTATTTAGCAACGGATTTTTAGACGGAGGATATTTTACTTTTTAGGTGGGGGTGGAGAAGGAAAAGAGAAAGGGTTTCAAGAAACGATCAAAAATAAGCTCGACGGAGGTGGGATAGATGATGGAGGTTTGATACCGACGGAAAGTTGGTAGGTCGGAAAAGGATATAGGGAGGAATAAGAAAGAAGATCGAGGAAAGGAAGGCGAAGAGAAGCTATGAGCTGATTGGTGATGATATGGGACAGAGAAAAAGCAATAAGAGACGAAGAAATGGTATGAAGAGCTGGAGAAAGGAATAAATAATAGTGAAAGGATGGGGGAGAAGAAGTAAGTGCGAGGATTGTGGAAGGACGTCAAAAGTCAGAGATATGTGAGATGTAGAGGAGATGGAGATGAAAGTAGAAGGAGAAGATCAGAAAGAGGACGATATCCCTTCTAAGTATGCACAGGTATATTTATATGATGGCTGGTGGGAAGCTCAGCTGCTAGATCACTGTCCTAGATATTTCTCATACCGACAAACTGCGTTTGTAGTTCAATTCTAAGTGATCAAACGTATATATACGACTTGGCTGGAATTACATATTTTAGCGGCTTAACTTAGTACTTGTGGTGTGTACCACCTAGAAATTCTTATGATATATCGATATATCGATATCTAAACCTACTGCCATATGAGTATATCCGCTGCGAGTAGTAGTGGTATTATATTATATCTTTCTCCTAACCTCCTCGGCAGGAAAGAACAGTGCTCAGGAATTCACATGTCTAAAGACTTAGAAATCTTCCGAGATCAACTATTTAGGTTTAAGAGTTTACATTGTCCCTAATAAAAGTCTGGCATTTGGTATCTATTTATCCAGAACTTTCCCAATCGGTGTATAAATTCCTAAACGCTCCAGGACAAATTGCTTGCAACCACTCTTGATACGGCATAGCAAAGTAAATACTATAGTCCCACACCAGGAAGTGAAACCGATACTGCACCGAATTACACCCAGCTGGCCAGATATGAACAGGATCTATGATATCTCGACATTTCGATATTACTGCCATCGGAAGCATAGATCTAGGGTATCCCCAAGTAAAAAGCAACGCAATTCGAGTGCATAATCCAACAAATCGTGCCGTCCGTGCCACATGGGAAGAAAAACCGTGTTGGCGCTGCACTGTCCCCAACCACCGGACTTAAGTTCACGTTCGCGGAACAGCTTCTCGACAAGCAGGGAATGGGGTTAGGCTACGACTAGTTACCCTCCGCATTGAACGTCCAATACAGATACGATCGTGAATGGCGTCAACTCAAGAAACTTCCGCCCCCCCTGCAGGGGACGCGAATACTGTCGTGGAACCGATACCAGATCCCGATGCCGATGGGGATCAGCCAGCCGCGCTAGTAAAGTATGTACTAAGTACAAAATCGCAAATTGACACAATTAACTCTACTTTCCTTTTAGGATGTACCATGACCCACAATTCTCGGATATCAAAGTCTTTGCCGGTGAGGATAAAGAGTGCTTTGATCTTCACCGTGTTATTCTTGCCGCACGTTCAAAGTATTTCGAACTGGCCTGCAAGGGGCATTTCGAGGAAGGGAGGGCGAGAGAGATCTATCTACCAGATATTAAGCCCAAAACCTTCACCGTAGTTGCTTTATGGATGTACGGTGGAGGCTTTAAATACCCCGACCCTTTCGACAAAGCTCTTATTCAGGATGTATTCATCGCTGCGGATTACCTGCAAATCCTCCCGTTGAAGAATGCGATCATATCTGCGGTGGAGGAGAAATTCTGGGATATGCCTAACCGGAATGTCGGTGATGCTTACGATATGTTAGAGACCTTTTGTGCGCATTCGAAGTTTACGGATTGGGGGAAGTTTAGGTTGATGGTGGCAAGTACGCTTCATCGTTCCTATATGGGCCCTCAGCGTATTCTACGACTAGCGAAAAATGGAGCAGAGTCCTCGTTGTTGATGGGTCTCATTATCGAGGCATTTCAGAATAGAATAAGAGGTCTTGTATGTTCTAATTGTCAGACTAATAATGACCGTACTACTAGTACGTCTGCTGAGGTCTGTATCGGAGCCTATTGTAACAGGAATTGCTTAGGTCCTGCCAATGTCAACCCTTTTGATTGATGTAACTATATATATCCTGTTTTTTTATTCACCAGGCCTCTGATTGTTTTGCACGGCATTATACCCTTTCGAAGCCAATCCCTTCTTTTCATATTAAGATTATATTGCCTCTCAAAGTTAATTTCCTTGTTTGAGGGTTTCAATATACCCGTCATTTAATTGGTCTCAAGGCAAGGGGCCTAATGTATTTATCTTAGCTAAATAGTTCCTGTACATGTCCAATTCGTGCCGCTTCCAAATAGCTACTCTAAAGGTGTAAGTCTTTTCTCAGCTCTCTAGAATTAATTCACGTCCTTTGTTACACCGCCCCCGGTTCGTACTACCTTGCCAAGCTGCTGAACAAAGATATTTTACCCTTAGTCTCGAGGCCAGAGCTGCCTCATATCATTACCCTATAGATTAAAGGTGTTTTTCTAACGATAGTGGAGGCTGGCACGCACATGTGTCAAAGCTAGTTCTGCTACTATAACTGTCTCCTGAGCGGGCCCTGAGCGGACCCTAGCTAGGGAATAGTACGTGCTGATCTGCGAAGCGCTTTCGGCATTCTGTTACACGATAGGTTACACGGGGCACGTTGATCGATCAGCCCAGTTTCTGGAAGCTTTTTGAAAGAAATAGCTTATCATTGATTTGTATTTCCCTGAATTCTTTTAACAAGTTCGTTCCACTTAGAGGTTGAGTCTTGGTGGTAGAAACTAGAATCCCTTGTTAAAGTATCTCATGCAACATGCTGACTTCATTATCTAGCATCAAGTAGTGCTTATTGCGAAAGAAAAACAGTATAGGTAGTAATGGTAAGTTCTATGTTCAAATATTGTTGTAGGCTGCCCTGGTGATCGAAAAATGCTTTAGAAGTTGATGTTAGATTGTAGTCAACCATATCAATTTACCCAGAATTCTGACTTACCATCAAATCTAAGATTCAGAAGCTTCAGAAGTCTGGAGAAGTGTAATTTGACGTCCACGTGGAGTATCTCCCATCGGAACCCCATCCTCTTGTCTACAAGTAGAATTCTCAAGATCCGACAAGCAAATGCGACACTGATTCTCTTTATTCTTCAACAAATCGGTGTAACAGATTCCACAGAAATTATTGTTCAAAATTTCCTGATAGAGATCGATACGAACCGCATTTCCCAAATCCTCTTGACCCATCTCAAACAAAGACAAGTCCCCATCATACCAAAATGGGAAAATTTGATCAGCCAGCTTTCGAAGTTTGAGCCAATCGGAGATCGATGAGTTTTGAGCGATACCCTTGTACAGCTTAACGGGATCATCGACGGTGATTTGGTCCTCGCGTAGGAACTCCCTAGGGAGCCGGCCGACTAATTGGTCTTGCATCTCTAATTTGAGATCTTTGACACCGAGGAAGTCTGCAGCTTGGAGGACGGCGCAGAAGTCGTCGGCTTCGATGTATTCAGGAAGGGTGTAGCCACCCCTATAGATCCATTTGATGATTACGTCGAATTCTTCGGGTTCGATGTCTGGGAGCTTGATCAAATTTTCGGCGCTCTCTGTGAAGCCACTTCCTTCTCGGCACGTAACCTCGAAAAAGTTGGATCCGATGGAGATGATGTTGCGGTGGAGGTTGTACTCCCTTTCGTTGAAACCGACAAGGACTTTTACGTCGGTAAATTTCGGGTCCCTGAGGAGTCTAGATGTTTTTTTTGGAATTAAGATTTTAGTTAACAGATTCAGGTGGGGAGAGATCTAGAAGGGGGGAAGATTTACTGCGTGAAGCCAATGTCTACGGTTCTGGAGAGTCTAAGTCGCTTTATTGGTCGTAAATCCGAAGAACCAGAGGGTAAGCCAGCAGCTGGGGCATCCATGATCTAGTTCAATCGCGTCTTAAGAAGGAAGCGAGATTACAGTTCTCTTCGAGATGAAATATGAAATTAGCTGACAAGTTCAAGAAAACAAGATTGAGGTTAAAGAGGGAGCTGGTGAGATAGGACGTTATTGATCGTGCACTTAGAGAATCTCTCTGGTCGTTTCGTTGCAAATTCCTTTCTGGGGAAGATGAGGTTTATGGTGGCGGGAGGTGGGATATCAGGCTTTGTGGACCTGGTAGTTGGTTAAAATTCACTGGACTACGTGCGTTAGATGTTAATATTGGTGCGTCTACAAAGCTTTTCTATCATGAAATCATTCTCCCTTTCTACCTACAGAACGTTGACTTCACTATTTTAACATCTACCTCTTCGTCTGATCGCAAATTACACTAGTATCCATATCTAAATCTTGAGGGCCTATCGTCGAACATCTACTCGTATCGTTTTAACATCAGCCTTAGAGCCGGGATTTACATTTACGTAGCAGCAATCGATGTATCAACGAACCAAGAACTACTGCGTAAAGACTGTAACTTCTTCTCCCCATTTTGCATTCAATCTCGAAGGGATCAAATTCTAACGGAGCCTGTATTGTCATCAGTATCCAAGATCCTTTGTATCAATTCCGTTCCCGGCATTGGACCTACTCAGTTCATATTGTCCGCGAATTACCAATCCTCGAATTGATTTCAATAGTCCCTCGTATTCCGTACTCATTTACAGTAGAAATCCGAGGACCCACTGGAGGCCGAACATGTATCGAAATATATCCTATCGATACCTTTCTAGAATTATTCATAGGGCTAAAACTTACGGTTATCTCGCGACAGAATTAAGAAGAAACCTCTAGATCACACATACCCATACGCTGAGTCGTCCAAGCATTCATCGATTGTCAATTCGGAACGTCGATAACGATACTATACCAGAAATCTGTAACAATATCCTGCCATGTGGCTAGTACGCACATTGAGTAAATGCGCGCTATATATGTGGCCAACCACAAAAACACCACGTGGTGTCGACAATTACGCCAGAAAAACTAGATATATACAGGTGTTAAATAAGCATGCCCCTCAAAATTAATCATCGTGAGATATCACTCAGTTCCTTGTCTTTTTGGTTTTAGCGGTGGCGGTGTAGATACTCAAAAGGCCAAAATATTAAAATATGGAGATGACAAAGGGTAAACTTCGGACCCTCTCTAAGAGTTGGGAGATACAAAGTATTTCCGAGATGATCGTTGAAAAGACCAAAAAACCAACCTATACCGATCCATATCTCTTACGGCGGAGGTTCCGGAAGTAAGTATACTATCTTCATCAATTTCGAGGCAGCAGCTTATCGAATACATATATGACCTAGATTTTATCACGACGAAGAAGCCACTGACTTAACAGTCGTTGTCGGCCGAACCAAAACCCATTTCAACCTCCACAAAACCATCGTTTGCAGTTGTTCAGGGTTCTTCAACGGGGCTAGTCAAGACCACTGGAGCCAGACGCGGCTCACAGGGGTATGGCTAAAACATATCGAAGTTGTGGTTTTTGAAATAATCGCTTTGTGGATTTACGGCCACGGATATATGTTCCCCGGTGCGCCGCTCGGTCGACGTCTCGTTAAAGACACGTATATCGCAGCCGACTACCTCCTCATGCCTGAACTGAAAGCCCATATAATCTGGGCAGCGAAGGGTTTCTGGACTAAAGAGATGTTAAAAACTGGCGGTGAAATCCGCTACGATAACGATCCATACGATCTCTTCCGAACGCTTTGTGCGTATTCGCATACCCGTTCGAGGCATTCTTCTGAATTTGAAGGATTAAGAAGTTGTGCGGTAGTTATTATTCGAGGTTTTGGATCTCACCGTGTTGGAGTTCCGAAGTTTAAGAATGTTGAGGATGATAAGGATGATGATAGTGATGGTGATGATGATGATGATCATACCCGTGGGGTTGCTAAGATGTTTGAGCTCTTGATTGAGGCCTATGATGACTTGATCAGGGCCGCGATATGTACTGATTGTTATCCGCAGTGGGAGATTCATGCTCAGTCTAGATATAGGTGTAGTAGCGTTAAGTGTCGCAGTGCGAAGGAGTTATTGGCGCTGACTCCTGATAAGAATCCGTTTAACTCACGTCTCGATTGACTGTTGATTGTGTCGAGAAAAATTGTTTTCTCCATATGCGGGACTGTCTTTGATACTCTGACTCCGCGATTAAAACCCGATAGCTCATGTACTTAGAAAAAAGATGTTTCTTAGATGCCACAGCGTGTATACATGTATACAGAAGCGATAGATTTACTGCTGCGGGCCTAGCTCGAAGCCTAGGATTATCAACCCGACCTCAATTTCCTTTTTTGCTTCGTTTTGGGTAATAGATACGTCGGGTGTAACCGAAGATGTTTTAAGAATACAAATCTAATAACCTTAAATCTCGGATACGATTACTTTCGGCCAGTTATGCATTAATCTCGGATAGAAGTAGCGAGGATCTGTAACGTTTCCAATTTTGGATTCAATCTATAGGATTCCCACCGTTGGGTTGTTTTTGTGTTATTTGTTCAACTGGAGCTGGGGGTTAGTCAGAGCAGGTCCAGACTTTCGTATTTCTAATCGAATGAACAATCGAGAGTATAGATAGACGTTTCGATAGTAGATATGATACGTATAATGTTTCTTTAGCCACTGCCTGAGTGGTTTTCGGACGGACCCTCTGGGCCATCATGCCGAAATCGCAGTCCAAACGTTCAACGTCTACTCGTCGACATATCAAGGTCATGACTCTCGAAAATTTTGATCACGAAAAACCTGATTTTTATCGCTTTTCTTCATTTGAAACCGTCTTGATTCTTTGAAAAAATTCGTGCTCCCTCATAGTTGAGGCTGTGTTCGTCGATATCCCCAGCCGTCGACGTCAATGCGCCATGCCGGCATACGTGCCCCGTGCGCACGGCTCGACGATATAGAACCGCGAACCGACCTTTTTGGCTATAATGATTATTATTAGGAACATACCTCGGTATACCTACCGATAAATTAAATTAAACGAATATATATTGTGCGAGCCTCGGTTGCGGGCATTATCATAGCGGGTTAATAATTTGTTGGAAGCAACTCACGTTTCGAAATAAGTTTTACCTTAGTAAGTCAAAGATCTCGATTTGGCGCCGTCTCGTCACCAGACCTTGGATCGGTTCGACTTGACTGGTTTATGTAAAAGATGATAGAGTTTAATCCATATGAGATATTTTCCGATTGTTCGGGCGGGGTAGCAAGCAAAAGCGTCGGTATCTGTGAAGTTTGCTTGGGCGTGTTTTGCATGATGACACATCGAAAGTGTGATATCAGCTTCACATCGATAGCTCAACGAATAATTGCTTCTACTTTAAAATAAAAGTCAGGATCTCACCGACTGAAGTGTTTCTTGAACCTCAGTCGAGTACGAAAGGCAGACTGTTAGGCAGGCCTTCCTCTCTGTTTATTGCTGAGACCAAACACCATCGATTATGCCGTGTTTTTCATCGGTTTGCAACGTTTGTGGTATTTTGAACTTGTGTACCTGCATGCACGTATCCCACCTGATTAACGAAATGAGTGCAGACTCGACTCCTAACAAGACATACCCTTCAGATCGTTTCAAGCCCGTAACGTCATGACTCTTGTACCTGAGCCTTCCCGGTTTTGAGGCAAGCTTTTCACGTTGGTCTCGGCTGGGCATTGTCGCTTTGGGACCTGAGCTCTATTGACCATTCCTGATTTGGAAGTCGACAGGGATTAGCCCATTGCCCAAAATGGGAACCCTAACACATCGGGCGTTAGGGTCGTTCGCTCAAACCCCACTCCTTGAAACCTGGCGCAGTGCCCATGAGAAAAGATTAGCTGAAAAAACTCGACTGAATAGAGTAACATTAGACTAACCAATCTTGGTTTTGGTTTGCTTGCCGAAGTTTCCGGATTGGCGCGGGCTATCTATCCTTTGGTATCTCGAAGTTTTGAGACGAAGAAGGGGCCCTAAACTTTTTTGTCACCGAGAATAGCATGAAACTTTTCAGGCACCATCACCTCCTATCGATCAAAAAGGTCCGATGTAGGGTACCTTAGTCAGAACTGTACATGTCATTGTACATTGCACGACATGTACATACATTTCATGTAGCTAGTACTAGCTAGGTCGAGCTGCATTGACATCCGTCGCGATGTCGGCTCATCCGGCGTTTCGATGCTATTCCCCAGTTTGTGCTAGTGTGCACCAGAACTGTCGGAGACTACGAAATCGCCCAAAGGCGTTGTCGCGGTGGAAATTCTGGCGTGCATACTCCGTGGAGACCTCAACGTAATAGCAATTGGAGCCGCAGTGTAACGTTCCGTTCTGAAGCTTTAGTCCGAGGAGAAGACTTCAGAGCTCTTGTTCTAAGGTCTATAAAAGACTTTGATCCTCCCGACTTCAGAATAGTTTTTTTTTTGATCAGCAAGCAAGCCTTCCAAGCAAATAAGCCTCTACCGCCTTCTCTTTTCGTTAGTTAATCCCTCTCTTTCTTTTTCGCCCTGGTGGCTCGAGTATTCTATTCTTTTCGATCTTGACGATCTTATCAGTTCTTCTTTTGCAGTGCAAATATCTTATTAGCAGGATTTCTTATACCCAAAGTCGTATTTTTTTTATTTTTCATAACTTATTCTTTCCAACCAGCTTTTTTTTGTCTTAATTTCCAAGTTTTCTTTTAATTTTTTCTTCAAACATGCATTCCAAAATCCTCATATCCGCTGTCCTCGCAGCTCTCACTGCCGCCCCACAAGCCTGGGCCCACGGTCTCGTCGAAAGCGCCGTTGGTGATGTTGGCACAGCCAAAAGCAAGGGTCTCGGTGTCGTCGACTCCACTCCAAGAGATGGAACCCGCCGAAACCCCTTCCAACAAGATTCCACAATCTTCAGAAACCAAAGAACCGTCGCCGCTGCTAAAGGTTGCGGTACCACCCTCGGTGGGGGTGCAAACAGTGTCAGCGGAGCCGTCCCAGCCATGGCTCAAGCCGGTGCAATCGCCCAAGTCAGCCCCGGTGGTACTCTATCCATGAGTCTTAGACAGGTCAACGCCGACGGTGCCGGTCCTTACACATGCATGATCGATGCTACTGGTACCGGTGCCTCGTTCACCGAAATCACTGTTACTCAGAACGTTCCAGGACGTAATGGTAATAACCGACAGGGTCAAAGAACTGTTCATCCGTTGACAGTTCAGATGCCTGCTGGTATGCAGTGCACTGGAAGCATGGGTGGGATGGATAACCTGTGTATCGTTCGTTGTCAAAATACTGCCCGAGCCGGTCCATTCGGTGGATGTGTTCCTGTTCAGATGGTGGCTCCTAATGCTCAACAACCTAACTTACCGGCTAATGGTGGTCTTCCTGCAAATGGTGGTCTGCCAGTCCCTGTTTCTTCTGTTATTGCCGCTCCATCTGCTGCTCCGATCGCCAATGTTCCAGTCGGAGATGCTAATGGTGGTAACTTCAACAATGGTGGGAATAACAACAATGGTGGGAATAACAACAACGGTGGAAACAATGGTGGAAACAATGGCGGAAATAACGGTGGAAACAATGGCGGAAATAACGGTGGAAACTTGAACAACAATGGTGGAAACAACGGAGGAAACAACGGTGGCAACTTCAACAATGGCGGTAACAATGGCGGTAACAATGGCGGTAACAACGGTGGTAACAACGGTGGTAACAATGGTGGTAACAACGGTGGAAACAACGGTGGAAACAATGGTGGAAACAACGGCGGCAACAACGGCGGCAATAACGGCGGCAATAACGGCGGAAACAACAATGGAAACTTCAACAACGGTGGAAACAACGGCTTCGCCAACAACAATGGCGGAAACGGTAACTTCAACCGCCGCCTCGCCCGCCAGAAGAGATGGCAATGGAAGGCTTAAGGAGAGTTCAAATAAACTCTTCTTGGTACCCTAGTCATCATCGTTCAATTATTTCTCTTCTTCCTTTTCGTCCGTTTCTTGTTTGGAGTACCTGTTACACGATATCCTGTTTGCTTTTAATTTAATCGTTCTTGGAAAGTTCTTGGTTGGAAACCTTTTGAGTTATGAATCTGCAATCTTCTTCTTCTTTGAGTTCAAGTAAAGTCTTGTTATGACAATGATCGCGATCCTGTAGTATTTTTTATATCCATGTATGCATAGAGGGGACTTGTGGGTTGAGATGTTTAATTAAAGAAAAACTGAAGGGAGGCTTCATTAAGGCTTTAAAAAATATCCATTCCGGTTTCGTAGTTTGCAATTGTGAGAATGACGTAAAGAAGTAAGAATTATGATTAACATTAAGGTAATAAAAAAAAAAAAAAAATGAAAAAAATGAAAAAAATGAAAATGAAAACTGGCCTTGGTGTCTGATGTGAAGTCTTTGAGGTATTGTGAAGTTAATACTGGGAGTCATATTTTCTACTCCGAGGACCGCAAATGTCTCCAGCACTCCAAGGCATTTGAAAATCCAGACTTGACACTTCGCAGTCCCTCTTGCTTGATCTGGTCGACAAAGTTATCTGTATCGAAACAACAAGGATTCATATTTTGGCCACATATACCAAAGTAAGTCCCGACAACTTCGTTGATATCGGATATTACTTCGACGACGGTTTCGGTAACCGTTTCGATAATTGGCTCGGCGTTCGCTTTTTCATCTTCGAGTAGTTGCTTAGCGTGTCTCTCGGTATTCAGGGCTGTCGCATATTCCATGGCCACAAAGACCATGAAGGTCAGGAACGTGAGCAGTATGCCGGTGGCTGCGGGAAGGATACGGTCATCTATATCCCAGCCGGTAGAACCCCTTCCGCGTTGTCTTCTAGGCCTTCTTCGATATTTTTCGGCATGTTTATCATATTCTCCGAAGTTTTGTGTGTTCGTAGAACGCAGTGGTTCCTTTTCCGTGTTTTGCTCGGTGCAATCATTCGTCTTGGCTTCCTCGTCGCACTCCTGGCTTTTGTTATCTCTTTCCGATCCGCTGTCGAATTCGCTTTCTCGGTAATTCATGTCGCTAGATGAAGAGCTTGGAACAATGCTTTCGTTGTCATCGAAGGAGTAGATGTAATGAGTTACGCCATTGTCTGTGTCGGTGTATCTGGACACATACTCGTTTTCGATGCAGTAATCAGATTTACTAGAAAATGGGGATTCAGACCGAGATCGCTTAGACCTGGATCCTTCTCCTGATGTCTTGGACTGCGTCATGTTGGAATTCGATGTCTGCCTTGGTGTATGTATGCGTATTCAAGCTTGAAAGGGAAGCTGATAGTTGTTCGTACACGTGCAGTGTTCGAAGCTATCGGCTTGGGGGTTGGCGATGTATACTTTGTTGGCTTTGGTGGTCAGCCTAGACGTAAATTGCGGGGGAGTCTCGGTACTGTGGGGTTGAAAGATGTTAACTGTGGCCAGTTTATCTTTTGGATAGATATCCGGGGAAACCTGCTCATCAGTGCACTGCAGGGCGAGCTCTGAGATCGTCTGTGTTGGGACTGTGATATCCACTCTCGAATAGCTGGCGGCTGGCAGGACCTACATGAGGTTTCTGAGCGAATAATCAAGACCAGCGTCGGGTCTACTAGTGTCGCTTATCTAGATGAAGGAGGTTATTTGGGGTCGAGGCGTAGCTGTCTAAAATCGGTGGCACGTGGAAAAACCTAGTTAGGAGGTGCGCTGCTTCTACGATGCGGTAAACGTAGGATTGTCATAAGGATCTGAATGTACTAAAAATTCGAATTCAAAGGCCGCCTGCGATAGTTAAAGGATCATACCAGGTAAAAATTTTTAAAAAGAAGATAGCCCGCTATATGAACCAGAAAATTGCATATAAAACATGGTAAATAGAGAACACATCTCAAAAACTCCTCCCAGAAAAGAACAAAAAAATGAAAGAAAAAACAAGGGAAATGTCCCCTACTCCTTGGTAACTTTCACACCTCCATCATTGACGTCAGATTTGCTTGGTGTTTTGGCTGTTGGAACTTTCTCCTCGGATTCCTCGTTGAGTTCTTCGATTGTTTCCTCGGGGAGATTCTCGAGCCTTTTCCTTGGCTTTTGCTTCGCTCCTGATTCTGCGGCGGGCCCTTCGCCTTCTGGCTTGGGGTAGTTCTGCACGATGATGTCCACTACATCTTTGAACTCTTCCATCCAGCTTGTAAGGACTGGGAAGAATATAACTTCCCGTTCCACGTTCATCCCGTCGGCTAGAATCAAGCTCTTCCAAAAGGCGGCATCTTCATGGTTTCTTTGCTCACCCTTGATAACTGCCATCATAGCATATGTTTCATATTTCCCAGGCCGGTGAATCAAGGCCACATCTCCGACAGTAGCAGCATCGATGGCTCTTCGGCAGCAGATCTCTGCTTGGTTGAGTAACCAGTCTCTGGTTGCCATATCCGGATGCCACGGTTGAACCCGTATTTTGGAAGCTCGTTCTAGAAACCCAGCTGCCGACAACAGTTCCTTGCACGTTTCATAGCACAACTGTGGAGATTTCTCTTGGTCGAATTTTAGCTTTGGAAGCATATCCCATGCGGCGTCATACTGCTTGAGTCGTGTGTGAGAAAAGAATAGACGTCGATCGAAGTAGGCCATAAGTTCCTCCCGAGTATTGACATTGTGAAGTTTGACGATGCAATAGTTGATGACCTGGATGTTTGAAGCATTTTCGTCAAGAATTTTAATGATTTTGAGAAGACTTGTATGGGCCTTAAACCACTTGTGAGAATAGAAATCCGTATCATGAGTTTCGATATAATATTGAAGTTGCTTGATAAGAAGATCGGTAGGGAGGGGTAATAGAGGGGTCTTGGAAAGACTAGGAGGGATAGCAGAGTTCCACGGAGCCCTAGGAAGACTAGCATGTGTAGTTGTCGAAGAAGTCTCGTCCTCCCCCGTGACCGGCGGGTCTATCAACACAAACGGACTTGTAGGCGAATTCGTGGCGGTAGACATTATGGAAGCGGATACCGTAATGCTGCTGACAGCTACCGTCGATTCTGAAAAATACTGGAATTGCATGGATCCTTTTAAAGTCCTCTTCTGTTATATCGGCCGGTCGAATCTTCGAAGAGGGGTTGATATGAGCTATATACCGGAACCACCCCTACCCGCCCAAAAGTTTGATAAGGATTATATAAAAACCTCAAGCTAACGAAGCTTACTTGATTTCTTGCCTGCCTGTCTGCCTGTAGTGCTGCTGGAAGTGCATATGTCAGTCGTGGCGATATTACAATTGCAAAGAGTGACGACTCCAAATTTGGACTACTGCCGGTTGGATCGAATTCAAAATCTCGCCAGTGGCTCCACCCCATGCGACCATGCATGCCATGTTGGACAGCTAAGCTAGCTGCCGTCGCCTCGAAAATTTCGATTCGTTCAGCCTGCAAGACCAACTCACCGCGGTGCTATTGGCTGATTTGGCCGGCCGTATGGGCTTCGATTCATGACAGATGGATGCTAGGTAGTCTTCAAGAGAATTTGTCTGAGACAGCAGCAGGCAAGCAGGCATCATACAGAAACCACCGTCGAAGACCATGGCCATCTGACTCAACTCGAAATGGGTTAATCATATTTCAACCCCGCCCGGACTTCGAGCATGGTGGCGACGATGTGGTGCACAACAGGACTGACCCTGGTCGGGTTGTGTTGGTTCGTGTAACCGACGCTACAGCTATCGACGGTGGGAAGCTGGCGGGGTTACACGGATAAGACGTGAAACAGCGAGCTTCTTGAGGCTGATGAAGCACGAAGATGAGCTCTCGTCAGGTTCGGCGGGGTTATCCATGTCTGTGGCAGGGCTTGTCTGGTGGCTTTACATGCTGCTGGAGCTAGAGCTGGCCCTGCTTGAGCAATTGAGCTGCAGTGTGCCGCGTGGTTTTTGGTGGAGACTGTTGCATTTTGAAAATCAACACGAGAGGAGAACTCTGAAGGCATGGAATGTATTGGAGTTAGCTTTCGAATTCGAATATTCGAGGGTAATAAAACGGGGTAATAGTGGAGATAGATGGGATGGTACTTGTGAAGATTCTTTTAAGAGGAAAGAGGTGAAGTGTAGAGATCGGAAGGAGAACAACCGGCAGTGATATAGTTAATGCATTGAAAGCTACAAAGGAACAGGGCACTTTGATCGATTGAATTGATTGAATCTAAATTTATAAATCTAGAGCAATACAGTTCGAAGGAGAACAAAACACTAAGGAGAAAGATACTTGTAAAAGTAAAGTATCAATGGTTATGATGAAAGAAGTAAGGAAAAACAATGGATGCTATGATCCTACTAGCTAGAAGTCAGCTACTGCTGGGCGTAGATAATAATTAGCGGGGGATTAAAACTTACGAGCTCATTGTAATCAACGAACTGGGGAAAGGAAAGTGAATTTTCACCTTCGCGATAAAAAAGGAACGAAGACACTTGGGAAGGAGCAAAAGTCATCATTCTTGACCTTCGAGACGTCTAAGGAGGAACGTGGCCGATGCGGTGATAGCATTCGCAGTAGTTGCTGTATATACGTTAGGCATAGAGCTTTTAGATTAATGAAGAGAAGACTATTGCTTACTGGTAGCATTCCAAAAACTTCTCATACTTGCATATGCCCCAGACCTTGACGAACTTGGTGCGGCATGCACAATGATCCTGGCACCATTGCCAGTTGACGAGATTGCCTCTCCATTGCCAGATACGTGGACTAGGGCAGGCGACTCTCCATTCCTTGGTTGAGCCTTTATCCCATTGAGCCTCACGTTTGTCGATTTCAGGAGGATTATCAACTGGAGCAACCATCGGAACGACGACAGCCATAGCTCCAGAGACAGCTGAGAGTAAAGTGACGACGAGTTTGGTGACCAACATCGTGAGGAATGGAGATAGGGACGGGTATGGAAGGTACAAATTGAGCAAGAATTTTTTTGATAAAAGTGTTTGACCGTAGTTTCTTTGTGGGTGGTGAGGAGGAAAGAGGAGAAAAAGAAGTTTTGTGGAAGAGCCTGGCTTAAATAACTGTTATCTTGTAAGACTGCCGAGGGAAAGATCAATAGGCCTTTGTAGCCCTCTTTGTAGAATTGCCTAATTTGGTAGACGCCTCTACGTCGTCTCGACAGTCTTGGCACAAGTATTTAACTCCTCCGTTTCTAACCCACCGACCTTTCCATCTAATCAACCTCTATCACCTCATTCACTTCCATCATCGCCACTACCTCCTTCCCATCTTCACCTACGTCATGTCTCCTTCTCTCCGTAAGCAAAAATTGGCTTTGCTAATCCCCGCCTCGTCGTCATATTCTTTCTGTCTGGCCGAGGGGTTGAAGTGGTTCTAGCCCTCGAGGCTCATCGGCCTTCTTCTGGGCCTAAGATACCCGGTTTGCCAACCGTAGCCACCGGTTGGTGAAAAGATCACGGTAAACCGAGACCAGCAACCTAGAAATGTCAACCTCGATGGCTTCATCATAGCCAACAGAGAAACAAGTATAGCCGTACATCGCGAACGAGACAACATCATAAACAATATCTGTGACGCGATGAGAGAACAGGTAAAATATCTCTATTTGGTAGCATTGAATCCACCCTTTCACGCCACTGTTTAGCTTTCTGTGCTATTGGAAATGTGCTGTATCCTAACTTCATCCTTCTAAGTAGTCTCGACACTAGACCAGCTTAGCTCAGCCTTCTGAGCAGGCACATGGGTATTGAATATTTTCAGAAAACCCGAGACGCAACCAGGGGAGACACATCTTATGGCGTCCTGCTCAACCCAGCTTCGTATTAAAGAGGTGTGTACAAGCCCCAAATCATGGCGTGGGGAGCAGCTCAGTCTCCCGTCGAAAAATCAATTCCCTAATTTGGATATATCTCAGACAGCGACAATGGCGACCAGAGTGCCATCTCCATATATATCCTCCTTGGCCCTAGTCGCGTCCATAAGATCCGTGGCGCCCAGGTGATGTGCCTCCGGGCATCCCAGCCTTAGCAAATCTCAGATTTCGATGATGTTATCGCAAGGCAAAACCTGGTCCCCTCTTTCCAATGCAAAGCGCCTCCGGGCGCCCTTGGGGTCGATCGTGTTGTGCCTCCGGGCAGCCACCTGTTGAAGATTCGGCTCATTGGTCTGGGTGTACCTTTCAGACCATGGTGATGACTATGGCGATGACTATGGCGAGGACTATTAGACGGCCGCGGGCTCATCTGACGAAAGCCTGTTCCTCCCACTTCAGGCTGTCCTCCTGTGCCTCCGGGCACCTTAGAGTACTTTGTTTCGGTTGCCTCCGGGCATTCATCCTCGGACGGCCTTTCCAACGGCCAGCTGCTAGACCCATCCCATCCTCGTCGCTAGAACCAAGGCAGGTGACATACTTCAATGTCACTAGGAACGGTATACGCCTTCACGATACAGGCTCCGGGCTCCGGCCCAATCGGCCTCATTTCAGGGCTCCGGCCCCAATCCTAGGGCTCCGGCCCTTAATTTGTGGCTCTGGCCACTTCGAGTATCAACCGAACCCTCGGGCTGGACAGCTCGTAGCCTCGAGGCCAGGCGTTGTCCCGGCTTGGGGTACATAGCAGCGGACCCAATGGGTGGGTCGGTCCGCCATCCCCCCGACCCAACACCCGGTATGCACCGCTAGCTCCATATTTATCATTTAGTACTCTTTTTGACTAATTATTTTCACCTTAGCATCACGACTGGGTGTGGGGGGTGGCGTAACTCCAGCCCCTCTAGATCTTGGGTGGAGGGGCCCAAATTCGATGTTGAAATGTTGTGTTTTTTGCGTTGATGTGCTTGGGGTCCGCCCCTGTGGTTTACTGAACCGTCGAGTGCCTCAGGGCACTAGAACAAGAGGTTGGCGGACGTCTTTTCATGGGTGGGGGTGCAAGGTGAGGGGAAGAGGTTGTGGATGAGAGTAAGAAGCTGATGCATGTATATAACTTTAGCCACCATATACTTATATACGGCTAGCTTGACCCAAGTTTGGATAAAATGCGAGAAGTTCGATTAACCCCAACCAGATTCTGGCGAAAGTGTACACTCAGTACGTTGTTGGAGTTAAACGACTGTACCACGGTACTAGCGAGTGGGCGTGTATAAAATATTATCACTAGGCGTGCCGTCCACTCCAATTTCTATGTGGTTCTATACTATCAATCCATTAATCTTGCGCCTGCAGAGGTTCGTGCAAGCGACGGGGCTAAGAGTAGTCCCGTATCTACATAGTTCTCTTCAAAGATGCATATCTATTTTAATTTATATAGATATCTATATCTCCGGAGATTTGTAGCACGACGCTCGAAAAATCTAAATATTTATCTCTTAGGACCCTTTAAAGTTACTTTGAAACTTAGTAAGTCTCTTAAAGGATTAGCACACTTCGGGGAATAGACATACTAAAATGGCGGCTTGTGGAGACTCTACCGATATTCAACTAGTACTATAGCTCCGAATCTAGTATCTACAAGAAAATCTTCGCTTTTTCTTTATATATACACTACTTTGTGTAAATGATGTACTCACATCATACACTATGAATAGCTATAGTATATCACAGCCTCTACATCTGCAGCTGCAAGGACAAGTTCTAGATCTACAAAGTGCACCAGATCTGCAGAAACTGCTAACGTTAAGGTTTCTACATATCCATCTAGACCGGCAGGAAGGAAAGCCCCTTGAAAGCTACTACTGCCACCTTGGGCACCTTAGTTTAGTCCCTCAAATTACATATTTTATTGGTGGTTCCTTCGAATGGAATCAAGTGGACATATTCTGTGCTAGCCTGCAATTCAATTTAGATTGGGTAGCATGTACTAAACAACCTTAAGCAAATAAATAAGAAAGCCTGAATGTGCATATTGGCCACGGACACCATAGGAACAAGCAAATCGAAAGTGCAAGAGACCAAGCGCTACCTATATATAGTAGCTCCAAAATTTGTGCATAAGGATCTCTTTCCCCAAATAACCACACATATAATTGAAAATGTCAATCCAGCCCCTAGGATATCCCCAAATACTTTCACGCAGTTCGACCATTGTGGCCTCTTAGAGAATCAAGGATCGAGTTAAAGACCTCGGATATGCTCCGAATGTCCATTTCCGGAGGGATTCTGAGACTCGATTTCAGCAAGCAACTCCCTATGCTTCTCACTCCTAGGTGTTATAGTACACCTAACATTCTTTACATGACCAACAACACCTGGTACCTGTTCAATGACAGGATCAATCTCCTTGCCGTCCGAACCAATTGCTTTGGAAATTTTGAAAGATGCCAGGCTTCTCGCCATCAAGAGGAATGAACTGGACTCCGCCAAGTGACGCCCAGGGCAAATTCGTCTCCCAAATCCGAAGGTATATGTGCGAGGGTCAAGTTGTTTGTTTGGGCCAAGGAATCTTTCTGGATTGAATATTTCTGGGTCTGGATAGCTTGCTGGGTCTCTTCCAAACCAGGCGACAGATGGCACAATAATCGAACCTTTCGGAATCAAGTACCCTCGGAACTCGTCTTCTTCGTCGGAAGTGTGTACCAAACCAAGTGGGGCAACTGATATCCATCGAAGGGTTTCAGTGAGAATAGCATTCAAGTACGGCAGGTTCGGCCTGTCTTGCAAGTTAGGAAGTCGATCCTTCCCAATCACGGTATCTATTTCCTCTTGAGCCCTTTGCTGCACCTCCAGGTTTAGTGACATAGCAAGGAAAAAATTATTCACTAATGCAACGGTAGTATCGGAGCCTCCTCCATACAGCGTAGAAGCACTGAACTTGATATCTTTTATATCAGCAGGAGCTGGGTTGGCGTCCAATAGACCAGATACATATGAAGTTTTGGTTGAACCTGCAGCTCTTTGCTCCTCAACAAACCCGAAGGGAATGTCGTTTGCTTGCATGTATGTTTTGCGGTATCGACGAGCAGTATCCTTAAATCCCATACCCGGGAGCCATTCAGGCAGGTACTCGAGCCATGGAACGAAGTCTACAAACCACACGCCCGCGACCGCCGTTGCGCAGGCTTCTTCCATCCATCGATCAGCAAAGTCCACTAAGGGATCCGGGCCACTAGAAGAGCTTTCGTAGCCGTAGAGAAGGTCAAGGATTAAAGATGCCGCCGCACTATAGCAACATCCATTAGCCGTTTGAGCCACCCATAAACCGAAAATTAGGGACTTTTGAAGGTAGGGATTATTGACATACAATTTGAGATGATGTTTGAGGTTATCAGGGTCATTCATGAGCCGTAAGAGAAATCGATTGGCTTGATATTCCATGGATGGGAAGTAATTCTTTACGAGAGTTTGGCTCCCGATCTGCCTGACCGCCATTCTACGCTGTTTTTTGAAAGCATCGTTGTATGGCGACATTGACAACGAGTCTTTCCAGCCAACCCTAATATTTCGAAGAGGTTATCAGTCATATTCTAATATATCTAACAGTAAAGTATTGCGTGTGCCTTACATCTCACTAGCGAAATGAAGGTGTGGTCTGGAAGAAAACTTAGCTGATCTCTTATCTAGGAGTTCAGATGCCATTTCTTTGCTGTGCAACAATACGATCGTTTGGCCGAAGATCGTGACGGATGAGATTGGTCCGTAGATATCTTTATGTTTAACCCAATGTGTCCATTCTGCAATACCAGGAGGGGGAAGGTCATTGATGTTCCCAACTAAGGGCAGGCCTGGAGGACCAGGAGGGAGTGGGGGCTTCTTTCGGGCCCTTTGCGCGGAAAATAGCCTTTGGATCAGCCATGCAAAACCTGAAAAGAAAATGCCATAGGACAAAAGTTCAAAAGCCATTGATTCTGACTTTGAAAATAATGATACGTATAATTCTCTGCGAAGTAGGAGAATATATACACTATATCTTTGATTATTATGGTATCTTATCAGCTTAACGAGCAAAGGGTTTAAAATAAAAAAGACGGAAGAAGATCCCTGGGAGCCAGACGATCCTCTAGCCACTTATATCATTTTTCCGTACGACTGATTATTCAATCCCTAGATACGAAAGCCTCGATATAGTTGAATATTCGAATGCGGCCAGCTCATGACCCCCACACCCAATGGTTGAGTTGAGACCGCATATATCATGTCGGTAGATTTACCCGAGCCGGTTGCTCGGCAGATAACGGGAGCTAGCTAAGCGAACTCATTGCTGGTCCTTGTCAGTCTGATGCAGGGATTTCCTACTAAGGGTCTGATCCTCTTATCTATGCTATTTCACTAAGCTCAGGGATATCGAGATCGAGATATACGCGGGACTAGCATGGTTTTCCTGAGCTAGGTTTGGGGTCTTTATTAAATCCGCTGATGTGATTGGAGGAGGATTAACACTAAGGACTTAGACCAGTATCAATCCCGAAGCGAAGACAATTGTCAGCCTTGTATTGATTAGTGAGTTTCCTCGATGTTTGGTACCCACGGACCGTCTCGTTTGATTTTCAAGAATATGGGGCAGTCTTGAAAGGGTTTCCTGGGCATGCATGGTTCGTCCCCGCTCGGCTGGGCACGTTCCCTGCCAGAGTATTTCCCACACGGACGTTGACCGTTGAGTGAACGCCAGATCTGGCCCCGAGACTAACGTTATAAACCGAAACTGCATGACCTTTTTCTCCAGATATTTCTTTTAAATAATAATTCTTTTCTATCAGAATCATCTTACCCCCAACCAGGATCTTATCAGCTACCATTTCCCAGAGAATGACATTACCTCATCATCGACGATGGATGCATTTGCACCAGTCGCTCCACCACTACCTCTATAGCTTGGCGAGGACTCTGAACTATAGAATCATATAATTCGAAGTCAAATACATAGCGAGAGTTGACCCCATGACAATATTTCAAAAATTAAACCATGCGTCGGTAGGTTACAGAGCATACCGAGTCACCCCCATCTATCTTAGCCTCCCCTAAAGATCACGCCATATTTTAACCTAGTCTCGTATCTAGATTTTCACCAGGATATTGCTATATCTCGGAAAACAATTTCCAAGACTTTCTACATCTGCATTTCTCTGTGTGTCTTGCAAATATTACCTAGCATGGAAACTTGCCTTGGCTGCATGGGGGTTTTGAGATCACCAATTATTACGTATACGGTGTTGTCTCGCGGAAGATGTTTAAACGAAGTTTGCATATGGTGTCCCCAGTCAAGAGGGCCTAAAACATTCTTGGTGCTGGCTAGGCTATGGCAGCTGGGTTGACTTACCACCCGGAGTTTACCTCCACGGATTTATCGGCTACCTGGAGGCTTTTCAGTCGGCATCTAATTGCGATTAAGAAACTACGCAGGAAAAGTCGATGGCTCTAGCAACGAGATCGACAAGATATCAGGTAATTGACAAGTCTACAGCTCTTAGTAATGCGTTGCTAATGATATTTGGTGGTGCCGAGATATAGACCTACAACCAGCCTCAGTCCCGGAGCGCCGCTCAGCCTAGGCGGCAAGTGTATCTAATCTAAAATCATCTGCATGTAACGATCGAGTCAGTATGATTAGGTCTTGCAGCTTTGGCTTCCTTGCGTCGACGATGTGTCAATATGAATTTCAACGACAAGGGATGTTTAGACTTCGGAGATATTACCATCCAACCATCCAGAAAACGAGTACGAAAAACTGCTATTGATCTAATTGTAGTTTTTGGACTTCGGTGTATATATTTCTATGCAGTTTGGGAAAGATACCATATCCTCTTTAGGTAAATATTCCCCGATAAAACTATAGAGCTAATGGCTATATGCTAATGGCGGAATAAAACAGACACAAGGGTGCTTGATTTCTTACATTTAACGATAAAAGGACATGTGGGTAGCCAAGCTCTCGTGCACTCATACCTGGCCACGACATTTCGAACTTGGAGACAGATACCGAAAATATACCCTTCATCGACGCCTAACTAGTCCCTCGTCACTACAACGACATATATTCCGCTCTATCCGATATCCCATACAACACCGAAGCGTTAGCTCCCCATAAAACGCGAGTAGGAGAGAACTATTGGTGGGATGGCGAATGGCCAAGGAAGAACGGTGGCGAAGAGGTTGGCGCTTGAAAACGAAGATTTCGCTATCATCTACCAATCTGGCAACGTCTCCCAGCGGTTCACCTTAAATTACGACAATTTTTACGAATCGAAAATGTGAATACTGCCGACGTGCTAGTCCTGTGGCCAATACTCGGAGCTTTTCCCGACAGTTCCCATATGCGACTACCGGCAAAGCTCCCAATTGACCTGGGCCTAGCTTTCTTGCATCGCCTCGTTCGTAGGAACTCGGGCTCATAATCTCGAGGTTCTTGCGAAATCCTTGCTCATGCATATTTCTCGAGACAAAGTTTGGGAGTTCTTTTATCTGAGTCACTTCGAAGAGTAGACCTAAAGGAGACCCATGGAGGTATTCCAGCTAATCCAACGGATAAAAGGATCATATGGCTACCATTATACTATATACCAAGCCCATCCGGACCCCCAGCTTCAAAATTGCCCTTGCCCACTCGGGGAGCTGCTACACAAGAATCCCAGCCAAGAGCGTGCTGGTCGGCAGAGCTGGTTTTACAATCCAACAGCGACGTTTGGTTTTCTTTCGGTTCCAGCACAGAATTATGCTTGAGGCACGCACACGATACTCCTGTCACCGTCTAGGCCATATATCAAAGGCCCGCTATGCATTGTTACTACGGAGCTACGTAGATCAAATCTTTGTGGAACCTTGGAGATCACGCCCACTCTTAAACGTCTCTGCCGCATGCCGTGTAACACACCCTAGATAGTCCCCGGAACAGAAACCCATCACTCAACACGTTTAGCATTCTCCCTGGCCACTAGGCCCGGGGCAACCCCGGCCCCCAACTCGTGCACACAAATCTTTATCAACCAATAGGCACAGAGGTTCCACGAACGAATGGGAGATAAAAACCAGAGCCGTGGTAATATAGATGGCCAATAATTGTCTCACGGCTCTGGATTCGAAAATCTAAAATTTATGTCGAGACCGGGAGGAATATGCTAATGTACAGACATCCTCTGAATTTCGTATGAAGGAAACCAAGAATTCAACGGATTCCCGAGTCGACCACCTGGGTACGATCGGAGACAAGTCAACCACCGAGTTAAGGGAAAATTCAGAGACCGACAAACCGTCAGAAGTACTCTACGCTGTTATCAGAACCAATTAACTTCAGTACTGGGCTCTGGCCCCAATTCATCTTTAAACACGCCGTTTTATCAATTGTACGACCGATTTTACAACTAAGGGCCGGGTACAATAAAAGTAGTCCACACAGGCCTAGCTTCATATATTCTCTACGCACGCAATCGATCGGTCCCGAGACCAAAATATACCCATCTATATTACATCGCATACGTCGATTTCGACGGGAAGGAGCAGAGTGTCTTCCCCGAACTGGTAGATAGTCGGCTTCCCCGTGGTTACACACCTGGGGTATACTTGAGTTATACTCTATAGAGACCCTATCCTGAGCCGGTGCCTTTAGGCTCGCCATAACGCTTTCAGCTTTCGAAAGCCTCTCTAGACTCTTCCTCTCCGCCCTAGAGCTTAAAGGCACTATTTTAGGATACGACATGGTGATGATGCCCCGCAAAGATGGTCGGAAATTCAAGCTGTAGCTTGATAATTGCACCAAAAAGATAGGGCCACATATTCAGAAAGTTTCAGCTGAAACATGTTCTTTGGCTTGACACGAAAGGATCACTAGTCCAACGTTGGTCTTAGAAAGAGTTTCAGAAGAGATATATCAATATATTAACTCATACCGTCGACGACAGCCACCAGAACGGTTAATATACACACCAGCCCGGATCCCCGGCAATCGAGTTAAGGACCGACTATATATACATTACTACAGCACCTATTTAAGAATCCGAGATATCTGCTGCCACTTAACCCACAAACTAATTTATGGACTGGTGTGGGGTGCTAGTCTCACTATATTCGATGAATCAGGAGGATATATGTCATAGGCGGACGATAATAGTGTTGGTAGGTATACCCATTTATAGTTTTAGATCACCATTTCTAACTTAGAAGAGTAGACCGTATTATATTTTTGGGACGCTGCAGTTCCTAGGAGCCGATATATAAAAGATATACCTACACTGGACATATACGGTTAAGTATACCCAAATACGCGTAGCACTTCAAATACAATAAGATTGAATAACATAGATCAGCCACCGCTACCAACATTGCAGTGGTGGAAACAAGAGTGTGGCTTTGATACTACCCTCCAAGTTATGAGGGTTTGGTATCATGGATTTGGATACGAAGGGATGTACACGAGTCTCCCGAGGCATATATTTGATAGACCAGACACCATATCGACCATTTATATATTTCTGCATGGGGTAGCATATGTATATGCAACCCCACGAGGACTCTAGTCCGCTAGAGTAGTGTCGCAAAGGTTCGTGGGGGAGATCTAATTTTTTCTGCAGGAGTCAAAACGTCCAGAACAGTCGCAACTAAGGGATCCGGATCGTGGGAGCTACCCAGTTCGTGCTCTCCAAAACGATACGGTCGCTCCCGTTTATTAGTTCACCACAGAACGCTTCGACGAGGGTGCGTTCAAGGATATGTCTGTTTGTGAAAGATTCTTCGAACGTTCTGTCAAAAGCGACACCAATTTGTCTCATATTCTTAGAAGCCTCCATCTCGATTCTCACGCTTTCAATGGGCCCACAAAGCGCTCCAGGGGACCGCTCGAGGGGGGAGCTATACGTCAAAGAATCAATGCGGGGAGATGATTTAGAATTACAGGCCTACCCAGACCCTCGGGTGAGGCCCCTACACGACGATTTTAGGGCTAATTCGGGGTGCATTGGTGGGCGTCACTGCGCAGCTAACCGCTATATAATAGCGGACCCTAGGGAAGAACGACAAGTATAGGATGGACCGCACCTGATATTGGTTGGAGGTTAGGAGGGGTCCGCCCCTGATAGTTCGCCCACAGCATTTGGGGATGAGGCAGGGAGGGTGGTTAGAAGGTGAAAAGGTGGGGGACTCGTGAAATATGGAAAGAAGAAATGGGGTGGGCGTACTCAAGAGTTAAATATAGGAGGACCGGGGTACTACGACTAAGATTTCTCTAAGGATCTCATGCTGGGCTTAAAGTCTTGGGGTTTAGTCGCACGTTACCGACCCTATAAAAAGGGTGACAAATGTGGGTTGATTGTTCCTGGGGGGTCAGGGTCGGAATCAGAGAGAAAGGATGGTGGTGCGTGGTGCAATTATAGAAGAGAGGTCGTGCGGGGAGGCTCAAAATCAGATACAGATATACCGACCTACGATACCCATGCCCATTTAGGCCTCTGGGCCGGGCTGGGGTTTGAGCCACCAGCTCTGACGACACCTGGCTGACCTCTCGGGGAGGAATATTCAATACGATGAAGAGTGGGAAATGTGGGTCGGGGTTCCGCTAGAGCCCCACCCATTTAGATACTAGTTAAAAACTGTTGGAAGATAGTGGCTGGGGTGGATAGTTGTGGAAGCAAGAGTTTGGTGCTGCCCGGGGTCCGCCCCCGCGGCGGAGGATAAAATATCAGGCACTCGTATCCGCTGCAGAAATATTTCAACTAGCCTGGCACATGTCGAGCTTGGTTAACTCTCCCCGTGGGCTTACTTCAACCCTATGCCGAGTTGGAACGTGAGCCAGCACAATCGAAGGATTTGATCAGGGCCAAAAGGAATCGATTTTTCTAGAGCTGTTCGATAACAAATATCATGCGGCTTCCCTCCAAACTTCAGTTTCGAGATCCGACTCTCTCCCTCGTCTCTTCTACGGAATTTTTGCTTAGATATATATTTTCAGAGCCAACCTCATCGATAAACACACAAAGAATCACAGACTGCGAAATCCAAGCTAGGGCCCTCATCGGGATAGTGCCGGTACATTACGGTTAAGAAAAATATTTCTGGGCCCTGCTCTAATACACATATATATACATATATCAATATCACTTTCGGAAGGATCTTTGGGTCCATACGAGGAAGTTTGCCGTATTGTAAATTACTACTGCTTATTATAAAATTGAAGACCACATGTGCTTCAGTCAATGTCGTGTACCATACCCATATATTTCATAAATATCTACTCAACGGCCAGGAAATTTTAACTGGGAGATATATATACACTTAGTGACAGAATCCTAATTCTATACTATGAAATTGAGGGTTTCTGAGGGCACCCTATCCAGATATTGATTTTTATACGAAAGATACACTGGGGTAAAGGTAAATTGTGGCGTCATCGATGAGACAAAACACTGTAACCACCCCATTGCGCGCATGCGAAGACTGGCAGAGACAAAGACATTGGCGCGGAGACCTTGGGCGTCCTAGGCACTCCAGCCACTCGAGTAGCCCGGCCTAAAATCGATCATCGGCATAAGATACATATATCTTTATATATATATCGATAGATACCCGCATTGAGGCAGTTGATTTAAGCTGGTCATGACTCTCAATCACTCATATATCACTGTTTATTTTATGATTCTGGGCTATTTGACCCATATATATATTAAAATTACGTTGATTGTTTCGTCAGAACTTTCACCTTTCCATGTCCCACACTCTAACTTCATCCATCTGCCTGATAATAGACTTCTACCACCGAGCTTGCTTTCTAACCATTCTAAAAAGGCTGCTACACGAGAATTCACGGGTCTTACAGCCCGAGTCCTTAGGCTTTCTTTCGATCAGATATTCTATCGGAAAAATCAGCTCGAAATTTTAACCCAGATAGATGAGACCGCTCCTCAGAAAGGGCCTCATTTCAAGCATCCTTCTAGCCATCTATTCCGCCGACGACCCGCTACCTTTAGTTCGTTTCTACAGTGCCGAGACCGGTCTTTGTTTATTTATCCACATGGTATAAATAAACGATATCGACGTCGCGACTTGAAGCAACAAACTTTTTCCATCGTGACTAGTTCGCCTTTACTACTGTCATGGGTCTATTCTTATCACTCTACTTATGCATATATTATCGACGAGTCCCGTATATGAAGCTCAGATGTGAAGATATATGGACTGAGGTGAGTACTCTCACTTCAAAGAATCCGGAAGGGTTTGTCAGATCCAGGACCGACTCGTCGTCAGCCAACGCTGGGACAGTAGAAGTACAGAAAAATCATCGGTACTTCTCTGAGAATGATTGTCTATGACTGGTAGTCTCAGGACTGGACTCAGTATGTTACCTAATATCCCTGAATATCTTAAAATTGCTTGTGCTAACTTATGATTAGACGCAAGGAGATAGCCTAAAATGACATTATTTTTGCATGGGCAATGCAAAGCCGAAGTGTTTTGAGACAACGATACGACCAAAACCCACGAACTGGCCGTACGTGGCACAAGTTTTAAGAATCACGTCAATATCAACGATGTATATGGCCGCCAGACCGAACTGCGAGGTATCGCGCACCAAACGTGGAAATCCTGAAGATTACCCGGTCCGCCGGAAGTATGAGTCTCAAACACACGATTAGGAGGGATTAACCAGGCGCAGGCTGGTTTACGAGACACAATATTCTTGCTTGGCTGGAAAATGAATCGACCTAATACAATTGCAGTTATCTACCCAAACGAGCTCCGGCTCTAACGGCAGAGACACGACTCAGGCCAAAAACCCAACAAGATTCTATTCTCTTCTTTGCCGATTAACCCTATAATACACCTCGTCGAAAATTCTCTATATATAAATAACCCTACTACATTTCAAATCGATTGTTTCTTGTATCGATACCTTCATTCTTTCGTCGGTTCCATGGAACGAATGCATCTCGACTTCCCCAACAAGCACAGCCTCTCCTCTATTGACCGTTGAACTTGGGTTCGCGGTTACATGGCGTATCTCCATTTAGATAGCGCTCTTGCTGCATACTGGACATATTAATTAATATAAAGAGGAATTGTATTGGCAATACCAGGCTATATCAGAAGTGAAGATGAAATCCAAATCACTCACTTCTGAATAAGCCTTGGTAGATTGGGCGAATGTCTTGTTAAAGGTTACTAGGGGTTCGGGGTGGTATTCCTAAACCGGAGCCACGGGTGCTTCGACATTCACACATTCGGGACGCTTCGGGGTGCCCTCCAACTTTAATATTGTATTTCGCACGATAGCGCCGATATTTTTGTTCTTTATACCCCAATTTTAAGGAGTGGCAAAGTCAAATGGGGCCATGGGGATACACAATTGTTACTGGAGTAAACCTCGAGCCCTCCTCGGATACAGCTTTGAGAATCGACAACAGCTCCCTGAGAACATACAACATCGGCCGAGTGTTTATCAACCCTGGCCGAAATCCTAGCACAATTGTCTATGGGGCATCGTTGGCTACGGCCACATTGTGCCGAGAAAAGAGGATATGGATGAATGGTACTGCATAAACGAAAGAGAAGTGAGGAGGAGGAGGAGAATCAGAAGATTGAATTCTTTGCGATTCTCCCAGAGTTCCATGAGAAGGGTGTAAGAAAAGACAGCCCGAGGAAGTTTTATAGTCCATGGAGTCTACCTCGCGATGCTTACAAAAGAGCTGAAATTCATGAACAGTGGCTATCATTGGTTGCTGAAAACTATTGAAGTGCTACAGTAAGGCGGCGCGTTTATCGACAAAGTCAGAAAGTTTCAAAGAGACGAATGTATCTCAAGGATCAATTATTTTGAGTGAATGATCTTCTTTACACCTTAAAAGAATGAGAGAGGGAAAACAAAGTTGAATGGCGAATCGGAACCGGATTTATATCGGAGAACTGTACGTCCTTGTCTACGCTTTTTGGATACTCCATTTTATTCGTGCTAACTTTAAAATACCGTCCTTTTAAGACTAGCTTTAAAAGCTCGGTTCCGAATCAATTCTTCTGTCTATTGGTCGAATATCCAGATATAGAAGTAATATAGATCGAATATCCTCGATATCCTCCTGTACAAGCTAAAGCAGCGCTAGCCAGTAATCTTTACTTTTCGATCGAAGCGGCATAATCGATGATATAGTGGTTGATGGGCGATAATCTGATACTTATTTCCGGATGACCCTCTTATTCGGTCGACGTTCAATTGGTGTCTGCGAAGATACACACTCGGCAATATATCGGGGCGGAATACGGCGACTTGGTCTAAATTCTTCCCGCTAAATAATCGAAGGGTCGATCTCGCGAGACCTGCGAGGACGTCGGAATATTTATGCCAATGCGGACTATTATTAATGCCAAAGAGAAAGAGCTCGGATAACTTTCGTTCGAGCGATTCTTGGGTTTTTGGATGATATTGATAAGATAATGCTTGGTCGATTCGAGACTACCGGAATACGAAATATTGATCAGTGCTATGCCAATATGCGGAAGACACATCACAAACTCTTGACGGTATCTGATTCGGAATCCTCGATAATGCACACTAACTACACGCTTATGCAGCTTCGTAAATGCAATACTCTAGATCCCCTCGCTATGTTCGCGGGAATGACCACAAGCGAATTGAACAAATATCTCGTCATTTCTATGCTGCAGCGTACATTAAAATGCGGGCTTCCGGTTGTTGGTGGAGTAGGAACCCTAGGCCCTAAGCAAGTCACAACATTCAAGGCTGTGAACTAGTATAGGAGACCTCGGTTTGGGTTATATACTTTGGAATCCGTTATAATGAGTTCTTCTAAATTTTAATTTTCGGAAGTATTGACAATAGCGGTACTCAATACGGACATTCATATTCTGCCGGGCCATAGGCAATATGTGGCGGGTTCGGAATTTGAACCAGAATACAGCCAATGGAGACGAATAAGCGATCAAGCATGTAGTATATCCGAATATTCTCTCATCTAACGGTACCGCGGATATTTTGGAGCATTGTATTTTTGGTACATACAAAAGGATAAATAATCGTCCAAAAAAACAAATGAAGTTCATCGAAAATGTCCGACAAAATAAACGGGTCATCGAGCTCAGAAATCGACTGAAAATTGATGTCAAAGATTTTCAGAAGTTTTTAGACGTCCCAGAAGAACACTACTGTCCGGGCTTGCTCGCTCGAATTCACTCTGACTATATTTCGCCGTTGCTTGGATACACCTTGCATATATATCCCGAAGATATTGTTATTTCTTCCATTTGCCGTTTCAGATTCATGTTCTCGAAGAAGAAACCACGCTCCAGATGAACAAGAAGCTCAACACCGTTAAGTCTTTTAAGACAATAGGGAAGATAAAAATAATTGTCCTCGAGGGCTAAAGATATTGATTGGGAAAGACACTTTGTGGAGACCGTTCTAGGGGCCACAGGTCACCATCCCAATATCGCCGCGACATCGGCCTGAAAACGCTGAAACAATTCAGATTTAGACGGCAATTCCCGACGTACCGATTAGGTAGTATCATTAACACCTGGAGGGATTATATCCACAGCAGCCATATTCAGACTCCACGGAGCGGCTGCCGTTGTACGCAAATGAAGGGACCATGCCAGAATAAGCCGCTTATGGACTGACTATAGGCCCAGAAATTCGGGAAACTACGTCAACAGTGGCCTCATCTTGACTTTCTGGACCTCCTGGACGACTTTGAGCGCAAGGAGCGCCTAGGGAATACTCCTCACGGAACGGGATATTAAATGTGTGGGACACTTGCAAAAATGCCATTGATCTTTTGGCCGCTGGAAAAATCAACGATGCAAATTAAAAAAAGATTTAAAACGCTGGCTTTGGAGTGACAAAATTCCTTCCCAGCATATGTGGCTTGCATGAGCCCCCGAGGAGATATATATTGTCGTGATAATAAGTGCAGATCTGTTAAACTACATTAGAAGAGTGCGAATCCGTCCACTTCTACTACATGGCCTAGCCTCACTGCTATTCAAACACCAGTCCGACCCGTGTTTGAAAATGTATATAGAAGCGTGCAAGAGTACAACTGCTGTGAATGAGTGTGTACGTACAGCTTGCCGAAGCGTTTTAATACAAGACTATGTACGTACATATCATATAGCTCTTGAAGATTTTACGTGTTACTAATACTCTTCAAACCCAAAATTTATTTATCTTATACGCTGTTGTAGATTTACTTTGGTCTGGAGACTTTAAATTTAGAGAGCCAAAAAAGGTTACTATAGTGGTTAAAAGGAATCAGACTGAAATATATATAGATGAAAGCTGGGTTTAGTACTGCACCAAATTAATTAGACCACGCTTCTCCCACCCGTAGCTTGTTATTTAAGCTGACTTACGCGCCTATGCTGGTTTACCAACGAGTTCACAGACCAGTTTGTGTGGCGACCAAAAGGGATCAGACTGGAATATAAATGAGAACGTTGTTTCCCGTGACTGCAATGAGAACACCTTCCGTATTTGGCGAACCCCTGCAGGTCAAATTCCTCTTTTAGTCACTTTCCAAAGACTTATCACTTTTTTAGTGATTTCTGTAGATGTTTGGATATAAAAATTTTGAATCTTCCGCGTTCTTGTTTCGAACTGTGTTGTAGACTGTGATATAATCAATTTAGGCAAGTGATCCCCCTTGCCTAAAGCGGACAATTTTTCATTGTCAGATACACGAAGAAAAAGGTTCTCAGGTCAGCTACATTTCATTCTGATCCCTTTTGACCGCCATATGACCACTATACTATAGGTCGTCAGAGTCTCAATGACGTAAAATAGTAAAGGCGGGTCGTGCTAGTATAAAAGCTCGTAATCTCCTCAATTTAACCCACTAGATCTATTATCTAGATTGAAATAGTATGAAGAGTCGAAATATTCGTCAACATCCGTAGTTCCGCGCACGCGGAGTCTTTAATTCATGACAACAAAATGAATGCGTTTGTTATGTTGCAAACCGGCGACCCCTGTTCGGAGTCTTGGCATTTATTGGACGCGCAGCGGCTGCAATGAGAAGAGAAACATTGGTGTTTTAGTAACAATGAATTCGAAACCTCCCCACAGCTGCCGCCCTGCCTGCGATATAACACTCTCCAAGATGCCTCGACTTGACGACTTCACGACTCCCATGGACCTGCTGCTCTAAACCGACTGCATAGCTTTTGTATATACATAGCGTCTCACATACCAGCTTTCGTCTTCATCGTCCTTCCCTTCCTTCCCTTATTTCCGTTCCTTCCTCGCTCCCTTTTCCACTAGGTCCCTGGAACATCATCGGTGTCTACCCTCACTATCCTCGTTTACTCGACTATACCACTACGAACGCGTTCTACAGGCACTTTGAGGTCTGATATCAGTAGCAATTGATACTTTGGTTGTCTTGCTAGCTTCATTTAAGGCCTTAGTGTCATATTTCCATCCTTTGCTAGGTTGTCTCTTTGGGGCCTCTACCAGCAATTGAACCTTGCTCTCTCTCTCTCTCTCTTCTTCACCACCGTCACCGTTACTATCAATACCTACTACGCTCTATTATAAGGTAGACAGACATAAAGTCATACAGATACTCAAAATCATAATACTACGCCATGCATATCCCTCGGGATCACTTCAGCACAGCCTATAATCGGCTCAAGCGCTCAGCCTCGGGTACCGTCCCATCGGTCCTTATCCTCACTTCTCTGGATGTCGACTCCCTCTGTGCCTGCCGAATGCTCACTCGACTGCTCAAAACCGACTACATTCCACATAAGCTCCACCCGGTCGCAGGGTACCAAGACCTTACGAAGGCGAATAAGGAGTTTATATCAAATAATGACGATCTCAAGTTCCTGATATTACTTGGCGTGGGAGGATTAGTTGATATTGCAGAATTTTTGGAACTGAAGGCCGGGGTTGAATGTTGGGTGCTTGAATCGAGACGTCCGTGGAATTTACAGAATATATTTGCTGGCCCTGGGGGGGAAGGGTTCGCGGTTGTGGGCAGAGACGGACATGTTTCGGATGAAGGTGGGGTGGTATGCTGGGATGATGGCGACATTGTAGATTTCCTCAAACCAGAGCAGGAGGCTTATCGAAGATTGATCGAAATGCAAGAGGAAGTTGGAGATATTGAAGATTGGAATAGTGAGGACGAGGAAGACGATGAAGATGAGGAGTTCGCTGAGAATAGACGACTTAACAATGGATATGGTGATGGGCCAGAGGATACTTCATCTTCAACCAATAGTCGAAAGCGAAGAAGCTCCAGCGAAGATGAAGATGAGGACGACCAAGAAGAGGAAGGATACTCCGACGACGATAGGAGGAGAAGGAAGCGGATACATTCCGGATCTGTATGCGCTCAAACATCTTGATATTTCATGCTAGGCTTCAAACTAACAAATCCAAAGAGCACACCGGACTCCTCTCCACACGCCTACTCCCACCTCCTCCATATCCACGGCCCAAATGCGACAGGTACTACAAGCAGCAATACCACAAATGCGAACACCACTCTCACCACCGCCGCCGGAAACACCACATCTCTCACCGTCCCAACCACCGGCCCATCTCCTCTAACCGGACCCGCTCTCCGCGCCCAGCGCAAGAACTTCCTCCAGCTTCGCCGTAAATACAACAAACTCCTCACCGACTACTATTCAACCGGCAGTACCTACGGCGAACCCATCTCCTCACTAGTCTACTCCCTCGCCTCCGAGCTCGGCCGTGAAGACAACGACCTCCTCTGGCTCGCCACAATCGGTTGGGAAGCTCAGCAGATGTACGGTCGACACATGCACTCCTTCAGTGGTGATCAAACCCTCAACTCCCTCTCAGCACGCAGTCTTGGTGTCTGGGGTGTTCTTCGAGATGAAGTCCGTCGTCTAAACCCACCAACAATATCCGGTGGATCCAGTGGTATAACCTCCAACACCAGTTTGTTCACACGAGCTACAACGGCAGAAGATTATAGTCTACGTCTATCTCCTGAATTTCGGTTCATGCTTATTCGCCACTGGAGTTTATACGACAGCATGCTGCACTCACCTTATTTGGCATCTAAGTTACATTTGTGGTCTGAAGCTGGGAAGAAGAGGTTGGCGAAGTTATTGGCGACTATGGGTATGAGTTTACAGCAGTGTAATCAAAAATATGTCTACATGGATATGGATTTGAAGAAAGGGTTGAGGGAGAAATTGGAAGTCTATAAAGCACGATATGGACTTGATGAGATTGTCAGAGAAGGTGTAGTTCGGTGTTGGGGGTGGAATGGGTGTTTAAGTGCTGGAGATGTGGCGGTCGTCGTTGGTTGTTTATTGGAAGTTGGAAAGAGCGGTAAAGCCAAAAGGGGAGCATCAGGGCCTAGCAAAAATGGGAAGAAGGGCTCGGTGGCAGCCTCGGAGGAAGATTTAAACGCTGCTGCTGCCAAGTTGGAAGATGAAGAAGTTCAAGAGAGTATTGCGAACTTCCAGGCGGCGTATGATGCGATTGAAGAGTAAGTTCTAACACCACCATCATCCTCTTCAACTGACCTTCGTGTTCTGACGTTCTCGGTAGTATCGAATCCCTCAAAGCATCCCTTCCACTAGCAATGACACTCCACCGATCCATTCTCAGCGCGGGTACTGCCTTAATTGAGAAACGACAGATCAAGCATTTACGAGCATACCGTTTAGCCGTTGTAAAGGAAGGACCTGACGTCGCGACATTCACCAATCCATCTGCGCTGACAAAACTGGCGTTATGGCTCGCAGAGGCGATTAGAGAACAAGAGTTGGAAAAGGGAGTAGGAAAGAAGAAGGGGTTACCATTGGTTGTTGCTGCTTTGAATGAAGCCCGTGGTTGTTATATCATTGTCGGAACTGGGGTAGGGAATGTTGAAGGGTGGAATCTTGAGGGGAGGAAAGTATCAATGCAAATGGAAAATGACAAAGCTAAGGAGAAGAAGAAAGCAGAGAAAGAAAATGAAAAGAAGAAGAAGAAGAGTAAAAAAGGTAAAGAAAATAACGAAGATGGGGACGAGGAAGAGGAAGAGGAGGAGGAAGAAGAAGACCCCTCAGATGAAGACTCAGAAGACTCGGACTCAGATTCCGAAGATGAAGACGAACACGGTCGAAGGAAAGTTCTAGGCAGGAACCGATTTGGAATAGCATTCCAAGAAGTCGCCGGTGAAACTTCGGCCCGTGTTAGGATCGATAGCTTCGAAGCTTGTGTCGTAGAAGTCAAGAAGGACGACTTGGGAGGGTTTTTGGAAGGGTTGAGTATGAAGAGTATTGTCGGTTGAATTTCCTTTTCCTTTTTCTCTTCTTTTAAACAAAATTCGGCCCTGCTCTTTCTTTTGAGCCTTTATTTAATTCTACTTAAACCCTTTCTACCTCCCCCGCTTTTGTTACTTATCTTGTTACGAGTAGCGCCTTTTCCTTCTATTGAAATACGGGGTGTTTCCTTGAAAAAAAAATACTTAGTAATGAACGGTAACTGCAAGGAGGGGCGTTTTAGATCCTGGACGATACAATGGCGTTTACGTTTTACGTTTCTTTTTCAACTTCTTTTGACTCTTATAAGCTTCTATTTTCCAGTTGAGCTTTTGCCCTTCACTTGTACATTTGTTTTTTTTTTCTCTGAGCCAACTTTTATCTTGTTTATTAACGGCACTAATTTAAACAAACCCCTGGCAAATCTATATTCAAAAGCTGCGTAACTTGATGTCTATTGAGAAATTATAAGATTACTATCATATATGAACCGCGGAATACAACTACTGGTCGTCAACAGCCTTGCATATTGGTAGTAAGTCGTATAATATAATAAAAAATTTGATGCAAAACAGAAGGAAAAAGAAAAAAAGGAAACGCCTCAAAACTCCAATTTATCATGATCTCGACGCGATAATGATAGTATACATATAATGTTTCCTCCTGTCGATCATGCAATTACCCTTTCCCCGTCTCATAGTCAATCATGGTATATATACCAATATGCATAAGCTTCCCAACTTATCTGGCGTTAATGAAGAAAATAGAAAGAAAGAAAGAAAGAAGGAAAGAAAAGTGACTAGTGAAATATCCCCCTCATGCAATGTCTATAACCCACTTCCACCAAAAGGAAAAAAGGTATAAGGTCCCAAAGTCCGCAACCGCTTCAGAAATATCGATGAATGCCATGCAGCCGCATATCATATCAAACCAAAAACAAGTGCTTCGATCCCTCGCCAAAAGTCAAAAAAGCATAGTGGTATCCGCAGCCCACAGGTTAATACAACCCTCCCGGCCTCATGGTAATAATAACAGTATATAGCTCTTCCTTCAAACCCTAACATGTCTCTCCCCTTCTTCCTCAACTACAACAATCAACTCACCAGTTTCCAAAAACCTGACAGCATCTTCTCCAACAACAGCAACAACCTTTCCACCTCCTTGTGTCCCTCGTTCTCTTGTTTGCTCTTCATCTTTTACTACCTCTCTATTCTCTTCTGTAATCCACAAGGCCTGTACTCCACCAATCGCGGCTACACACCCAACGGCCCACCAGGAAAGTATCATAACCCCGTTTTCAACACCTTTAGAGTACAGCCAACCACTCGCAATCGGTGCGATAGCCCTCATGCAGCTAGCTACACTACCTGCAGCACCATTGATCTCTCCAAGAACGAGTAAACTCGGTGCTGCATTCGTGAGAAGGATGCTGTTGACCGGGTATATCAGACAGCTGTAGATGGTTTTGTAACTTAATACGATGTATATAACTGCGAATAGTAGTCTATCGTTATCGTGGGGTAGGAAGGCCATATACGGTGTTAGAAAATAGATTAGTGGGTATGTTATAGCCACGAATCTAAACGTTCTTAGAACACCGAAACAGTGGACGAATGGTGTGAAGATCAGGAATTGGAATAAGGTGGATAGGATGCCTTGGTAGCTGAAGATGACTCCCATGGTTTGAGTGTCCAGACCAAATCCACCGGTGAATACTAGTGGTGAGCGAAGACGAGTAGAGGAAGACGGAGATTGGAGGAAGACAGAGAGAATTTGGTCGTATGTGATGCTGTGGAATGCAATTATTGCATAGGCAAAAACATTGTGAAGAACCTGAGGTGTCCATGCTGTGACTGGTTCCTGTGGTGATTGTGGTGGCTTTGAAGTGATCGAAGAGCTCGAGAGACTGGTGCTGGATGAAGGCCGAGAATCAGCAGCAAGTGTAGATGATGATGACGGTGGAGTCTGAGGAAGCGGTGGGGTCGGTGGGGATTCCGGGTCAGCGTTGAGCAGTGGAGAGGTTTCCGTGGGGAGATCACTGGCGGACGCCGGCCCATCCTTTACGGCTGAATTCCACAAAATGATGCTGGAAAACTTGTCCTGGATCCAGAAACCAACATTCCTCCCACGATCAGGCTGGTCGATGAGTTCCGGATGGGTCTCGTCGAGAAACAGGACCCCGTTCACGGCACCCACCAAGCAGATGGCAGAGCAGACGATGTTAGGGAGCAGATACGGGAATCTGTCGAAGAGGCCACCCTTGGAGAAATACTCCGGGTAGTGGGTGACAGGCTCTGCGAGCATACCGCCCAAGGTAGGTCCGATGATGGAACCCAGAGACCAGATGAATGGCATCAACGAAAACGCACGTGCTATATTAACATCATCTCATCATTAGCACACACAGTTCAATGCAGAAAACGACACCATACGACACGACCGATGAGGTTGATGCGATGACTGAGAGATGTATAACATACGTTGATACTCCCTCTTCGGGACCAACTCGGCAACGGTGGTCTGAATGACCCCGACGTTCCCATTCAACAGCCCTCCGAGGGCCCGGGCACAAAGAGCCAACGGCATCGAAGGTGCCAACCCGAACAGAAGCATGCTAAACCCCGTCCCTAGCAATCCTCCGATTAAAACCGGTTTACGGCCTACTTTGTCCGAAAGCCTCCCCCACATCATCCCCGTCAACATCTCTGCGAAAGCAAAGGCTGCAATCGATCCACCAGTCCACATGGCAATTTCGGCTTCATTCTTTGTCACGTGGAAGTGTGCCACCATATAATATATATAAGGATATATGGAGGTGAAGGCTATCGGCTCCACCAGGCGACATATGGCTAAGGGATGTTACAATGTTAGCGTTAATGACATGTTCCCGTGGCACACGCTCCGAGCCTATAACGATGGGACAAATATATGAATGGGATAAAGTACTTACACAGTATTACTAACTGGTGTACCGGGAAGTCCGGTCGGGCTGTCCTAGGTGCCATGATGGTATATATAACCACTTAGGGGGGCTGCCCGTGTGGTGAACCTTGACTTTGAAGCTGGTGGATGTGGTTTTGGCAAAAGGGAAGAAGAAGGGAGCTTGAACGACGGTAGGAGGGATGTATAAGGAATGACGACAGCTTTCAAGCTATTATATAGCTGTATATAATAGATAATCAATCAATCGATCGATCAATAAAAAGATAGTGAATGAGAGAGAGGTGCAAGAGAGATATATAGAAAAAGAGAGAGAGAGAGAGAGACGAGTCGACAGGCTGCCAGCGATAACTTGGAGAATTCGATCGCGATCGTGATACTCAGTCAACGGCGTGAGTAAGCAGGATTTAGTCCCGGACTGTATGTTCCGTTATGCCCTTTAAACGCCGTAGGACCTTAGTAAGCCTCCCATATATTGTACAATAAATAACGTTGCAATTGTCGTTGTTGGCCGGCGCTGCGAAGGAACTGCAGATTGACAGGCCGATTGTTGGATTATGTGCGTTGTGTCTGCAGTCGGATTTAGCCTGAGACGTGCTGAGTCAAACTGGCGGCCTGGCGTGATTCGAGCTTATGTTATCCAGTTGCAGTCGAATTGAAAAAAAATAGTGAACGATCCAAGAATCGACGAATCGAATCCTCAGCACCAGCTAAGAATGTAGAGATAGGTAAATGGGAGGGGGTGATTGGAAATCAATTTATTCAATATCTAAGAGCACCAGGCAGAATCTTATATATATGCTTGCTTAGCTTTATCAATTGAATTGATTAATTAATCGGCTTCTTTCTCTTCCCCTCCTCCACACCCCCAAAATTATTGACCAGGGCTATATGCTGGATATATCAAGGTTAAGCAATCCATACCACAAAATATATTAGGATATACGGTTCATCCACTGCTACCACCCCCTAGTCAGTCCGGTGTGGAGCCGAAGAAGGTGGTCTGCGGGGGGCACTCCTCCACTTTTTTGCAACCTCGTGTGCTGACATTTTCCTATGATACGGGCTCTTTTTTCTTTTCTGTTACTTTTTCGCTAGACTTAGAATCTTATCGATATCTAACGAACCAAGGAAGTACTGACTGTGGAATCCTAGAGGCTAGCTTGGGTTTAGAGCGAAGATGAAGGCGCGCCATGGATTATTAACTTTCCGTGCGACGGTAATTACGAAAATTAACTGGCATTAGAAGACAATCCTTGGAACGTTAACTCGCTTTCCATATTCGCCTTAATCGGTGTTACCAATGAACGAACACCAATTGAAAACCAATTTTCAATAGTATCATGAAATCTTTGCGAAAACGAAAGAAAAAGAAGAATAAGATGAATTAGAAGAAAGTTTCATTGATGGGAATTCGCATTCGTTTAGCCCGCCCATACCTGACCTGCGAGCTCGCTCGGGTAGCTGTTTGGGGTGTTAACATGACTGGCGTGCGTTAGTGTTAAGACTAGTGGGCTGAATCGTCCGAAGTTTTTCCATTCGTCGAGAGCCGAATATCCTCCACACGCGAGAATAATACCATTATTAATCCGGACGCTGTATATGACTTTTCCATTAAGATCGATTATATATAAAGATATTGTGATTCTTAGCCGCTGTAATTTTTTTAAATCTTTTTTGGTTTTCGCCCGTAGTCTTACTTCGTTGATACCGTTTTCGACCGAACGTCGTAGGTCTAAGCTCAACAGGTGACCATGCATTAACTGTCCCCAAATATTGCACCTACATAACATGATCCAACATTATTCGCATTTTCTTAATTGTTTCTGTCCTGCAGGAAGAAAAGGCCAATGCACTCCAACCCACCATAACATAACACCGCGAATAAAATAAAAAAAAGAGGAAAAAAGAAAAAAAAGCTTGAATAAACGTAAAAACAAACTGTGGCGTTGTCGTTTTTACCGGCATACCCAAGTTCCCGAATGAGCCAATCGCCGTATTAACCACACAATTCCATTCGAGTTTTGACCGTCCGGTCCGAGATATATGCACGCCGCCCTGCCCATACGAGATCGTATCGAATTTTGGGGGTGGGTGGGTTACCCTGGCTTAAGTATTTCTTCGCACCCGCTTGCTGCTGCGCATGCGGTGAGCGTATGTATGTAGATGTATATGTATGTGTATGTAGGGGGGGACATTTAAGGCGGCTTCCGAGCTTCCCCGGCCCCGCTTTGTTAACGTTTTTGGGGATTCTTCTTCTGTGGTTGGTTGTATCATATCACAAAATGGAATGCGAAAGGTTTTAAACGAAGTTTTTTTTTGGATTGGGAAGGAGTTTGGTAGACGAGAGGCGGGGTGCATGGACAGATGTGTGAGACCTGGTTTCTTTTCGCAATTCCCTAGTTTTTTTTGCTAGCAGTACGAAACAATGGTTTTTTATTATTTTTTATTTGTCTAAAAGAAAAAGAATGAAAAACAAAAAAATTTAAAAAGAATTAAACTTATCGCCAGGTTTTTGGAGCTTGGAAGAAACATATACAAAGTAGTACATGCAATGGAATTCAATTCAATTCGTAAGGCTGTGGATTCGGCGTGGAACCGGAAGCCAAGCTTTGGCGGAGAGACTTCGGCCAGCATCCCGATGATATGCATTACACAGTAGGTGCGCATATCGATTAGCCAATTGGGATTGCCACACACCAGGGCCACTCCTCGCAATTCTTTCGTATAACCGTTCAATCTTACCCGTCGATCAATTCGACGGAGGTTAATAAAGTCCGTGATGTTTGTAGCCTTTTCTCTCTCTTTCAGTTGGATTAGTAAGTGTTAAACTGTCAGCCACAGGTGGCGCTCATGGTGAGATAAAAGATGGCTTTGCCCACTAAGACAACACAGGATCCTAATATCTAGTTATATTGACGGTTAAAGCGGCCGATTATTAATGCTATCGAGTATTATACTAAACGTTTGTATTTTTTAAAGGAAAATTTGTGATACTTGTAATTGCGATTGCGATTGCGACTGCTTTGAGAAACCGATTTGGTATGTGCACGTGTCCATAGTGGGGCCAGACGGCCGAGGGATTCGATATTTTTTGAGGCGCTAGGAGCGGTACCACACGGTACTACCCGTGTTCCGCGAGACTGTTCGTATCACATATTATTTATGGAACTGTAGGAATGCGTCAATGTGGGTGCTTCGTTGTTTCTTTGTGATCGATGATCTATACCTATCTGTACTATAATTAAGATGAATTAAAGGAGACATTGGGCGCCTATTGGATAGTATTGTCCTATTAAGTAAAGCTAGTGTTATTGAATCGAATCGGGTGCTTTTTGTTGATTCACACTTCTCTCCCCCCTCTCTCATAAATTTAAGATATATATGCCTGTACTTGTCTCGTACCCAGACCTGGAAATGCCTGTACGTATACGTATACAATAGAATGAAGATGCACCATATGTATGAATAATGCCGCTTTGAACTACTCTCCTTCATAAAATCATTAAATATAGAGTCAACTGGCTAACCCAGTATCAGCCCTATAAATCAAGATTTAAATACGATCTTAAGATCTTGAGATCTTACAAAGCTATCGACCTAATGACCCAAGCTCCTCGAATCACATTTACTATGCGGGTAACCAACTTAGCCAGACCCTGTAGCCGCCATAACCCTCTGTCCTCTGAATTCTCGAAGCCTAGCTAGTTGCTTCTACTTTTAGAAACGAGGCGGTACTGGATTTCAATTGATAATATTTAGTCATTCTGAAGAAATCTAACCTTAAACCAATATGCATATGCATATAGTTGCATGAGGTATGAGCTGAATGAGACTTTAGCGAGTTGGGGCTTTTGAAACTTAGATCATGCGGGTATATGTGGATTGAGGTATTGGACCTTTCACTTGCGGCTGGCCGGTCTGATATGACGGGGATATCCGCGGGGTTGGGTCCGTGAACACCTGTGCGTATGCGTATAGTGGGAGGGTGAAAGTGCTTATTTCATTGCAAGTTCTAGACCCGTCCTACAGCTGAGGAGGAGGAGGAGGAGGCGAGCTGTGCGGGGTTGCTGCTGTGCTTGCATGGTCAGAGGCATAATAAATGGAATTGAATAGGGTAGTTAGTTTAATTAATCTTTTAGCGATCGCGAAATTGTGAAGAACTAGACTAGTATTGTTACAGTGAATGCCGTGGATATGGCGTGTAAGGTCATATCGGTATCCGTCCGCCTTGAAAGCTAGAGCGCCTTCATGAAAGATTATCAATACCTTCAATTAGTACAATATTTTACCGAGTACGACCACGTTATAATTTCGAGGAAACTAAGCTTAAACTATAAACTGACAAGTTAAGCTTGGCTAAATATATCCACGGGGTATTCGTGGAGAATTTCGTACATGATTTTATTCTTCATATAAAGATCTAAAACGCTGTAGTATTATGAAGCTATTATGTCAGCCGGGCTGGCTGAGGTGGACCCTTTTGTCCTGTCGCCAGGCTTACAGGGCCCCAGGTCGTGAGTATTGAGCTGTTATGATAAGATAGGTATTATTAAGTACATATGTAATCTTGTGTCCTTAAAATGTATATAGCTAGAGCATATAAGATAATCGCCCCTCGAAAAGGAGTTTTTAAATGATAGTCAAACTTCACTAAGTTTTAAATTTTCTAGCTAGGTAAAATCATAACACATATTCAGCGCAGCGTGCAGTGCCGATTTACGATGTAATTCATATTAATTAATACATATAGTCGAGACACGACCTAATTCATTGTCGTAATAGGTAGTTAGCCTCGAACTAGCTAAGAACTAGTCAATCTTGAGGATATTGAACGTATCGGTGCGTGCAACCTGTACTTGATTAAAATCTCTTAGTACTAGTTAATTAAGTACTTACCTTGAGATTAATCGCAGAAAGCCGTACCATATAGATAAGCCTCTGTATACAGTGTAAATTTCTGATTGGTGCATTAGCATCGTAATTGATTGGTTCGACTAATCGTACATATAGACACTTTTAAATCTGCGCCGAACAACCAAGTTTCACGGATCTATATATATTACATTTGCAGAGCCATATTGCATACATATATATTGAAACAACGTGGAATAAATTAGTTTCAACATACTATAGCTATATAGCACTATCTATAATGGTGTTCCAGAACACGACGCTTGATAACCAGTTAGAAACTTGCGCGATATCGCGCCATTAGACTACGACTGCACTCGGCCGGTAGGATCTGGCACCTAGCGTCCTAGGCGTGCCGTATTCCGAACCTGATGCATGCCTTGGATCCTCGCAATATACGCGATAACTTTAACAAAGTATATCATATAAAGAGGCGAAACCTTCTCTGACTAAGTCGGCTCCCAATCCTTTTCTACTCCCAAATGCTTCGTTCATTCCGCAATTGCAAATCCCAAGTACGTCTGAATTCGAAGTCGAATAAAGCAGCTACCCCGCAGCTGCAACATCAGCCAAGCCCCGTCGTTCCGAGGTTACACAAGCCCGCAACCACGTTAACCCCCGCAGCGCCGAACCCGCTCAAACCCGGCAATTCTTTCCACTGTAGATATCACGACCGCACTACACCATATACACATAAAAGCTGCTTCTCAACTTCCGCTACCAATATCAAAATGTCTTCATCCGTCCACCCCGTCGCTGACGCATTCTCAACCTCCGGCTCCTCCGGTTTATACGAAAAAGCACGCCCCTCATACCCAGCGGAATCGCTTTCCAAAATCTTCACTGCGTTTCATAAATCCATTGAAAATAATAAAACGGATGGTGGAATCAATGTTGTCGAATTGGGTGCCGGTACTGGAATCTTTACGCGGTTACTCATTTCCCCGCCAGAAACTACACCAGAAATACCACAAATCAACAAGATAGTAGCCGTAGAACCCGGTCCGGGTATGCGAGAAGGGTTCATATCTGCTCTAACGAAGAAGAATATCCCCGTTGGTACTACTGGAGTTAAGGGTGAAGAAAAGATCCAGATTTTACCTGGAACTTTCGATTCCATCCCTGTTGAAGACGCGTGGGCGGATGGGATTGTTATCGCTCAGGCATTCCATTGGTCTCATGGACACTATGAAAATGCATTGAAAGAGATAGCAAGAGTGTTAAAACCGGGTGCTCCGTTGGTATTGATCTGGAATCTTGAAGATAGGAGTATACCTGAGTTCCACCCATGGGTTGCAAAACTAAGGGATATCTACGAACAATACGAAAATGGGACGCCGCAGTATAGGTTGGGATGGTGGAAAGCTATCTTCGATCTACCAGAGTATAAGGAGTTGTATCAAGAAGAGTATGAGAAATACAAGGTCCAGCGGTTATTGTCGGCGACGGTCGATGGAGTGGTTCAGAGGATTTTGAGTAAGAGTTATATTACGGCGTTGAGCGAGGAGGACAAAGTACAGGTTGAAAAGAATGTTAGAGAGGCTATGGAGAAAGAAAGAAAGGAGTGGGATGATGAGGGGAAGGGGGTGTTTAAGTATCCATATGCGACGGATCTGTACATTATTTGGAGGAAGTAGATATTCGGATGCGACAGTCGCCCTAGATAAAGACGGCCTCGAGACTAGAGAGGTCACAGGTGTGCGTGCGGGATATTTCCATACGTAACTAAGAGGACTTGGATCCGGTACTTCTAGTTTGAAGTACTAGTTGTATACAAAAGACTATAGAACAATGATCTGCAAATTCCCGTGCTTTCTCAAAAAAATACCAAAGAGACAAGATATCTATCATACAAGCCAAAAACCACCGTGCTCTTAAGATAAAAAGACTACTGCATAACAGCCCTGGCATCCCATACCCATATCATCTCATCCCAACCAACACTTCCAGCCCACCCTTCAGCACCAAACATGCACCAATCGATACCAACCACAAACTCAGAGTGTCGGTCCATGACTCCTAAACATTGTCCTAGGCTTGTCTGCCCGTCTGTGGGAAGTGATGGTGGCGAGGCTGGTGGCTGTGGTGGGTGGGCGCTCTGGTTGTAACCGTCGTTCCAGACTCGACATGTCATGTCGTAGGAGGCTGAGAGGAGGGTGTCGGGAAGGTGGGGTGAGTACTACTCATAATTAGTATCATCGTATCTCAGTTAGAAGTTGTACGGGATAAAATACATACTGCAATCCGTCGAACGGCGTAGTTATGTCCGCTAAGAATACTCAGCGGTGCCCTGGGATTTCTTAAATCCCATGTTCTGATCAATTTATCTACACCAGCTGTGGCAATAATTCCCGGCCGATATTTGTTCCAATCGTGTGTGAGGATTTCAGACGGCTGATCGATTCGTGGATTCCCCATACCCGGTCCCATTGTCGCGATAAGTTCAACTGGGTATCCACCAGGTGGAGGGGCATGTACGGCTATTTGATGCACAACATGTGGCGGCGGTAGACGGGTGTCGAACACTCGTAGATGGGAGTCGGAGGAAACGGCTGATAATAGCGTGGCAGAATGTGGTGACCAGGCGGTGGAGTATGTACAGCTATTTGTTGGGAGAGTACTCAGCGATGTCGGCGACGTCGGAGACCACTACCAGACCGTAATTAGTATCAACCGACTTCCATTATTAGACGGTGTAGAAGGGGTGCAGTACAATTTTGACAGTCCCATCCCACGAACTACTCGCGAAAGTAGTCTTATCAACCAAATTCCAATGCACGGAGAATACCTCCCGCTTATGCTCCTGCCACGATTGTATCGGGAATTCCTATTGGTGTTCCAACCGTGGGGATGTAATCAGCCTATCTCGTCAGCCAGAACGAAAACCTTCCTTCCTTCGCATGCTCCTTGCTAGAGACAAAGGAAAACATACATTTAACCCAACATCGAATAGCTTCAAGCTTCCATCACCCGATGCGACAACAAGTTGGTTTTCGTGAACCTCGCTCCATGCTAGATCGAACAGACCGTCCTGAGTATCGAATGTCTTTTCGGCAACGATGCCGTTTGCGGTTAAACCAAGGACAAAGAGACGCCCATTGCCTACAAGTCCGAAGTTCGCGGATGAAGCAACGGCAAGGCGGGAGTCGTGGAAAGGGGAGTATTTGAGATTGTAGCCGTTGTAGCCTTGAGTTCGGAAGGAGAACATTGTGGGGTAGCCGAAGGGTGGCTAGTGGGGCCGGCCCTGGTTTCGGTTGGATTGAATGGCAGAAATTGTGTTATCCTGATATGTAATACTAATGGAAAGATCCCTTGGAATATATGGGCGACTCAAGGGAAGCTGGAAGTATGTAGATAGCGGTATAATCCGGATGAGGTTGAAGTTGAAGATGCGGAATGTGGATGCGGAATGCGAATGTTCACATGGCTGATTGTTACCCGCGGCTACTTTCGCGGCTAGCAGTATAAAACTGCCTAATACGGAAGCTACCAAATCCGGTAGTTTTAAACTGCAACATCAACGCAAAACCACCAACTAGAAATCTGATGATCTTGTCGTATGAAATACGAGCGAATATAGCTTGGAAGTTACACAATATCATATAGCTCTAAAGGAATATCCGTAAATCAGTGTCTAGCTATCCTCTAGATATCTCTTATCACCGCCGAGAACTTTATCCATCGCCGGGGGAATCTTCTAGAGCACTCCATTCATATCATTTGTGATATTCGTGCAGTAATTTCTAGCGCGTGCTTGTATTTACCCCGTATTTCCCGCATTGTTTTCCAAGGGTACTTAATGAACTGGCATTCCCTCTTTTCCACTTTTCTCTTTTCTTCCCTTTCCTCTTCACAAGCTCCTTTGGCTGTATCTTTCTTTTCCAGGCAGCCTAAACTTTCACTTTTTCGAAACGTTTGTTTTCAGTCCACAATCTCGTATCCTCATATAACTCTATAAATACCTTTCAAGAGTTACACAAGATGCTTAGAGCATGTTCTCTGACAGGATACTCAGGTCAAATGAGTAATCTTAACGCTGGATATCCATATGGATTAGAGGAGCTTTAGAAACAGGATGCAAGTTTCGGTCATACGCCTGTTCCATGGCATGTAGCTATCCTTTGGATCTGACAAGAAGAATTAACCATGAGAAGGCTTGTCATTATATACGGTAAGAAAATCTCATTGCGCTGCTACACCCAAGAATAACCAGAGATTTAGAATACATATCTCTACCGTGGTAGAATATGGAGATATGTCTTCTAACGTATTAGTTTTAGTTTACCTGAAAAATATTAGCATCTAGAGCTTCGTCGTGGATCATGAAATTTTTTTAGATGCTGACTTGTTGCTTTAGCGTTAAGGTATTTTCCCTCCATTCTATCTACATATCTGGAACTCAAAATTATTCTCGATAAGCTTGCTAACATTGTGTCTCTTCTAGTTTGTTTATCTACGTTGCTTGATTCGCCTTCCAGTTTATTCTGGGGACTTTGCCACTAACTTAAACTGGTTAAGAGAAGAATATAGATATATAGTGAGTATATATTACCTTCAACGGGCCTGATTTACGATATTCACACTCTCTAACTTACATTCTAAATAGGTTCAAAAAATTATTGCGTCTACTCAATCAACCCTCTGGCTCGTTAGATACTCTAAAGAAGATGAGCCCGTTCAACTCGTTTCCGAAAATGAGTTTGGTATTTCAAACTGAACTGAGATATAAACTCAGGCGCTTGGTCCAGAAAGAAGGGCTGTTCTCCTAGCGTATCTTGAGGAAAAGTTTCGAATCCGACGACTATATATATCAGGCTAGGCAACGGGAGCCTCTACGTCCGAGTACGTACGCCTCAGCATCGATGACCAAAATACTGAGCCGGTCTTCTCGAATATATATTGAGTCATATAGCCTCCGCAAGAATTCACTCAAGACCCTAAAAGAAGAAGATGATGGCATGGTATCAAAAAATTGATACTATGATATCATATCGGTTGTTGTTTCCTGATATCCATCGACATGCGAGGGACAGTAGTACCGACGCTACGGTACTGGAGTCCTCTGCCCTGGACATCAGAATCCTTTCATAATGGATATAGGGGAGGCTATGCCGTCCCAGCACACCGTGGTCCTTATCTTCGAATTTTTTTACACACTGCTTCAACTGGTCACGAAATTATCGATCGGGAATATCGTGGACCTTTTCTTATTCATTATTTTAGAACGACATTGCCATTAACATCACAACCGGCCGATAAGAGTCTGTTGATTTGACTAATGCGATCATACGTGCACAATTACTCCCAAATCAGCAAATTTTCGCTTTATCAACCACCCCCCATTATAATATTAGCTCATCGTCTCCATTTAATCCATGTCTGGTATGTTTCGCTCTATGGACAATTCTTTTGGGGCTTGCAGCTAACTCTTTTATAGGTTTGAACAGATTTACATTCTCGGAACAATACTTAATCATTTTGCAATGGAACCGCTAAGTTCAGTTTACTGGTCCCTTTGAACAAAACATCATGATTGAAATACCAAGGATACAGCACATTCCTACCAATATCGTTTGCTGAGACCATCAAGAATCTTTGTATGTTGAAGCCTTGGAGGTATAATGTCCAGCCAACGTGCCCCCGAATTGCAATACAAAGCTTCTCGACCGAGAAGCCTGGGGTCAGCATGCAAGATAAACTGCGCACAATATTCGGCCTGCTCATGCATATGTCAGTGGAACATTGCAGATAAAAGACTCCACCTCTACTCCGCAGAGCAACAATGCATATTTGCCGAAGGCTCCAGGTATAAGAGGATCGAGCTCCAGACCTCGATCTCTGGGGCAGTTTTCTTTCTCTAGATTTATGTGAAACTTTCCTAGGATAATGGAAAGCACCTGGAGGAACACCAACGAGAAATATGGACTACTCTGGAAAGGACTACGGAAAAAAGTGCTTACAGCTTAATAACTCGCTCGGACGAAACTGCCAATTTGCCCACCCCACGAGCTTTTTATTCCTAGAAAAAAATCTGTTGCTATAGAAGTACTGTACGGTTTTTAATGATCTCGACAATTTTTGCCCCCTCGGATCCGCGGAGTATTGCTGGTAGCACAACATCACGGCAACGGCTTTTCCGAAGTTTGGACCAATTCCCTGAGAATAAATTCAGAAAATTACTTTTGCCTATTGGGACTCCAAAGTCGACTGTTTAGCTGTTCGCCCCAATCGCCCAACTAAGCGAGCCAAGGAGCAGGAGATGAAGAACTGTAAGATTGGCTTGAAGAAAGGGATACAGTTTCGTTGTTGACCGTTAATGTCTACAATCGAACGATGAAAGATGCTTGCGGGGTGAAGACATTCGAACTCAAATGTCTTCCCTATAGAGAACGTTTGCGCTACCCCCAGAGAAGTTTAAACTTACATCGCCCTCAGCGCCTAAAAGTTGATAACATGGTATTTACGATCAATTCGAAAGTTTGCCTTTTATTAGACAATTTCATTTGAAGCTTGACGATATTGCTTCGAGATTTCGAACCATACCCCATGCTGAGTTCCAGGCCCTGTCAATCCTTTTTACAGTCCTGCGGTTTGGTTGGCCAGAGAGTTCGAACTGATGGGAGGTGGCGGTAATCAATACAGAACTACGGAAGAGATAAGCTTCATCTCGGAATGAGGAAGACGCTGACGGAAAGATTTTCCAGGCCTGGTGTGGTGGCAAAGCCGTTATATTAAACTTTTATGACACTTATCATCGAAATTTTGACGCCCACAATACATCTGATCTAGCTCTTCTCATTTCATTCAGATCCGAACAGCGAAATACATGCGCATATACGATTACCCCTTTACCCTGATGGTGGACACTCAACAACGTTTTGCAGACGATATTCAACTTCCTGACCTTCAGTACTGGTATTGTTTTCCCATAGCCGGGACCCAGTTTTTACGAGTTCGAGGCTGTTTCAATACGACCTTTTTATGCTCCTTTAGATATAAGCTGCAACTTGGCCTATTTTGAAGAGCAAAGATGTTTTGGGACGAAGAGCGTTGAAACCTGGGAATTCATGCATGGTTAGCGATTTGCTTTTTTGATGATTGAAAAGTTGGCTGAAAGGTTGGCAGCCAGCTTGGCTGGCTCTCTCTTTGCCTTATGTATCAACCTTTGGAGATTGTGCAGATGGTAAGCGGGTTATATTTCTACGTCGTAGTATTCCGCTAACGTTTTCCCCCTCTATTAGGTCGTCGGACGCAGAGATCAGAAATATTCTACGACTCTTGTACAATTGCCCAAGAAACTTTTCATCGTGTGAACCCGATATTTATATCCCCTGATGGTCCTCTTCTTAAGTTTTCCAACAATCGGTTTATTATTTATATTGAGAACAAATATCTTGGATCTTTTTTGGAATGTTCAATATTAATATATTGGAGACAAATCCATCGTGAGTTATTCACTACACCAAATCTTTTCAATTAAAAAGCAGGAAGTACTAACTTGATAAAGTATTGGGTACCGACTCCGCCGCCGCCTCGCCTGAGATCCCGTGGTCAATACATATGCATTTTATCAATACAGAGCATCTTTGGGAGCCTCCCGATTGTCGGTAACAGATGACAGTCGACTATTAGATTATATAGTTCAGCCCACCAAAAGAACTAAGACCGTTTATTCCAAAAGCATCGGTCGCCGCGGCATCCCCCGTCATAAGAAAAAGCTTCAAATCATCGGCTTCAAACAAATGATCATTCCGATCACGATATCAAGTACACCGTCCGACTGATCATCTTGCTGCTAGTATCGACGGTGACCCAAAAACGACGGCGAGCTTAATTAGCGGCTCAAAAGTCCCGGAAAGGTGGCTTTTAGGGCCGCTGATTTACAGTTCTTTACTCTCGTTACCAAAAATAGGCAGAGAGGTCTCGTCTTCCTTCTATTCGTGGCTGCCATTGTCTCAATATGAAAATGCCGCACGAGGTTCTTCCGGATGGGATGCTTGGGACCAGAAGAAACCAAAGTCTGCTGCGACTATGGAAAATGGTTCCCTTCCAAAAATAAACCAGTACAATATATATCTTAAGAATATGTCGGCGCACACACCAGATTTGCAGTACAGAGTTTTCAGGAGCAGAGGAGGCATCGGTTATTAGAAGCACGGGTGCTATGACTTCCATGCGGGTGATCAAACAAAATATCAGACACAATTG